GATCAATAGGAGCAGAGCAGTGAAGGGAAATGTTGGAAAAACGGGAGAAGTTACTCCATTTTTAAGCTTCCATCGCGTATGCAGCCTTCATGGCCACTTTTTAAAATGTAAAAATTCACCCGTGCGACGCCGGGACGGGCCGCTAGTTATTAATATAAATATATGTTTGCCGTTCCAATTTAAATAAATAATATTGTGTCAATTTATTAAATTCATAGTTATTATATGTCGTCCTAATGCTACTGATATTATAAGTTTTTCAAGATGTTTGTTACTAAATTACGCTTAAACAATTTAATGACTTACGTGTAGTACACAAGTAGGTTGCATCCTAATTTAACCTATAAGATACAAATTCACACGAGCAAAGACGCACGAAACAGTGATTAATAAACATATTGTCATTTTAATATTACATTCTGTTGCAACTGAATTTGAAATTAAAATGTTTAATAAATTTGAAACTGTTATTAAAAAACACTTATTAAACAAAGCCTACTTATTGCACACTAAACGATTGCTTGAATGACAAATATGCACGGTGTTAGTCATGATCGACTAACATCATTTGCAAGTACGTCTTTTTAATGACTTGCATGGTCTCATTTTAGACGTAGTATATTTAAATAAATACACATAATATTAACAGAGATTTAAAAGAGTAACTGTTGAATTTCTTGTGGGCTCTTCTCAACAGATAAAAACTTTACCAACCCTGCTTTTATAAAAAAGAAAAAAAACTATTTAAAAATGCTTGTAAATAAGTCTATTTGAATAAAAAATATTTGAATTTGAATTTCATGTTTCGAATTGTTACCAATTTCTTTAAAAGAATGTTTCTATGAAACTTACAACAAAAAAATTTATTACCTACTTAAGTTCTTTTGAAATAGACTATAAATACTACTTGCAATACGATCTCGTATAAGGCATGTGAAAGCGGGTAGTTTAGCATAATGCCGTAAACGGGTCGCGTTTTGAAAACAATTTTGGAAACAAGACGTTTACGATTCTTAAGTTCAATTATTTGAAAGGATTATTAAGTCTGCCATTTATACTTTCTTATTACACTTTCTATTAAAGTTTAATAAATAAATTACACCATTATTTGTCAAGGATATTTGGATATAATACGAAATTATTACTGTTATACACTAATTATTCCTCTATTGATTTGCCATTTTTTAATCAGCATGGTTATTATAAAATAAAAAAATACAAAAGAAAGTAAAATTCGTATGTTTTATAGAGATAAGTTTCGTAAAAAGATCTGTATATACAAATAGTGAATCTCGTTCTTTTTTAAATGTGTAAATGATATTAAAACACAATAAAGAAACAATTGTCGTGTGGTCTTGGTACTCACCTTCCTTTTCTGTTGGTGTCGTAATAAGCGGCTAAGAGAACTTAACGAGAGAAGGTCAGCAGTTTCACTCTTAAAACATCATCAAAGGCTAACTGCGGTTGCCAACTCACCTGTCAAGCGTGGCAACTACTGACAAATCCCCTCTTCACGGGGAAAGCCTACGTTTAGCAGTGCACAATTAACGGTTAACACGAAGAAAGAAATAATAGTAGAAAAGGTAACGCATAAGAGATACCATAAGCGTCACAGTACGAGTATATTCTATAATGTCCATAGTGCTATCCATAGCTATAGCCGACTGCTATCACTTTTCATCAGATAGATCGTTAGCTTGTTTATTACTCTAAATATCATAAAAATGAATACTCATTTTTTCTCTCACTGTATTAGACTGTCTAGAAGAGATATTTTTCAGAGAGAAGCCCATCCGTGATAACCACTTTTTAAACCAATAGCTGTGTATTTTTTTACAAGTTTAATAAAGAATACAAATATATAATTAATTTTATTCCTTTAAAAAAATTAAGTCAAACAGATAAGAAAATAAAATGTTACATCTCTATCACTAAAGTTAACTTGTCGGTGGACAGCGCAGCTTGCTCGTTTTACACCGGCGAACTCTTGAATACACTTTTATTTACTATTACTCTAGCTAAGTATACTGTTGTCCCCAAGGAATATTTGTTTAAAAGCTTACATTGTAATCGTTTAGGAACAAGTTCCTAGTTTTTACAAGTTTATATAAAATGTTCATTCATGTTCAAATGTTCATGTGACGTTAGGAACATTATTTTAAATACCAACAGATCTGACTTTGTCTTCACCTATCGACATTCATTCATAACAAGCGTATGGATACATACTAATTGATAGCGCAAGTAAAGCTGCACATTAAATTTTTATCATTTATTTTTTAGTTTAGTATTATTATATAATTACTTCGTTTTTTCCAACATGTACCTAATTAAATTTAAAAAAATATTTATTATTGAAATATAATTCTTTTATAATTTTGTCTCCAAATTGGAATAGGTTAAAAACACTGTGGTATTTTTAGTAAATGTCTCTTTTATTAAATAATACGAGCTTCACTCTCACTGTCTTCATGTAAAAGTTTTAAGTGTCGATGTTATTATAAGTATACTATTTCAATCAAAATACTTGTTGCAAAACATGTCGCAAACATAAGTTTTGAGGTGACAAGTAATTTAACGGAATCGTGGTGTTATAAGATTATTAATATGTAATAGCAGCTTATTTATTGTATAAAAATAAATATGTGAAATTGGTTAGTACCGATATTGGGGACTACACAGGTGAACCCTTTTCTGTTTATATGTAAAATATGATTATTAGGTATATAGTATATTATATATACGTAGATATTTACATTTATGTAGGCGAATATTGTATTCATAAGCTTTCCCACTACATTCTATACAAAACACGTGTTAGACCCTCATCTTGTAAATCCTTAACGAGTATCTATTTGGATAAAGGACTTATGATCTTGTTGTATGTTCACCTAGCTGTAACCCTTGTCCTTTCGATTTCTTCAAGAACATTTTATCAAGCTGACCTGGCAAACGTCGTTTTGGCCCTACCGCCACCTACCGGGTCCATTTTTTATTAGCGAGATAACCAAACAATACATATTTACAAAATTTCATTAAAATGTGAAATCGTTAAATGGCAAATTAACATCATGACATGAGATTTTTATATATTAAGATATAATTTACGTAATAGAATTTGTTTAATCATATCTTAGTTTCATCAATTATAATAATAAAAATAATATCTAGTTAGATGATTAGAATTATTTTGTTTAATTCCGCTACCATTAGTATGTGTGCAACTGCCAACATTCGAAGATTGACTACTATTAGTATTACTAAAAGATTTACAACCTTCCATATTAGCCATCATCATCTTCGACCGCTATTCAGTTCACGCATGTTTTGCGACATGTGTTTCACTTCTAAACAAGACTGGTAAATTAATAGATTGCTGGTCGGAGCCTAGTGTTAACTGCGTATGTCATTTCATCAGCCAAATTAAAATAAACTAATTTTTTTTCCACAGGGCAGTAACTAGACCTTAAGAAGTTTAAAGTAGAGCAAAATAACTTTTTGGTAGGGCAGAAGCCATTTCGTTTTCCTTTTATGACAGTTTTAAACCGTCTTTCGGGTAGATCCATGGCCTATTTTGACAGTTTATTATAAAACCTTAACGTTAAAGTAAAATTTCCTAGGAACGAATTTTCAATCGATACAATAGCAAAATCATAGCCGTAGCTGGGGGAGAGGGAAGAGCATTGTAGAGCAATGTCCTACTTTAAAAGGCCCAATGCCTTCCCTTAAAATGAAACCCCCTAAGAAAATTACCCAGATTTGTTTTTTCAGAAGTCAGGCAGAAGTCATAAAAGTTAAGTGACTTCGACGTTAACGTTTTATAATAAACTGTCAAAATAGGCCATGGATCTACCCGAAAGACGTTTTAAAACTGTCATAAAAGGAAAATGATGACCCTAAACTTTAAAGAGGCCCACTACGAGATAGACGCATATGTTAATGATAAAAATACTTGGCCAAAGGAAAATTAAATTAAATTATAAATAGATTGAATTTCTATAAATGCAGAGTAATTGCTGACATTATTTATTTATTAAAATATTTCTAGTATTTTAATAATTACAAATTCTTTGAAAATTGGCAATAAACTGTTGAAATCATTAATGGCATTTTAATTAGGTATGTAAACGTGTGTGGGTATCCTATACTACTACAATACTATCACAATTAATTTAATATCGATATTTTTGACGTAATGTTTAGACTAGTGGCGGCATGTCATGTCATGGCATGGAATAACTACATAGGACGGATAAAAGAAACACTAGGTGTCATGTCGTATAGGGAGGTCAAGGATATGGCCTGGGATAGAGCTGGCTGGAAGAAGATGCATGAATTAGTTGTACCGACAAGAGGAAACTCTTAAATGAAAAGAAGACTGTTATATGGATTTCTGTAAAAAAAAATGTGAATCTTTTTTCTTGTCAACTCAACCTTTAAAAAAAATCTCCGCTGAAATTATCTCCGCTAATTCTAAACTGGGCAGTAGATTCATAATAAATTAATATTTTAAAATGTTTATAATTAAATATGTCTGAATATTTTTATATATATATATATATATATATATATATATATATATATATATATATATATATATATAGTTAACGCGTCAGCTGAGACTGATCTGGATTTGATTATTGAATACATGAAAAAAACTGACAATACATCAAAAGTATATTATTGGACTGCTCATCTGCTAAGATTCCAAGATGACTGTAATACCTAATATCATAGTATAACAAAGTACCAACATAAGTAAACTATGACAAGAACAGAACAATGTCAGCTAAATTAGGTCCGTTTAGGTAGGATATTCCAAAATAACGTCCAAAAAAGCTTTCCGTGTCCTCAGTGTTAATAGGCCCATATTAGCTTAATAATGGGATAAGCGTGACACAGAGACGTAAGTCATTACTCTTTACTATTGTGGTGTCATCCATTCCTATGAATAAAAACTCCTTGAAATGGAACTGCAGTGAGTATATATAGTAAACGATCCGATACAGTGTGAGTAGTCAAACACAGAACGGAGATCATTAATAATGGTATGTATTTTTCATGTTATTTTCATAAAATTACCAAACAACTAAAGTAGCCATATTGCATATTGCAAAAAGGAAATCATTTAAATATTTTGCATGCAACTTAAAGTGGCAAATAAACTGATAGTGCACCTGATAGAAAGAGATAACCATTGCCTACAGATATGAGAAGCATAACGCAGATCACAGAATACACAGTGACGCCTGTGGGATCTATATGCATTGCCTTTGCTAAAGACGCTGTATTGTCTCTGTATACTGTAATTTCATTATATATACAAAATATTTTATTTTTGGTATTACAAAGAAAGTATTTGAATATGTATATTAGTTACGCTTGCCTATTACCCATTACAAGCTCAGTTTGGAACAAGATGGCGTATATAATATGTATTATGTCCAGTAATATTTATTTGTTTATTAATTTTATTATAGCTTGTTGTCCTTTATGAAACTTAGAGGCCGACTCGCACGAAAAATAATATAGAAATATCTTATTAAAGTTTTCTGGCAGATCGCCAAAATGTTTCAATGGGTTTTCCCCATCGAATCTTAACAGTTTAGGTGTCGTTGAAAAGATATCTACTCGAGATAATATTCTACTTATCAGTTTTTGTCATTAGGCAGTTATAGATGCTATCTATACTTTTAAATATCTACAAAGGTGTCGAAATATTGGAAAAGTTTTCCTCCCCTTCTTAATGTTACTGTTTTTCTAGCAGGTACTTATAATATGTACCAACTAGGTTCTATCCGTGACTTTTTACGCGTGGATTTTGGAAGTAGGAAAACCAATGAATAGACCACTTCTATGTATATGACATATCAAAATAAAACGTACACCAGATTTTATGTTCGCTCTTCAGGAATACAACTATAAAATTGTAGCAAATTTAGTGTAGTCATTTTTACGTGATGACGTAACATATATATAAATAGGCAATAATCCTAACAAAATATAGCTTTGGCTTCTTTATGAGAAGAGTATGTAAGAACTGAGAAAAGAAATGTATGTAAGAGTTCTTACATACATTTTTCTTAAATATCTTCTATGTATAGATATAGCTTAGTTGTAATTTTATTATATGTAGCAATTATGTATGTTTAAATTTTGTCGTGACATGAATTATGTTCTAGCTTTTTAAATAAATAGTATAAATAAATTAAAAAATATATTAAATAGGCGTCACATAAATATGTCGTCGCAAAACATTATTTTTAACCGACTTCAAAAGATTCTCTGCTAAATAGAATGGTTAAAACTTGACCATATTTTCAACCAACTCAGAAAAGGAAGATTTTCTTAACTGGTTTGTGTTTTTTTTTATTTGTTACCTCATAACTGTCAATCGTAAACCGATTTGAAAAATTCTTTTTTTTATCTGAATGGACATGCTTACAGATTGATCTCATAGAAATTTTATTAAAATCAATCTTTCATTATTCTTTATTATTATAACGGCTGGGTTTTTCGTGATTTTGTCATACGCCGGCAGACATGTAGGTTCTATTTAGCTGCAAAGATTTTTCATCGTATTAAGACCCGATCCTGTATTTAAAATAAAAAATTAATGATGAGGTGTTAAATTGATAAACAGGTACATTGTTATTTGCATTAATGAATACACATATAGCAAGGTACAATAACATATGAACAAGTATACAGGAAAATACATTTAGACATAAGTCGCAGTTAAAATATAAGTAACATATATGAACAATATGTGAAAATCGAAAGGAAAACCACTTATTTTCAGTTACTATGTAAAGAAAAGTGCAACAAAACCGTCATGTTTGTCTATAAAAACAATGTATTATTAACATAATATAAATGATAAAGTGAATATATTAAATTTGCAGTCAATAAACAATAAGTGTAAATAATAATATTATAAAGAAAATCGTTAAATAAAATTATAGTAGTTATTGGCGTGATCACTACAAAAAAAAACTGTAATCTCCTATTTTTCTTATTATATCAGCCACTGCTGAAAACAGGCCTCCCCCATAAAGGAGGTTTTGCCAGTAGTTGCACGCTTGGTAGGCAGGTTAGCAACCGCTTGGCGTTGGTGATGTTTTAAGAGGGACGTCCATTCTATGCAGGGAGTACATGGAATTATATCCTATTAATCCTAATAATATTATAAAAGCATTTCCGAGGGTGGATGAATATTGGTTACTATTTCACGTTAAAACTACTGAATGGATTTTCCATAAAATTTAGTACACGGGTTGGTTATATTTAGCATATGGGGTAGCTTATAAAACCGGGATTGCTATTTGTAAATATAGAAATAGCCGAAAGAAGTGCAGTATTTCAATTTAGAATACGGAATCGTGTGTCTACTATTAACTTCGAACCATACAATTCTTTGATCTGCAAAGGAAAATCGCAGCTGCAAACTTCACAAAGTTAATATGAAACAAATATAAAGCATATCTATTAAAAAAAAAAAAAATATGAAAATCTGTACAGAATTGTCAACGTGATTGAGTAACATGTAACACAAAAATAGAATTCGGACGTATCGAGTAAGTTTTTGTTTTAGAAGCCACTATATTATGAAAATATGCCTGTAAAAACTCATTTTGATTAATATATGTATGTCTTAGCTATAAAAGAGTTCTTTATGCTATGAAAGGAACTTTTGTGAACATTTAAATAATTTTAGGTTAATTTCTAGAACATTAACATTTTATTTATTATATAATATTGTTTTATAACAACAGTTGCGGTACCTGATTCCCTTAATAGCCTGTCTGGTCACATCAGGAGCCTTTACTGGCAGACAAATTCGATCTCCAGGTAATTTAATTAGTTTTATATTATTTATATTAGATTTTTATATTATTTGTTATTTATTTATTAAGAGCGGTTGTTACTGATGAAAGAAATGTCGGATTTATCTTTCAATTTTCAAAAACAAACTTAATATTTTTGTTCGATTACTTAAAAGTACTCTGATAACAAGAAAGTTGCATATAAATTTCTAACTGAAATTTTTGCGTTTACTTTTTCTTCTGAATTTTTAAATAATTTTTACTATCAAAATAAATATTACAGTTAATCTTAATGTTATTCACATGGTAATTTTCATCTTTGTCAGGTGGTAGTGGATGGCAAAGAAGTAGCAGTTTCGGTGGCCTGCCTTCGGTTGGAGCGGCACGTTCTTCTCAAAATGGGTGGGCCGGCTCCAGTTCCAATTTCGGCCGTTCAGCTGGCTACGGAAGCTCAGGATGGCGCGGGACGATTGCAAGAAGTGGTGGCTTTCCTTCAAGCAATGGATGGATTTCAAATGGATATAATTCAAGGAACGCATTCGACGGTAGTGGTTATAGTTCAGGAGGAGGATACGACAGTGGTTACGGTGCAAGCGACAGCTGGGGATCCGGAGGCTATAGCTCAGGTTGGGACAGTCCAAGCTACAGGACATCCAATGGTTGGGGTGGTTTAGATTCTAATTTCCGATCGAATAATGGCTGGCAATCCTCAGGGTGGTAAAACATTTCAAAACTTAACCTATTTCGAATATCTTTTTTAACCTTCCATCAAAAATACAAACTAATTAATTTATGAGAATTAAAACGGAACCCAATCGTAGTATTACTAAATAATTTCTCGCATTTTTGCATAAAAGAGGACTGAAACATGAAAATATCTAAATAAATATTAAATAAATTGTAAATGCAAGAATTGCTCTGTAAATGAGATATTATTCAGTTGGCAGTTTTTGGTTTTTTGAGTGCAAATGTAGTTAGTATTATTGATCGAAGATTTCAACTATGTATATTAGGAGACTTCCTTTGGCTGTATAAACAATGTAAATAAAATAAAAAACATATTATTTTCTTGTTTGCAACTAACACTTGGTATTAATTTGTGAGATCCATTGCAGGTGCATTTTAATTGAAGTTTGTTTTGTATTACGTTGGTACATTGAAAGGGCGTTGTTTGAATGCTTCAATTTGATGCATTAAAATAAATTACGAATACCATGTAGCAGTAAAGTAAGCATTTTTCTGCAAATATTTATGAAATAGTTCGGATGTTTATTAAATTTAAACAGCTGGAGAGATGGGTGAATGGAATTTGGTATAGAAAATATTTTTTATTTTAACATATTGATAGTGAAGTTCTAACAGTGTGTAAGTCAAAATTTTTTACCATAATAAACCCTACCGGATTAGCGACTCTATTGTTAGCAATATATGTTATCAGGTCTCACTTGTACACAATGTAGCTGACATTATGAATCAGAAATAAATATTATAAGTGAGCATATCTAAATTTACCTTATAACTAAATCACTGTCACTACTAAACTAATTTGATGATAGAACACAACATTTTTTGATAAATTTCATCTAGGTACTTTTAATTGACATTTAATTGTAGTTAGCATTATTACACATAATTTAGGATCAAAAATTGATACGCACTCTACATGTTGCATACAATCATATTTCATATCTGTGGTTGAATATACATACCATGACTGATCCGCTAGTAGGCAATAGTCAAATTTAAAGTCGAATTAAGGCAACTAAAATCCTAAATTACACTTTCCTAATCTCTTCCAGCTCGGCTTATAGCAAATTAACTACAAACCGTACTAAGTCGAGCTTTACTTTGCATTTTCCAACACTGATTTATGTGTATTTCAACCTTAATCCAATTGTGTCATCAATGTTTTATAGAAAACTTCCTATGTCAATCTTTTATCTCTAGATAAGTTCTATGATAGATACCCACAATATTATTTATCACCATTATCATCATATCTTTTTTTTATGGATGATATTGGAATGGTAACCCCGCCTGCGCTATCGGTATATGCTAGTGGGGCACTGGTGTAGCATGACAGGTGATGATGAAAGCAGGTCGGTTAGTTTATCGTGACAAATTCAATAAGAATTATCCACGATGGTTTCCAGGGGGAATCGCATGGAGGTCGATCTGATAAGGTATGTTGCTAGCAATTGGGCTGGTAGACTCCATTACTAATAATTCCCCCCTTTTCATCATATCAGTTGTTATCTGTCTACTGCTGAATATAGGCCTCTCCATACACTGACTTAAGGAGTGATTCTGATCCACTTGTATAGTGGATGCTTTACGAGTAGAGGAAGACACCTGCAATGCATTAGAGGTTGTGACCCCATCTAGTAGAAGGTTGTGTCATTACTGACAACATACACTAGTTAAAGACCTTCATCTTTAAAATTTAACTGTGGGGTAGTTTTCTGAACGCTGCCAAGTCGAGTTGGATTCGTCGGTTGACATCTCCACCTCACTATATTATTGCATTGATACCAATATCTTTTAAATAGTTTAAACACCTATTGGTATATTTAGATGTATAGAGTCTTGTCGAAAAAAAGTAGTAGGCTAGAAATAAGCAGTAGTCATTTTTATAACAGTGACGCTGCTTGTTTTATGTCATGTTAATCATGAGATATTGACTGAATTGATTGTAATGAAAATTAATAAAAAATACATTGGTATATGAAATGAAAGTACACGCACAATACAAGACACAATAATAGTAACTAAGTTATGTTCTCATTTCTAAGGATCTCAGTGACATTTGCAGACAGAAGTACCAATATATTTTCATAAAATTTGCAAAACAATAGCATTTATAGATAGACATATAGTTTCTTATTTATGGTCCGTATACAACTTCATACAGGCCTTGATCTTTAATAATTATTTAAATACATTTTTAATTTAAATTCAGCACAGTTTTAAGTATAGTTTTATATGTGATTATGAATATATACATCAAAATCTATTCGGTATTTCTACATAATTAGAGAAAATTTTACAATTATATAACAATTATATAATATAGACAAGTAAATAAGGTAAGTACGGTAGACATGAACATGTAATTTATTTATAAACTGGTGATCCACCCAGGCTTCGCACGAGTAGGTAGATGGAAAGATAATATAGCCTATGTTACTCGCTGATAATGTAGCTTTCTATACTTAAAAGAATGTTTAAAATCTTTTCAATAGTTTCTTAGTTTACCAATTACGAGTAAAACAAAAAATGAAACATTTCCTCTATATAATATTTATATAATAAAATTTATTATAAATACACAATAAAAATAAATTTAATAACAAAATTTGAATTAAACTTTATTTAAGTAAACTTGTAGAAATCCTATCGTAATGATTACTGCAACATTAATTAGATAACAAAGAATTAGTAGCACTGTTTGCACATAATACTTTTATTCCTTACTTAACTGGCTATCGAAACAAGCAGTATTAGTTCTTGTCCCGATTTATAAGAAAACATAAAACCAAGGGTAAGAAAAGACAAAGAAATAAAAATAGTTTTATCGACATGCTACCTATATCAGTATTTTATTTGTAAAGCCAGAATAAAGCTATACAAAATCGAATCTAAAATCCATCTAAGAGTTTTATTTCTGGAAATTTGGTACTAGTGTACCCATACTTTTAAAATATCGCATACAGTTAATATATTACAAATAATTAATTCATATTTATTTATCTTTTGCTACAGAAACTAGGAGAAATGATCAAGTTACCGTACAATATTCATATAGTTGATATCATCAATTGGTCTATTCGATGCACTGGATCTAGATTAAATACGACTAGCAGTAATATACGCCACTTGACAAACGTAGCCACGATAAGCTTTGTAACAACATCTATCTTACAAGTTATTGCGTTTTACTTTGCGAAAGAAAATATCGAGAAACTTTTCGAATGCTTCAGTGTTTTATCTTTTTGCGGAATGGGACTCCTTAAGTTAATGTCACTTCGATGGAAATCCCATAAATGGCAGCATCTTTTGAACCAAGTTCAAAAATTAGAGAGCGCTCAGATTGATGCTGGAAATATCGATTTTGTTCATTCTATACAGAGTTATACAATTAAGTATCAGACTATGTCAACAATGCTATCCAGAATGTATGTATTTACTGGTATAATTTATATCTTATCACCGATCATTGAATTTGCATATCTGAAACTAAATGGTGACGATCCTGTATATCCACACATTTTACCAGTATGGGCTCCACTCGATATTAGCACATTTGGTTACTTAGCCACAGTCGCTGTTGAAATAATATCAGCTATTTACTGCGTCTGTGTACATGTTGCCTTTGATCTGTCCTCTGTTAGTTTGATGATTTTTATTTGTGGCCAGTTTTCCTTGATTCGTCATTACAGCGAAAATATAGGAGGAAACTGTAAAAACCTTTGTATTTCCGATGAAAATGATGAACGCGCCCGCTGCTATATCTGATACTGTCATCAAACTCAGAATACGCTTATCAAGTAAGTATAAATTATTTGAAATACAAATGGCATCGCAAAAGTAACGACGTACCTAGTTATCTTACTTATTATCTTAATTTGGTTTTCAGTTTAATTCGTGAATTAGAAAAGTTACTGAAAGACATTTTGGGAATATATTTTTTCTTGGCAACTCTTACTCTGTGTTCGGTGGCAGTACGACTCAACATGGTAAGGATTAATCAATCAACAAATGATATCAAACTTTATTTATAGTTTAGAAAACTCAATGGTCTACCGCATTTTTCATTGCTGTAAGTATGTAATTCGATTAAAAATTCCTCAAAGGTGGAATTTAATTTTTTTCATATCTTGCTAATAGTATGTCTCAACAACGCTTAAATAGTTGAATAGATTCGAATGTAATTAATTGCACAGGTTATGTCCTAATTTAAAAACCTAAAATCGATGAGATACAATTCTTTATTTACAAAAACACTTGCAAAATGAAGGTTATTTTTTATTGTTACAGGAAACAATGAGTGTAACTCAACTTATATCATTGTTGCAGTATCTATGCGCGACAATTACGCAATTGTTCATCTTTTGTTTATATGGAGATGCTGTCCAGCATAAGGTTAGACATCAGTTAGATCAGATTCTATTTGTAAAAAATTATGCCCATATCTGTAATTTTGTGACGTCTTTTGGATATAAAATAATTGAGCACCTTCTTGCGTTTGTGTGATTATTAAAACTATCATTAAAAAATCCATTATACCTACGTCGTAAGTGGGCGCAATATAAAATATACTGACTGAATTCATACCAAAATTGTGTTCATAATATTAAACCAAAAAACTAAACATAGTCAATCCATACATACACAGTTATCTATCCATCCATGCAACAAAACAAATATCACAAGGCGTAAAATATTCTTATACCTTAAAATACAGAGGTGATTTAATTTAACTTATTATATTGCAATGATCAATAAACAACCAAATTTCTTCATTCCTTTTCCCTAGACCGTAGATGGCAGACACTGCCAACAAATGCATTCCCAAGGAGCGTTGACGTCAGGCAGGCGGCCGGTCATAAAACAAAAAGCCAAAACCTTGTGTAATATGAATATCATATTACGCCGACCCTAAATAATTGGGATAAGGGTGGGAAGATGATGATGAATGAACAACCTAAATTGTTATAATATCCATACATATAATTTCCACTGCTTACTTCAATAATGATCGTAAATCCAGAATTGTTCGTTCTTAACTTAGAGTTATTTTTTAATTGTGCTGTTTTGACTATTAGATTGTTATTTGTATTATAAGCACCGAAAGCGCAATTACAAAATGTAGCTAATGGTGCGTTGGCTCTCTATTGTAATTTAAAAGATCTATTTGAAAAACCTCATTCGAATTTGGGCGCCACCAAATTTTCTATTTCCAACTAACAATGGCAACAGCAAATATCGTTAATAAACTAATTCGGAAGAGATGATTCTAATATAAGAATAAAAAAAAAACCCTATCCACAACATTTAAATAAATTGAGTAACTAGGCTACTGCTGTAAAACAATTCACAAAATAATTTTGATTGCCGTAATTTAGAAAAATATGGCTTTAGTGAACAAGGCAAACCATAAAAATTCAAATTTATGGCTTAACATCAATGTTTATCACATGTTTTTAACATTGAAATTGTAATTAAAATAAGTATTCGCATGAATGATGATCATTATGTTTAGGTAACTTACCTTCAAAATGTGTGAAGTAGATATTGAGGTAGGACATATTATTATTATGTCAATGTTACGTAGTTGTAAGATTGTGATCTTAGATTATGATATTTACATTCATAGGTATCTTGGTATACATCTGTACTTATTAAAAGTACAATAAATTTCGAAAAATCTAAAAGAATGTTGATACTAGCTGCATTCCTTAATCTTTAAATAAGAATGCTTAAAAAACAGCGAGGCGTCCCTGCTTTGTATAGTTGCAAAATATAGTGTATATGCTATAAATGTATTTTTATTTATTTTAAATAAAAATCTGCATTTTAATCAAAGATTGCATTTTTTTCCATATTAGACAATTTTAATATTATTTTTAATTTTACATAAGCTGTCAAAACAATGTATCATACAAAAACAGTAAAGAGGTTGCATTACTTAAATATAATTGCTCTTAACATTCCGCCCGCCATGGACGAATAGTCCATAACCTAAGTATAAGAAAAAATTAACCAAAACATATTACTACATTACATAAATATTTAACCCCAAGACCAGTTAACAATAGATAAATAAAAAGCTATTTAACTCATAAAATTAAAAACAACATATTTCAGAGACAACACAATAAAGCATTAAAACATTAGAGTATTTAAATAACAATTATTGAAAAATACAACATTAGAATTAAGCAATAAAAGTAATAAAACATTTAACATTCAGTTCATCACTGGTAAACAACAAAGTTTCGAAATTGGACGCTTAATTATCGAATTTTTGCTTCGCAAGCTAACTACGCGAGTGATACCGTCTTTTCAGGAATGCAACTCTGTAATTCGGCCAAACAACATTTAGCTGATGGAAGATTACCTTCCATTACTAGAACTATATCACCTACTTTAGATCCTGCTGTACAATTAGCCCATTTGAATTTATGAAAATAGTATATCAAATGTGGTATATCTAACAGTTTCTTTCGTTTCAAAATCTACAGCTTGCTATTATGCTATTCAATTTTTTTATCCTGATATAACCATTTGCATTAATATCTGTTACATGAACCTTTACAATCCTTTCTTTCAAACGAGTTTCGTGCCTCTAGGTTCTGTACGTACGTATTATATCCACAGAGATTTTTCTAAGAGAGCTGTAAGTGTTATACCACGCAATACACAATCTACAGGATTTTCTTTCAATGAAACATGAGATCACTGTGACGAATCTAATCTGCCATGTATCTCTAAATTACAATCAGCTATAATAGTTTTCCAGCGACTGCGATGATAACTCAACTAACATAAAACCATTGTAGAGTCAGTCCACACATGCATATTTGCTTTTGGAATATTTAAAAGATCAGTTACTTTGCTTAACAATTTAGCTAGCAGGACAGCGCCACATAATTCGAGTCGAGGTAAGGATATCTGTTTAATTGGAACTACCTTTGTTTTAACTTTTACTAAATTGCAATGAATTTTATGTTCACAATCTATGACTCGAATATATATCTACCATAGCGGAATATGAAATATTTGAAGTATCACTAAAATCATGTAACTCAATAATTACATTATCATTTTTTCATTTCGTTATAGGTGCGATATTTTCAGATTTCACCATGAAATGAAATTCATCATTGTTCCGGTTCCAGGTAAGTCCTATTAGTTTTGTTACATCATCAGATTTTATTTCAAAATTGTTTGCTTTTTCTTTATCATTGCTTTCTTTATTATTTCTTTCTGTATCAAGACATTTTCGTACATGCATTTTGTTACTCATCCACTTTTGCAATTCAAAACCACCTCTTTTTTATCGCTCTTTCCATTGACGACACATCTCAATATCTTCCTTTTCAATGTAACAGCCTGTCATAATATCATCCATGTAAAAGTCAGACTTTACCCGCTCAGCAGCCAATGGAAAATTATGACCTTCATCACAAGCAACTTGCTGTAACGATTTGACTGCCAAATACGGAGCACAAGAAGTACCAAATGTGACTGTCAAAAGTCGTAAATCGTGTATTTCAGAGTGAATATCTTCTTGCCTTACAATTTTTTGAAAATCGACGTGTTGCTCTGCTACTTTTATTTGCCTGTACATCTTTACGATGTCAGCTGCCATACAAATTGGATATTTATGCCATCTCATGATAATATGTCATAAATCTAGTTGTAAAGTGGACCCTACCGTTGAAGTGTCGTTCAAGGATATACCGTTACTACCCTTGCCCGATGCATTAAAAACCACCCTTGCCTTAGTAGCCGTTCTTTTTTCCTTAACCACCGCGTAATAAAATAAATATACTGCAATAACTTTATTTTTATCCGATTCCTCAGCAATTTTCTCCATGCGTCCAAGAGTCAAATATTCATTAACAACATCTGAATACGTGCGTTTCAAATTTGAGTCTTTCAAAGATTTACGTTCTAGCCCATGCAATATTTTTATAGCAATAGCTTTAGAATTTTGGCATTTAAGAGAAAGATCATTGCGAAAAGGTAAGTTAACTACATATCTTCCAGATTCATCCCTACGTGTTGTTGCTGCATAATAATCTTCACAAGCCTGTTCTTCAGGAGAAAATATTTTATTTTTATAAGAAAAGGGTTTATCTTCTAACTCCCAGAAACGTTTTAACAAATCAACATCAGTAGCGTGAGTATGCATACTAGCTATGACATTATGACAACCCTGCGAAGAATTCTGTTCATATATCTAACCGGACAATATCCAACCCAAGTAAGTATCCTGAGCTATTAATATGCCACTTGGACCTTTCATTAAGCCAGGTTTCAAGATATTGCCATACACCTCCGCCCCTAATAAAATGTCAATTTTATTAGGAGAATTAAAATGAGGATCCGCTAATTGAAAGGTTTGCAAATCTGGCCAATCTGACACTATACATTTTCTTTCAGGCAATAAAGACGTTACTGTATCTACCACTCTAGCTGTTACTTGGATTTTAAATGAAGGATCATACCGCGACTGGAGATTGACAACAACAACGTATTTGGAAATTTTGTCATTACTAGTACCACCTACTCCCGAAACAACGCATTTACTAGGTACCTTTTTTAATTGAAGGAGTTGTACAGCTGCTTCCGATATAAAAGATGCATGTGACCCTTGGTCTAACAAAGCTCTTAGTACCTGGGTTGATCCATTTTTTGACTCAGCTTTGATAATAGCTGTGGGTAAAAGGACTTGTCCTCGTTTACTTCCATTCAAAAAATGGGATGCTATATTTGTCTCTGTTGACCGAGTTGAATCTTCAACTTCTTCAACTTGTGATGTAGTAGCGACTACATCTGCAATAGTTTGATCTTTGGGATGCAATAGAGTGTGATGCCTACGCTTACACACATGACATTTATTAAATACACGACAGTTTCTTGCATTATGATTAATACCTAAACAGTTAAAGCACAAGGAAAGCGATTCAGCAATACTACGACGTTTATCAACATTCTCCTGAGAAAACTTTTTGCAATTGTATAACCTATGATTTTCAGAACAATGAGGACATGTAATATTTGACACAGTACGCAAAACCTTTGGATTATTAGCATTAGTCTGAACAATTTTTGGCTTATATATGGGTTCTACGAATTCCAGAGCATGAAAACGCGTTTCTAAAAACTCTTTGAATTGTTGAAATGACGGTAAATCTTTAAATAACTGACTCACCTGTAATTCCCATTGTTTCCGAGATTCAGCGTCCAATTTCAAACCCATAATATAAATTACAATAACATCCCAGGACTCCGTATTAATACCAAGATTCGATAGCTCATGTAAACAATCAGTGGTTGTATCTAGGAGTTCCTTAAGAGCACTAGAAGATTCTGCTACTATGTTACGTTGACTGAAAAGTCGCTTTAAAATACAATTTGACATAAACCTTTTATTATTATATCTATCTGTTAACATGTTCCAACATTTTATATAATTAGATTGAGTAATCGGTACGTGCCTAATCAATTGTTCTGCTTCACCTGACAGTTGTGTTTTTAGATAATGCAACTTTTGTACATCATCTAAAACGGGATTGTTGTGGACAAGCGAAAGAAATAAATCGCGGAATGAAGTCCATTCAGTATACCGGCCTGTGAACACAGGTATTCGGATTCTGGGTAATTTAACCAACGAATCTGCCTTAGAAGAGTTAGGTGAAACTTCGCAATTACTATTTGAGATACAACACTTAACATTAGATAAAGCATTCTTTAATTCTACTCTATAATCTAAATAAGTTTCAGTCACTAGTTCAAACACTTCATCCTTGACATAATCGGTAGCATTTAAAACATTAGGTTCATACAGAGCGATTAACTTTTCATGTTTTGACGTAAAATTATTGTATTGTTTCTCTAGAATCTGAAGTCTTGTTTCTAAATAGTTTTCATTTATTCTATCCCTCGACGCTTTTTTAAAATTGATTCTTGCTTTCTCTATTTGAATTTTAATATCTTCTAAAACTCGTAGGTTTGCATCCATTTTCAATAAATTTTCTAAGTTTCAATATTTAAACGAAGAATATTTTCTAAGTCGAATGTCAAATTGTACTCACAGTTTTCCTTGAAATTAATACAGAGACTGACACACTGCTGCAATTGATACTAGAAAACCACTCGATGATAGCAGCGGAGTCTCCGTCCTCAGCCGTCGCAATATTTCTTACCGTTTTGCAATTGAATACCACAGCTCATCACAGAACTTAAAACGGTAGCAATTACATTATCCATCCAGCTCGAAGGACCAAAATGTATATGCTATAAATGTATTTTTATTTATTTTAAATAAAAATCTGCATTTTAATAAAAGATTCCATTTTTTTCCATATTAGACAATTTTAATATTATTTTTAATTTTACATAAGCTGTCAAAACAATGTATCATACAAAAACAGTAAAGAGGTTGCATTACTTAAATATAATTGCTCTTAACATATAGAAAATATACAAAACTAAAAAATATTTAAATGGCAGTTAAAGTTGTATCCAAATTTCTTTGCGTGATTTAGTTATAAGCGGGATAATGGACAGACGCGACTATATTGTAAATTATTCAATCATTAATAACAAATATAAAATTGGTATACCTTTCGGTAATCGATCACTATACCTATGTAACTATAATTATGATAAAAACTGTATTTCGTTATCATTTAAAACAGACCCTAAGCATAAACTGCACAGATAGTACCCGCGGTCCCACTGCGGGTACTATTCATAATCTAAGTTGTTTGTTATTTAATATTGGGTGTAATTATTTTTGTACATAGATTAAAGATAACACCTGTACGGTTTTGTGCTAGACATTTATATGTGACTGGCGATACGGCCCGGCTTCGTACAGGTAGATAGGTATTTCGAAAATAATATGTAGCTTATTTATACGTCGTGTGTGCCCCGGCATAGAATGGGCCACTCTTCCCCTTCCTGAGAGTGTCGTCCAAGGCGACCAAGAGAGGGCAAGGGATGAACAGCAGCGTCCCTCTTAAAACATCCTCAAAGGCCTAATTGCGATTGCCAACAAGCTTGCCAAGCATGACAAATACTGTCAAAACTCCCCTTATAGGGAAGGTTTATGTCCAGCAGTGTACAGTAAATGGTTGAAATAATAATAATAGCTTATGTTATTCGCTGATAATATATCTTTCAATAGGTGAAAAATTTTTTAAAATCAGCTGAATAGTTTTTGAGTTTATCTATTACAAACAAACAAGTATTTGATCTTTATAATATTAGTATAGATTAGTCCAATATTTTGTCTTTTGTTGTAATAATAAGGTAAAATAGAGCTACATAAAATTATGTTCTATTCATTTATATTCATTAAAACAGATGACAAAATAAAAAAAAAGTGGCCATGATTAAGAGATAATAAGGTAAAACGACAATAACCCCAAGGACAGACGAATGGTCTGGCGGTTTATTTACTTTTTCGTAAAATGGACTTTGTCAGGTCTTCACATCTTTTATCACTTGTTGATTGCTGGACAACTAGAATACGAGCAATGGTCAAACAGCATGCAAAATTTTCGTGATTTTATTTTAATAACAATAATGATTTGTTCAGTAAATATGAATACACTTACAAAGTAACGTATCATAAACACGATAATGTTAAGTATATCTATATACAGGTGACAATGGGGCCAATCTTGTGGCGCCATTTCTCTAAACTTATCTCGCAACCAAATATTTTAATTTGATAATTTCGCAAAATTACCGTTTTATGGACTATCATAAACTGAAATAATAATAATTTTAGGTTAATAATAATAAAGATTTCGTTTTGGTATCATATATTAATTTCAGAGATTGTTTTAGAAAAATGTGTCAATCTCTAAATTTATTTCTAAAATTACAATTTTAATTTAATAATTTAGCAAAACTATTATGGTATGGACCATCGAGAATTAAATATAAAGCAATTTTGACTTATTTCTAGAAAAAAAAAAAATAGTTTTTTTTTTAATTATATTTAGAATAATAATAATAATCATTATCATTATTCCAGTCTGTCCATTGTTGAACATAGGCCTCCATTATGAAGGGTTTGCTAGTAGTTGTCACGTTTAGCAGATGGGTTTGCAACCGCGGTTAGGTTTTGGTAATGTTTTAAGAGAGACGCTGCTTCCTCGTCAATACCGAAATACCATTATACTGAAATTAAAAAGTAATAAGTACTTTCAATAATTTTTAAAATTAATAAAATTGCTTTCTATTTTTTTATATTTGAGTTATCTATTGATAAAACAAAGTTATTAAAATTACTAATAGACGGGTATTTTTCATGTTAAGGATAGCACCATCTATTATTACATAGAATCTATCTACAATAAATTGAAACTGTAACGACACTTTTCTGTGTATCATGTAAAAATATGAACTTATTTTCATTAATGTATTACGTAAAAATTTGAAAAAAATCAAGTAAATATAATTAAGGTGTCAGAAGATGAACGACGTCAACACTATAGGGCTAATGTATTGAAATCTTAATAATATATTTAGTTAAGTATGGTGCATGGTGCAATGGTGCAATATGTAATATATAGGTGCAAGAAATCAATGCAATAAAAGATATTAATCGTAATAAGACCACCGCCATCTATTGTCAAGTAGTGTAACAATAAATATATATATTCAGCTGCCCGCTAAGTAAGCAGTAAGATTTCGTTAGCGGGCAGCTGAAGTGCTACAACTATTAATATATACCATTTTTTGCATTTGAGTTCTATTATCTATTATTAAGTAGAATCTATGTATGTAGCAAAATGTAAAAAAATCGCAACAGCACTTTGCCTGGTTTTTCCAAAATTTCAGTCAGAGTATATCGTGTACATTATGCTGTTGATACAGAACTCTAAACATTTTATTATTGTCTCTCCGTGCGTGTAGTTGGAGTACCACGCAGAAACCCGTGAACAAATTTCACTAATGTACCGCGTAAGGGTCTGAAAATGAACTAAAATACGTGTCATGACACTGTTCTTTATAGGTACAAAGTAGTAGGATATTTTAAAAAAAATATTATTCTATTTGTAATAAGCTCAGCGCCATCTATCCTCAAGAAGAATTGAAGTTGCAATTCAAAACAATAATTATCGATATCGAAATATCACCACAGCGAAGTTAAAAATTATCTATTTTTATTATTTTTAGATGACCAGCAACGTCATCTATTGCCGAGTATTCTTTATTTGCAAAATTTTCTAAATCATGAACTATCAAATAGTATATATCATATAGTAGAATTTATAATTTCAGCGTTAAAAAAACTAAAAAAACATGAGAAGAAATATCGTACTGTACCCATGTTTTAATGAAAAACTACAACAGATATATACTAACAAATAAGTAATTTTTATTTTTAATAAGAATTATTTTGTTTTCAGAAATAATAAAAGCTTTAATGATAATTATAAAAAACAGAGTAAAATTGTTTCTTCTGCATTTGTAATTGCTATTTATTTGGCTTCTAGCCCAGGTTTTGTCAACAAATAGAACGTCGGGTATGAGGTTTTCTCTGCCTATCCTATAAGGAACCTGGCTTGGTAACAAATAGTGTAACGAAAAGTGCACGCTAATTGCTAAGCAACAACAGCAATGCAGTCAATCAACAACGTGCAGTTGTTTTGTTTTTGAGTCTTCTTTCTAATGTCTTCTGTTTGCTCATTATTAATATTTTGTCAAAAAGCGCTAAAACATTCTGGGCAAAACAGTAAAACGGCAATTTGTCGGTTTTAGAGTTCCATCGGTATGGGTGAAGGGCCATATGGAGCGGCCTACTGGTGTCTAAGCCCAAAAGTTCGTCGCGAACTTACACTGCTGGCGGTTGGTATGTCACGCCCACGACACTTACGCGCTGGCCCCTTCCACGTACTCAACTTACCATCATTCGTTCAGGTAGGAAAAGATTTTTAATGGATATAATAGTAACTCTATCAGTAAACACTGGTGAGACACCAGTAACAAATAATAGATGAGACTACAAAAGCCGTCTGTTTGGGTATTAGGTACCTCTGTCCCACTCGTATTTCTACCATAAAGCAATTATGCGGAGCTGTATTTCGGTTTCAAAAATAAGGTAAAACATGAGAGATACCATGTTCCAAAGTTTATTGTATGATATCTATAGTACTGTTTCATATATCACATATTTGCTTTGAGAAAATATTTCAAAATATGTAGTTATTTTGTTTGTTTACTTTCAGATTCTACGAACGGCATATAGTTATTATGCCGTTATACGGAAATGAAAAACTACATCAGTGTTATTAAAACAATGAAAAAAAAAAGTTGCTTTATAGACAGTTCTTAAAAACCACGCACACACACCTGTTAGAGGACGTTCAAGTATTACATAACGCAATTTGGATGGAGTAGGTCTTGTAAAACGTAACGATGCGTTAAAGGGAAGGAAGGGTGGGTCGAACAACACCTTATCTAATATTATTTTATTATTAAAAATAAAAAAATTCCAAGTTGGCAACTCTTTTCATTTATGTTTTACGGGATTTCTCGACAGAATTGTATGTCATTTTTATTTTGTTTTCGTTGTCAGTTTTCATGGAAACTTTTATGGGGGGGAAATACGAAAATATATTGCGGCGCGTTGTATGGAGGGAGGGAAAGTCAAAAGTTTAAAATCGTGCATATTCAAAAATTGCATTACGTAATACTTGAACGTTATTACGTGATATTTTTTTGTTTGAGCAAAGAAATTTTAATGCTGTGATAGTACGAAAAACACATTTTGAATTAAATAAAAATTGATAGAGCTACACTAACAAATGACAGTAGAGACTTATTGGTTTCTTATAAGTTGAATTAAGATATTTTAGCATATAGCTGAAACACGTATAATAAAACAATAGTAGCGATCGGAATTGCAATAAAGCATGGCGGCTTGACAAACTCTCAATTCGCTCTGTTACTGTTAAATGTACTCTTTTATTCATTGCATCGTCGACATCATCGATTTCCCACCTTTTCAAAACTACTGCTCATTTTAAAAGAAAAACCCAAGGGTCCGTTATTGAAGTTCATATAGAACAAAGATAGTGGCTACATAGTAATATAGATTATAGACTACACCGATAGTAATACAGATTATAGACTACACCGATGTCTGCTGAGTAGTAGCAATATGTCCCCCGTGGATGTTTTACTCATTTATTCATTCTTCGGTTGGTCAGCACCGACCCTACATTGTTAAATCTCACTGCAAAATATAAGTACTGCACTTACTGCAAATAAAACAATAAATTGTAGATTTTATCAAGTCTTTTATTTTATATAGTGTATAATTTTAAAAAATATGTCGATATATAATTTTTTTCTGTAAAATTATATCTATTATGAAAATATTGAGAACTATGTTATTGAGGACAGAAGGGGAAAAACGTTGGGACACTTGATACGACATGAGGAACTTATGAACATTATAATAGAAGGTAAGATAGAAGGAAGGAGAGGAAAAGGGAGACCAAGGCATCAGACAGATCAAAGGAGTTGATGTCAGTCGTATCAAGAAGTGAAGAGACTAGCTGAACATCATAGTGAGTGGCAAGAGCTCCACCGACAAGAGTGCAGCTTTTAAATAGGATAGATAGATATCAAAATAGATATTTACAATCGTTATTCTCGTGATAGAATCCATGCTGCGACAGTGGGCTGGTGAATGGATGTCCATTTTATATTATTTCGTACATTTTCTAAGGCCCGGGCGCGCGCAGTCTCACCAGCGCCCGCTTCTGGATATTTTGCAAACCAATCCTCCATCTATAAAGGAGGTATTTCAAATGTGAAATATATTTAATAAAATAACAATCTAAAAAAGATAATAATAATTTTCGTGCCAACAAATTTCTTAGTATATTAATCTCATCTTTTTTTTTATTTGGTACAATACTAGACAGAAAATGAAATATCTCCTTCCTTTCTGAGTCAAGAAGAAGACAAAGATTAAATAACAGGGAATCAAAATATAACTTTACGTCTAGGAAATCATTGTCGATTAAAACTATTACATGCAAGGAGAGTTTCCACGTAAGGGAGATCCCATTACATGCAATTGCTAGCAATATACACTCTTTCTTTTTTGTGAGACCTTTGAAGACCATAGTGATAAATTCTTATTAAAATCGCCGTCCTTTTCCGTGGGTGTTATAAGAGATGGCTAAAGGAACTAATTGGTCGAGGGATGGGCAACCGTCCCTCTTAAAACATCTCTAAAAAACTAACTGCGGTAGCAACCGCTTCTCAAGCGTAGTCTCCAAAACTCCGTTTATGAGAAAGGCTTGTAGTCTCGCTTATCATTACTCACCGATACCCCGCTAGTGGAAGCCGATATTTCAGTCGAGAATATCATTTCATTTTCATCATTTAAAAACAAAACTTATGCGTCTGAGTGATATAGTCGACTGTTTCGAGTATCTACCGAATTGAAAATATACATACCTCGTCCAGCTTGAGTTTGGTGTTGAAGGAGCTAGTGATGCTGGGCACCAGACCGCCCAGATACCGGCTGTTGAGCGTGAACCTGTCGACGAGTCGCGGCCAGTTCGTCCTCACCTCGTCCCATACTAGCGCCACCCCGGATGGATTAGCACTAATGTGGTGTAACACGTTCAGGTAGTCTTGGCTACGAATGTTCTTTTCGTCCCATGCCAGGATTAGATATCTACAGAAATATATATATATTTTTTTATGATACAATTATTTAGAAAAGTAAACAAGCTGAGGACTCACCTGTAGGGTTACTCTTGAAATAATCTCCAATAAATCGATATTGAGACTTTTGCACTCTCGAATTGCAGTACTAGAGACATAATGGTTCCATATTAATCAAATATGGAACTTAACAATATTATTTTCAAGAGAACAACATAAGGCTATGAAAAAACAAAAAAATTCCTTCCTGGATGATAAAGTGTACGTATTTTGCCTCATATTGTAGTCGTTGCATAGCCAACGGTACAGTTTAATTATGATCAAGCACACCACTATGTTTGGTTTGCATCTTTTAGAAAAAAAAAATTACAGTAACACTGAAATTTTGCGAATGCGTTCCCTACATTAATTACAACATACACACAAGAGTTAATGTACTCGTATACGTGTGGAGAAACCCATAAATAGCTAGTATTATATGCTGTTATTGAAAATATAAATTTTTTTAGTAAAGTGTATTATTTTGGTAAGATTTTGGTAATTTAATTTACGGTATCGAATTGGTGAATTTTATGTCACGTGTAGATAACTTGTTCTGTAGGAATATTAATTTATGTCATACAGTTCTCTTTCAAGAACGAGAACACAAGACGTACTCTCCTAGTAAGAGACCAAAAAGTATCGTGGCAAATGATTTCCATGTACAAAACTTATCATAGATACACAATATTTACTTTCTGAGTATACTGGTGTCTCGCGGCGCAGACAACGCATTTCTCAATTTAGCTTGTTCTTGGACGTCTTCCTCTTTCAAATATATTTCCCAAAGTTTATCCCATTCAGATTGTGATGCTGACTTCATACCTGCATAGTAAAATTGTTTAGAATAATGTTAAGCAAGCCTATGTTAAATTTAGATGTGATATGTTTCACCAAAGGGAGACTTTGTACAAAAGTCGATTGCTTTGGTACCTCTGTCCCATTCGTGTTTCAACCGTGAAGCAGTTGTGTTTGCATGGCTGTGTTTCGGTTTGAAGGGTGGGAGGATATGGCGTGAATTTACTGGGTACGGAGGAATAAAACCCGAGTCCTCAGGAATGGCAACGCATGGGGGGTATCATGGGCGAAACAGTATACTTTGTTATGTCCATGGTACTGCTCATGTCTATGGGCGACGGTTACCACTTTCCATCAGGTGGACCGTCAGCTTGTTTGCCATTCTAAGTTGTATATAAAAAAAAGAAAAGTCCTCAGAAGTGGCAATACATGAGTGGGCTGGGACTAGACACGCACTACGCCGCGCAATTACGCCAACTCACTATACGCTTCTTCAAAATGAGTTGGTTGGAGCAATTAGGCTAATATTTGGAGTTGTGGGTTGACTCATTGGGACTCTTATAATAGTGTATAAATGCATTTAAATATATAAATAAGTATTAGGAAAACTAAAAATAGAACTAGAGTGGCGGATTTTGATTTACTCAATGAGTCGGCCAGTACTACACGTAATACGCTTGAATAACTGAATTAACACAAGAAAAATCGCTGAGTTACCCATGTCTACCTAGGACATTACCGAGTATTCTTTCCTATCCATGATGCCGTTTATGTCTATGGGTGATAGTAACCATGAACCATACAAGTGTATGATGTTGGCCATCAATTGACAATTATTAATTCTATTTAATCATCAAAGTAATTATTTTATTATTTGAATCATTGTTTAATTTATCATCTCCTTTTGACCTCATTCACGTTTATAAATATTATCTTGATAATTAAATAAATAATTTTCAGTGATAACACAAAACATATCACATAGGATTATGTGATATGTTTCACTGCACGTGTCTGCATCACAGTACAGCTGTGTGTTTGTTCAAACGTGCAGCATTGAACTGCGTCATAGTATATAATATTACGTCGCATTATGTTAAAATGTTTTGATCTCCGGTCAAACTTCTTCAAAACGAGTATATGATTTCTAAAACAAGAAAATTTGTAAATCGTATTTTTTTTTACTATTTTATAAATTCCAATGGCAGTTGCACACATACCATAACATACCATACCGTTCCATCGTGGAGAACAATCGTGAACAGCTTGTGTCTGAAATCGAGAGAACACTAACTGGAGTCTCTGATTGGGGACGACAAAACTTGGTCCAATTTAACCCCTCTAAGACACAAGCTTGCGCGTTCACCGCTAAAAAAAACCCCATTTGCTGTGGCCCCACAGTTCCAAGGCACGTCTCTTAACATCTCTAAAAGCATTGGGATCCTTGGTGTCGACATCTCTAGTGACGTACAGTTCCGTGGCCACCTGGAAGATAAGGTGAAGCTGGCATCCAAAAAACTCGGTGTGCTCAATAGAGCGAAGCATTACTTCACGCCGGATCAGCGATTAATGCTTTACAAATCGCAAATCCGGCCCCATATGGAGTATTGCTGTCACTTATGGGCGGGAGCACCTAGATACCAGCTTGAACCCTTCGACTCAGTGCAACGACGAGCTATGAGAATTGTCGATGATCCCATGCTTGCAAGCGGTATCGAACCCTTAAGTCTTAGGAGAGATTTTGCCTCACTCTGCGTGTTCTACCGCTTATACAACGGATTGTGCTCAGAGGAATTATTCAATATGATGCCTACGGCCACTTTCTATCATCGTACGGCTCGCCATCGGCAGGGAGTTCACCCTCATACCTTACAGCCTAAATGGTCGCGTACAACGCGGTTTCAGAGATGCTTTCTCCCACGAACACTCAGGTTATGGAATGAGCTCCCTGCCGAGGTTTTCCCGAGAGACTACAGCATGGGGTTCTTCAAAAGGGGGGTAAATAGGTTTCTTCAGGGTCGGCAACGCGCGCGTAATACCTCTGGTATTGCAGGCGTTCATAGGCTACGGTAACCGCTTACCATCAGGTGGGCCGTATGCTTGTTTGCCACCTCAGTGGTATAAAAAAAAAAACCAATGGGAGTCGAATGAAATAGATTTTTTTTTATAATCGCTGGTAAATATATGTAATGTTGTATAATATATGTGATAAATAAGTTGACAGCCTACTTAATGGAAAGTGGTAAACCTGATCTACAAGCAGGAACACACTGTATCCAGTGTCGCGTTGCTACTACTATGGACGGACTAATCCTATTTTGCCTTTACATAAACTGCTTTAAAATATAATCTTCACTTATTCTAAAACTGTACATAGTGTGCTATAATTCGTAACATTTACAATTAAGTTTATATAAGACTTCATAGTCAAAGTATCGTCCATTTTACGAGTTTACTAGCTGACCCCGTAAACGTTGTTTTACCACTTATTGCAAAATATAAAAATCACAATTAAAATACAGGGGTTGATCGTAAAACGATGAAAATTTAAAGTTGTATGTATTTTTCAATGCTAAATTATAATAAAATAAAAATAAAAAAAAAATGTCAAAAAAATAAAAATAAATATTTTGGTGTGTATCACCCTTATCATTGACGGGTATGAAAAATAGATGTTGGCTGATTCTCAGACCTACCCAATATGCATACAAAATTTCATAAATATCGGTAAAGCCCTTTCGGAGGACTTTGGTAACAAACACCGTGACACTAGAATTTTATATATAAGATTATAAGTATCAATATAATTAGCTACGATAACTTACCATGGTAATATACTATATTGCGTAAATCAGGTTCTATTTCAATAACCGATGGAGTTCCGTAGTTATTCAGCCATTTTAAGAACATATCCCTGACTTTCTCTTCAGCATCAGGCAGTTGGAAACTTGTCGCTATTGACAGTATAGTGGTCCGAAGGAGCCTGTTAAAAATATAATAGTAAAATAAACTGGATATAAATTAAATAGAAGATTTTTTAAACATTACAAAAATATACAGTAGAACATATAACTTTATCCCTTTTTGAAGTCGGTAAAAAATGGAATGGTGCACCCGCCTATGGCTAACGGTATACAATGGAGGGGCACCAGTGAAGTTTGAAACAAGGAGAAGAACAGTTACAGCCCCTCTGAGGGGAAATATAATATATATATATATATATATATATATATATATATATATATATATATATATATATATATATATATAAATGGCGAAAGAATTTATAATTTTATTATACGTACGAGATAAAACGAGACGTTTGAGAAATCCAACGTTTTCTTTCTTATGAGCGTGGATATGAAAAAGTATCTACCGATTATGATTGATGAAGTCAATCTCAATTACTATAAATTTGTGTTATTGATACTGCAAAGTTCTTATATTTTCTTTTAAAGTTCATTTACACTCGAGAGACATGGGTATGGACTTGAAAGAGTATGAAATAATTTTGTCCTGCATTGCCCGATGGATCAAATGCGTACAACAAAAATACAGCAACGTGTGATAAAGTAGCATTAGTGTATAAGTCCTATTAATATAATAAATTTGAAAGTTTGTAAGAATAGATTAATGTTTGTTGCTATTTTACGCAAAAACTACTGAACGGATATGAATGAAATTTGGTACATGGGTAAGTTATGTCCTAACTTAGGACATAGGATAGTTTATGCACTAATTAAAAGATATAAAGCCGCGGGATAAAACTAGTGCTCAATAAATTTATAAAAATCAATGAATATACGAAGCGCCATCTAGTGAGGCTAGGCAGAGCTTGAAGAGATATTTTTTTTTATAAATATATCATATTAATAATTTGTAGAAAACATCTATAACTGACATTGTATTGTACGGGGATCCAAGCTGCAGGCATCGGAAGGTGAGACAATATGTCAAACCCTTACACTGTAAATATTGAACACGTAATGACCCTTTTATTATCCTGGTCTGAATTCTAGACTATCCACCTCTATTAAAAGAGAAAGATCCAAATATTCTTTAAGACAAATCTTCTACAGTGTTAATAGCGGTCTCTCCCCCACAACTAAGTAGGCTCTTAACAAATAAAATATTATTTTACTAGCTTAATAATAATACCTACCTCTCAATAACACTTATCTGTGTTCTCTCCCAAGTTTGTTTCTCGTACAAAGGTTTCACCAAATGCTGAATATATTTCTGTAACAAATAACATTTACATTCAACATTCATTTACATTTTGAAATAGGTGTTCTTAGGCAGTAGGTATGTATGCTGTAGTGGCATTACGCGTGACCTTGAAAAATAACAGAGGTAGGTAGAATCGTGTATAAGGCGATCAAATTATGTGTAGAAACATTTCAGGAGTGTCGTAAAAGGCGACTAAGGGAAGGCGAACAGCGTCCCTCTAAAAACATCTTTAAACTAACTGCGGTTGCCAAACCGTCTTCCAAGCGTGGCAACTATTGGTAAAACCTCCCAAAGAGGGAGGCTTATGTTCAGCAGTGAACAATTAAAGGCTGATATGATGATGATGATAATGACATTTCTGGGACTAACTTAGTTACATTAAACAATCGGACTGATTATTCCCAGATTATTATAAAATTCATGACGACTTTGTATTCAAGAATACGTTTGTTTGTATTGGTATTGTATTGTATTGTATTGGTGTTTTCTATGTATAATTTGTATTTACAAAAAGAAGTAAATAAGCCTAACAGTTGTCTGGTTCCCATAGCACTAGCTCTGCCCAGTTCGAGTTTAGATAGCGCTGCGTAATATCATCAGCTTGTAACTGTCCGCTGCTGAACATAAGCCTTCCCCTTAGGTGGTTGTGTCAGTAGTTACCATGCTTGGCAGGCGGATTGGCAACCGCAGTTACGCTTTGAAGATATTTTAAGAGAGACGCTGCTGCCCATCCCTCGTTCTTCTTTAGACTCTCTTACGACACCCGCAGGAAAGTAAGGGATAACCTATTCTATGCCGAGACCACACGGCATATTTTCAATACAAATTATTTATTTATTTACGGTGGGTTTTTATTTAATAATCTACAATTACCTACCTAGATGTACGTTAAGTTTGTCACGTGTGCCTTAAAGCCATGCATAATATGAATGATTAAGATATAAATTTTATCTTCTTGGAAAACTATTTATAGCGCATGACCTGTGTACTCAAGATAATCTGCCTTTATTTATTTAAATAAAAACGTGATAATGTTATTGTTTTCTGTTTAAATCAATAACTGTGTTAATTAATTTGCCCCGTGATACTTTGAAATGTTTTCTCAATCCACAGTTATTAAAACAAGTAGGTACAATTTAGCTTATTTTTAAGGTCAGTTCCATTTGTCCTTGCCAATGTTATGTATATTGTAATAGAGGTAAGAGGATTAAAAGCCGATTGATAAATTTGTTCGCAATAGGATTCATTCCATACAACTCGTCGATGAAACACGCACTCAATGAGAGTCAGCCATTATCCATGTTTGTACAAATTAGCAGACATCCTATACCTTTACTTACTTTTTATTTTACTATATTTTATTATCCCCACTGAGTTATGTTCGGAGAGATTTTAAAAACTCCTTAGGTATTTTAAAGAATCATTTTTAACAATATGCATATGGCCATTATTTAAAGTGGAAAATTCATAAAAATCCAGGATGCAAAAGAAATACCAAAGGGTATAATAATTATCATTAATTAAATGCGGTTAATTGTGAAAATTAATAATGAATAGAAGTATGAAAACAATAAATTAGATGTAAAATAAGATTATATTCTGGTATACACTGGCGGGGCACCAGGGAGAGATAATAGGTGAAGATGAAAACACGTCAGGTTAGCTCATCCTGATGAATTCAACAAGAATTAACCACGATGGTTTCCAGGGAACCACATGGAGATCAACCTAGTATGTATGGTGGTATATTGCTAGCAGTGGGCCCATTATCAACAATCCTTTTCTCCTCTGTATATTAAATGTTAGCTATCAAATTATACGTAAGCAGTATAATTTCTTACCTGTAAAGGGTCAAACGCAAGTGTATTAAGTAATTTATTCCTCAATGAAGAGAATATATGTGACGCCGTCTCCCATGGCACATAGTCTTCTTCTACGGTGAGGTAAGTGGTCAGATTGAGCGCCAATCCGTACGTCACCAAGCGTGCTTCGGCCAGAGCAAATACGTCGTTCAACAAATGCGCTCGATCCGAAATTGTTAACTAGAAAAAGAATAACGTTTAAGACATAAAAATCTAGTATTACATATTTTTAATAATTTACTTAGCCTTGACGGCTAATAAAAAATGCATATAATTACATCATCATCATCATCTCAGCCATTATCCGTCCACTGCTGAACATAGGCATCCCCCATAGACTGTCATAATAAAACAGCCCTGATCCACCTGCATCCACTGACTCCCTGCAATTTATTTGAGGTCGTCACTCCATTTTGTGTCGTCCTACACTGCATTTGCCCGTACGAGGTTGCCACTCAAGAACCTATATATTTATATAGTCGCCTCCATTATTGACTTTTACTTAGCAATTGAAATAACTAACTCTCTTTTAGGAGAGAATTCTATTAGTGAAGTTAGACACCTTTCTCAATGAAACATGAGTCAAAATATGGTAAAAAAAAATTATAAAATTCTTAACCAACAAGTTTCTTTGAAAAAAATATTATTTTTGAAAACTATATACCAATGCGAAGCAGCGTCGAACCACCAGTAGTTTATAAAAGAAAACTAAATATTCTTTTTGTTTGTAAAATTGTCAAAAAGGCCTTTACAAACAAATTTAATTAAGCTGTGTGATTTTTAACTGAAAATATAGAATATCGTATTACAATAATAAGAACTTGGTGTCTATTAAACACTATAAACACAATCAGCAACTTTCAATGCATATAAGGTTATTTTATCTCATATCTACAGACATTCAATTAATTAATTATTTAAAGAAAATAAAAATCGTTCCATACAAAAAATAGATAGATAGATAGATACTCTTTATTGTTTCCTCGAAAAGATTACAATAGTAAACTTATTATAAATATAAATAATTACAAGAAATAATCACAATGAGAAAACAATGGGTGACCATATCGTTAAGAGCGATCTCTTCCAGGCAACCTTTGGATGGAGAGGAATAATTATAAACAATTTGGTGGGAGGCACGATGAAAAATTTTGTTAGTTCTAAATATTATCCCTACTCATTATTATATAAAAAAAGAAACTGACATGTAAGTTCATCTCACATATTACCTTTTTTTACTTTTGTTAAAAAGCCGATACCGCTTCCTATCAGGAGAGCCGTAGCTTTTATTATTTTTAAATCTTATGTGCATTCCTAACGATACCTTAATATGTACAACGCAAATTTTACGAGAAAAAAAAAAAAAAAAAATATATATATATATATATATATTATTTATAAAATTTTCAATTTTAAGAGACGAGACGCTGTGATTTTAGACATTTTACGTCCCCTGAATAAGACTTTCGGATGAAGACAAAACAACTGTTGGAAACGACAAACACAGTAAGTTCATAAAATTCCCAATGTGCATGTATGTAGACAGCCGTTAACTTGATTACTATTCTAAATTATATAAAAAATAAATATATAATAGTAACTCAGTAATCAATGCCATACCTGCAGCGACTTATTTCTCAATAAATTTGCTAATTTCTCCCACATGGCTTCAGTGTAGTTCACTCTGTAGTAGCCCACTTGATTGTTATTGATTTTCAACCAATCTTCATCAGCATTTAATTTCAATTGTACTGTACAGAAAACTAACTTTATTTGTATGAATTTATTATTGTTAATAACGTGACACGTTATTAACAATAATAAATTTGGATTAATATCAAATGAAGAAATCATTGCTTTTTTACCCCTTTCCTTTAACAGCCATATTTTAATCTAAATGTATTAAGATTAGAAATTAAAAAAATATCTAACACACGCTAGTTTTTAAGAATTTTTTTCATTATTAATCATTTAAAAGAGTGCCCCTGGTCTTCAATTGTACTGTAGCCTCAGTTGTCTAAACACCTTCTGAACGAGCAACATGCAGTAGTGCCGAGGTCAAAGGGCATCAAATTCCACGTTAGTACTTTAAAACAATGGATCTGGTTATTTTTTTATATTGTCATCGGGGGAGGGGATAGGCTAAAGCCGGCATTACCTGTGTTTGCAAGCAAGTTGTCAACATTTCATATTACCTATTCATAATTGTACCAATTCTTACCATTATCCTCTGTGTTTCCAAACCACACGATACTTTGGTTTGGTCCTTTGTTAGTTTTATAGGTAATAGGTATAAACCAACGATAGCTGTAAACAGAAATTAAATTAAAACAACATACACTGGACTAGACTATAACAGTGTAATCCTGATGAGATCTTTAGTAGATTATTGTATTTTTTTTTTTACTTAAATTAGCATAACCATGGATAGAGACGTTTTATAATTAGCAAACATACCCATAAACAGAATCATTTTTGTAAACAGCCTCAGAATCAAGTAAAAACCGTGTCTGTGTGATGATATAAGTATTGTGGTCATCACCATTGGAGACCGTCAACACTGGGTACCCCATTTGCCGGGTCCATGTGTCCATTATGTGACTGTAACAAAAGTATATTTATCATAGGATAAATAGTAAAATATTCATAAACCTATTCTAGGTATAATCAAGCATAGACCATTACAACTTATTAACATCTCTCTAATAAGCCTGGGTCTCTCTTATTAACAGATGGATATTATCCTATTATAACGACGGTGACCAATCGACTCGGCATAGTTTTACTTCTAGTTCTTTTTATTTGTACTAACGTATAGCGCTGCGTTCCCTTAATCGCCTCTTACAACATCCTGGTGGTGAAAAGAGGTGATGCATAATTCACTAACAATTTTAAACACAAGATAATAGATCTATATTTATATTTCAATTCGATCGATCTATAGGGCATGCAGATCGGTCAGAATTTAGTGTTAGAATGATTTTTTTTACCATATTTTTTTTTTGTTTACGCTATTGCCATAAGATGGCAGAACATCAATGAGAGAATCATCGCTCCTGTCATGGTGAGAATGAAATCAGGTCCGTTAGCCTATCGTGACGTATACTAGAGATATCGATAGATACTAGATAGAATGGAGGTAGATCTGACAAGATAAATTACTAACAATGGACTGCTCGTGCGCCTCACTAATAACCCTTCCCCTAACTTAGGTAGTCACTAGCATTATTTATAAAGATACATATCTACCCAAAAAGGACATCCTTTTTTCCTTAAGAATTAAAGAAAGAAATATATAAATAAAATAACATTGATTGTGTTACATTTTCATAATACAATTATCATAATCACTAAAATTAAAATCAATTTTACAATACTAAATATTCTTCCATCTTCCATTCCATCTTTCATCTTCCATCTTTATATTATACTTAACGATTAGCACAAGAATTGTTACATAAGATTGTAATTTCTATACCTATTTACTCTATCATTTATGGTTTGATACTTACGTAATATTTAAATTTGGATTATCCTTCTTAAAGTAAGGCTCAAGAGAAGAAAGTAAGTCTTGTGTAACGGTATTGCCAAATTCATATTTTTTAAGGTAATCTGAAACTCCACGACGGAAATTTTCTTCACCAATAAAACCTTCTAACATTCTCAATATTGAGGATCCCTGAAATACGTAATTTAGTTATAACGAATGTTATACTTAATAGGGAATTTTATGCAAATTGAAGAATAGATGGAGCCACAAAATATGTTGGTTTAAAGTTTTTGTTCAAAAACATACCAAGAGTTTAGTTTACTACTGAAGTTACTAGCTTGTTTACATTATTTATTGATACATTTTATATGATTGAACATAACATAATTTTACCTTCTAAGTAATAATCAAGTAATATTTTTTTTATCTAGCCACATTTATTACTATAATTAAAAAGTATTATTTATATAGATAAATAATACTTTTTATTTTGAATATTTATAGTTAAGACTATCACAATGAAAACTATTATTACATATGAAATATGTGTTAATATATAACCTGATGAAAAGATAACACAAATATTAGTTTCGTACCATAAAAATTCATTTTTAGACTTTCATGCTGCATTTTTTATGTTTTATAAGATACAGGAATTAACCTTCAGTATAGTGATACAATAAGTATGCCTCAAAAGCCTCAGAAGCAGACATGAGAGCGTAACATCAGCCTATTCGTGACCACGGTCGGTGTAACCTGGTCGAAACGTCAAGATAACTCAGATAAATTATCATAGTTTACCTAAATCATTACGTTAATTCACGTATCTTATAAAACATAAACATTTTTCTACTACTTATCTTGCCATAATTTAAGTACTTGTCTACGTACCTTATTATAGGAAATCGTATCAAATATTGCAGTTATTTGATCAGGCGTGTTGACAGTTTGCACTATCGGATGACTTGAAAGTTTAGCATCGGTTACCAAAACTGAATGTAAGGTCTTTATCAGAAACTGATCCAACTGAAACACCAACGTTTTTATCTATATATGTGATAAAATGACTAGTAAAAAGATTTGTACAATCAAATATATAGTCCGCAAAAAATGGCTAGTGTAATAATTTAACACTTTTGTACCTTGTCACTATAATTATTAAGTATTGATTTCAACACCTTTTGCAGTGTCAATAACTCCCAATTATTGATAAAATACTGTAGTTTTCATATTATTATTTCACATGATTATAAATAAGTATTTTTAGAAATAAAAAGTACACACAAGTGTAAAATATTTTTTTCCTAGTTGTATGTCTGTGATTTTCTTTCTAAGAAGTTGACAATAGTACAATTTGTCTTATAGAAAGCTTCCGCTAAGCCTGTAGACGCTTCTATCATCAGAGGTGTTACATGGATGTTCAATTTCAATATACTTCAAACTGAGTTAAATTTCGAGTGTGCATCATGTGAAACAATCTATGCTAATATTACAGGAGTATATTTTATGCTTTATTGTTTTAAAGTTAAAAACAGCTGTTCATTTCTGTACATACATTTGTTTAAGCGTAGCGTAACTGTCCAATTAAAAATATATAGTGAAAAAATATATACCATAGTCCATGAAGGTTCTATGGCGTTTAATGCTTTAACTTGCATGTATGAGGCGAATCCTTCATTTAACCAGACTTCATCCCACCATTTCATTGTGACTAAAAGACAGGAAAAAAACAAAAATATAATTACTAAAAGACGTATAGTAGCCCACAGTGAAAAGATAGCATTTGTGCAGACTTAATGATTATATGATCTTTACCTATGATAAAATTTTACTAATATAATAAAATTCTACTAATATAATAAAATTTTACTAATATAGTAAAATTCTACTAATATAATAAAATTTTACTAATATAATAAAATTCTACTAATATAATAAAATTTTACTAATATAATAAAATTCTACTAATATAATAAAATTTTACTAATATAGTAAAATTCTACTAATATAATAAAATTTTACTAATATAGTAAAATTCTACTAATATAATAAAATTTTACTAATATAATAAAATTCTACTAATATAATAAAATTCTACTAATATAATAAAATTTTACTAATATAATAAAATTTTACTAATATAATAAAATTCTACTAATATAATAAAATTTTACTAATATAATAACTAATATAATTTACTAATATAATAAAATTCTACTAATATAATAAAATTGTACTAATATAATAAAATTGTACTAATATAATAAAATTGTACTAATATAATAAAATTGTACTAATATAATAAAATTTTACTAATATAATAAAATTGTACTAATATAATAAAATTCTACTAATATAATAAAATTCTACTAATATAATAAAATTCTACTAATATAATAAAATTCTACTAATATAATAAAATTGTACTAATATAATAAAATTGTTACTTTTGTCTGTAAATGTATATGTCTATATAATGTTTAAAAAAAATGTAAATGAAGGTCCTGAATATATGCAACAGAGGCCCAAATAATAATTTATAATTTTTTTACCTGTTTTGTTTGTCTGTATGTTTGTTCTAGCATCACATAAATACTACTAATAATACCATAATAAATGTGGTGTGTGTGGTCAAGATTGTATTTCTGGAGGTCTAACTTATAATCGGGTGAATATTTTATCTTGATACGTCATATATGTAGATGCGGTTACCTACTTCCAAATTCGACATTTATGAAATTGCGAGAAAAAACTAGTATAGAATAAAACTCAAGACTGTATTCCACAAAAAAAAGCTTCAATTGTGATAAAATTAGTATGGACCAAAAATGAAAATACCTAAATCCAATCACCTCAAAATCAATACATTTGTGAAATTATCGCATAAGGTACTGCAACAACTTGCTTTTTTTCATCATTCCAAATTCTAGCTATAGTCTTCATGAATACACGAATTGTACAAAAGATTTCTTTTTCAAAATATTCGATATACTAAGGAAAAATATATGATTTTAAATAAAAATTACCTAAATTTCCAAACCACATGTGTGCTAACTCATGCGCTATTGTGTTAGCAACACTTATCTTATTATTGGATGATGCAGTAGATTCATCGACAAGAAACGATGTCTCCCTATATGTAATGAGACCCCAATGTTCTGTTGCTCCTGACACGTAGTCTGGTATGGCTATCATATCTGTAAGAAAAGGCATTAACTTTATTGTTTTGAGGTCAAAAAAATTTTTATTTATACAATTGTTTGCCAGTTTTTGATAAAAATATGGTACATAGAAAAACCATTATCTAATATCTAAAAATATATAACCTCTCTTTAATCAATTACTGAAGAAAAGAGATTATTGTAAAATATTATAGGTATGTATGTCCAAATCTTTGGCATAGAAGGGAAGGGATTGTTAGTAATGTGGATTACTATTCCCATTGCTAACAATATACACTAACAGGTCGACCTCCATGTGGTCCCTCCTGGAAACTATTGTGCTGAATCCCAAGTGTATTCATCACGATGGGCTAACTGACCTGCCTTTTTATTCTCACCTATAATCCCTCACTGGTGCCCTACCAGTGTATACCATTAGCACAGGCACGGTTACCATTCCATTAGCATCCATTAAAAAAAATCTTTGGAATAACATGAACCCAAGATAATTTAATTATATAGGCCACAAAATATCAAAAAAGATTTTATAGTCAGGTTTTTATTTCACTGATCTAAATAATAAATATTTCTAATAATAAGTGTAAGTAACATAAATAATTATACTTGCCCAATTTTGGGAGAGGAAAAGGCACTTCATAATATTTAATATAAAACTCTGTAGCTCTCTTGCCTATATCTTGAGCAAATTCAATTTCATGTATTTGACCTCTCTGTGCGAAGGATCTCAATTTAAAATTTTTCCCAATGCCATTGGAATTAATTTCTGTTTCTTTGAAATCAAAATCACACACAACAAAGCAAGCTAAATATGTAGACATTGGTACACTAGTAGCAAAAGTTACTAATTCTACTTTATTCTCTTTGTCTTGTATTTTAGATATTTCCTGTAAAATGACAATAAATTTATATATATTTTCTTTTTATAGATAAACATTATTGTAAAGAATATTCTATTATATTCATTCGTAATTCATATCAGCCGTTAACTGTCCACTGCTAAACATAGGCTTCTCCCTTGGGAGGTTTTGCTAGACTCTATTACATGTATATAGCAAAATACAATTAGAAAATAGAAGAGAGAAAGACCCATGGATGTTATAAGAGGTTACTAAGTGAACTAAATGGTTAAGGGATGATGTCTCTCTTTAAACATTACCAAAGTCTAATTGCAGTAGCCAACCCATCTGGCAAATGTTATCTATATTCAGCAATGGACAGTTAATGGATGATATGATGATGATAAGACGACAAGAATATCCTACAATATGTACATGCAATATGTATGTGTATGTAGTTAAACAAAGAGAATTTGAGTTTTTAGTGGGCAATCAATAAATCCTGGTTGGCTTCTCAGATAATAAAAATTATCAGTTATCTATAATTAGTACAAGCTCTATATTACATACTGAATAAGTGTTCAGCATAAGAAGGCTAATGTATTTATAAATCACAGAATTAAACTGTGTGCTTAAAATTAAAGTAACAAAATATGCTATTAATATTCTTACATTCATATTTGATAAAGCCACATAGGATTCAGGTTTTGCTAATGTGATGTCATATAATGCTTTGAAATCAGGTTCATCGAAGCAGGGGAATGCTTGCCGAGCATATGTGGGTTGAAACTTACTAGCCACCATTATCCTGGAAATAATAATACAAAATAATACAATTTAAATAATTTGAATGTATTAAGTATTAATATAAACCTATGTGGTTTTTGAATGCTAATGTAACATAATTTCTGTAACTTTGTATTTTTATTGATAATAAAAAAAAAATTAAATATTAATATGAAAATAGATTAAATAACCTTATTTATATAAAAAAAAAGAAAATCAAAAGTTGTAAGTACTGTAAATAAATATATTTTTATATATATTTATAATTATATTACACAGAGATGAATAAGATTAAATTAATGCTAAGAGAATTATTTCATAGTCAATCTTTATGAAATGGCATAGTACACAAATGTTGTACTAAACTTAACATACATAACCATAAGCGATAATATGTGAAAAAGACTCTATTTTCCGCACTTAGCCTCTCATTTATGCCGTTGTGCATGAGCGAATATATGTATTAATATATAATTTATGTATAGATTTAATAAAGTGTATAATATTATATAAATTTAAGGACTAAAGGGTGATACTATGCAGTTTGACTGAAATTTTTAAGTGTGAGGTTTAAGTATGAAAACACTTAGCCAGATGGTTTTGTATTTTCATACATGGTATTAAAAATAGCATTGAAAATACAAATTAAGAAAACCATAGTTGTCTGTAATAGTAATTTTAATATTTAAAGTAGACTACACATATTTTTTTTTGATGGGTGAAAATGGTATGGTAACCCCGCCTGCGCTAACGGGATATGCTGGCGGAGCACCAGGGAAGGGTGATAGATGAGAATGAAAACAGGCCAGTTAGCCCATCATGATGAATTCATCAGGAATTAACCATGATAGTTTCCAGGGATAACCGCGAGGGGGTCGACCTGGTTGGGTATATTGCTAGCAATAGGATTCTCAGTCAAGACTACTCATATTTATCTTATTTATTAACAACTCTGTCTACATGAGTTACCTTAGGACATGTTTTATCACTATAACAAATATTCTTTAAATTGATTGATTTAAACATATAAGAAATAACTAAGCACTTACAAAATTCCCCCTTTAAAATTCAATACATATACTGATTGACTAGGATAAAAATAGCCTGCCCTCTGTAACAAATATTTTACCTATCTACATAAAAAACTCATAATTAAGGAATCAAGATAAAATAAACTTATTTTTACATTTATGTTAGAAAGAATATGTATTGTATCAGAAATAACATAGTCTACAGAATATGAAATGTTTTACCTGGAATCCTTTAATCTAGATGAATATAGACCTACAATATTCCTTGTTAACGAACCACTGAAGTCAATATCTATCTGATAGTTTCCTGACGTAAGGTTGCTATCAAACAAAATGAGTAACTGTTCTAAATCAATAAGTTCTATATACTTTAAAATTGGGATTTCCATGCCATCGTTGTATACTTTGACACTAGCTACTTTCAAGAAATTTATATGGAGATTGATATAATGTTTCTCTTCTTTATTTACAACATTGATTTTTACGTTTCCTTTAAAAATTCCAGCATTGAAGTCAGGATTTAATAGTAGCTTATAGTGCACCGGTCGAACTAGAGGTGATAATCTCTCAGAAAGTTTTATATTCAGTTCTTTTTCCATGATTATATTTGTGCAATAAAATTTTCGTATGTGATATGCGCGATGATACTTTAGTATATTTAATAAATTTCTATTCCGAAGTATGTTCATAGAACCGGTAAATGAATTTCAGTAACATTTAATTGGTCTGTTACGCATTTTTGATTTTAGGTACGATTACATATTATTACATATTCTGTGATAAACACATTTTTTTTTTATATTTATTTTAATCAAAAGGAAAATAAACATAAAATTTATAATAATGACTAAGAAATTTCTGTCAGCTGTGGTTCAGTTCAGTGTCATTTCTGTAAGACATTGAAATCACAGTGCTGCCATATTCAATTTTTGTTTTCTATCCAAATAAATATTTTTCTCTGCAATAATAGGATATTTTAAACTTTTCTCTATAACAAAATTGTATGTTTTCATTTAAATGTCTTTTCATGTAACCACTTTGCAAACGACAAAAAAGGCAGTATTTTACGCTGATTTAATCACCTCATGTTATTGCTTTCATTGGCATATTGTATGGATTTATATACGTCCTAAAATTGACAAAAAATTACCTAAATTTCTATCTATTTCTAAAAAATCACCCACTTTATTACTACATCCGACAATTTAAACTAAAATTATATAAACACAAAAATTTTTACCGAAAATTGTGAAAAAAAAAGCATTCTGGCAATGCTGACTACAGATAATAGCAAGTTCAATTTAAAGTAAATTCTTTATAATGTCGAGCTTAAAAGACCTTGTATCCAGAGCCGTAAAACATATTAATAAAAAAAAAATAGCAAGTACGGAACATTGCGTTATTTAGAGATCGGCACTACTATAATCTTAATAAAAATGAAAAATGAATCTATGCAAACATCTGAAATTACTTCAGGTGTTTGCATAGATTTTATATGTTGTCGTTGGTACAATTGTGGTCAAGCCATCTATCTGCTATCTGAGGTCGTCTATCTGAGGTCGAGAGGTGTAGGGTACGGAGCGGCGAAGAGTGGATTCGCAGCCCGCCGATGGCATAGCAGACACGTCACACAACATCCTTACAACTGCACACGCATAATAAGTTCCATAAAAATTCATTGTCGGGATAAATTTATAACCCAGTAATTATTATACCAGTCAAAATTATATAGTCTACTCATTATCTACCCTGAACAATTGTTATACTACTTTTATTATGTTGTTACTAATTGTTACCAATATAATAAAATAAATGAATATTCATAATGTTGTATAATTAATTATTTATAATATGCCTTAGTCTATAATATTTATATTTATAAATATCATTGAAGACCTAGTTACTTTACAGTGTAAATTTTCAATTTTAATGAACTGGTTACATAGAATTTGTACAAATCTGGATGAGTTGCAGTTCTCCACTGTACGTTTTTCAAGGTATTTTCTTCCAAGTACAACAACTCTTTGAAATTAACTTCCATCATCAGTATTTCCGAACAAATATGAAATCATAACTTTAAAAAAAGAGCATATTCTTTTTTAAAAGATCGGCAGCACATCTAAAATTTATTTGGTGTTGCGAATGATCATGGGTGATTGTGACTTACCATCAGGTAAACAGCATAATCGTTTGCCCCTGTGTTATAAAATGTTTTTTTTTTGTTGTAATGACCCTGGACTGCCACCAGCTGCAATTTATCTTGTTTTTTTTTTTTAATAATGACAATTTGTTACATAATTTTCCAGAGGCCTGACCAAACATTTTACATCCAAACCCAATAACTAATCACCCAAAGTTACTTAAGTGAAATATCTACTACTTAACTCTTATCAATTGTAAGAAAAATCATTAAAATCTGTGCAGAATTGAGAAAAATATAGCTGAAAATGTGCCATACGCACAATAAAATAACGTTAGTTTGAGAACTTGCTCGTCTCTGAAGTCGCCTAAAAACTTTTAAATCGAACTATTAACAGGCACCTAATTTGATTTATAATCAACATTTTACAATGTGTACATGGAGAGCAAGACGTATTTAAAATACCTATCTATTGTTACTTACTGGTACGCGCAAAATACTATTTTATGCGTATCAGTAGTAACAATACATAGGTAGGGTCAGCACCAAAAGTATTCACTTATAATTTTTAAAACCCCTACCTATACCTACTGCGAAATTTGCATATGCGATTATAGTATATATTTAATTAATATTAATCTTATATGATATTAATTCATTTTTGACGCTAATATAGTCGTGGTACGAGGTCTGTCCGGAAAGTTCGTATAAAAGTGTTCTGGAATGCGAGAAAGAGGAGTGGGGAGGCCAGGTAAGCGCAGGACCCCTTCCTTATGTCCCTAACAATGCTTCAGTTCTGGTCTGACCGCCGTGCGGTGCGAACTGGCTTGTCACGCCATCTGTGAAGTTACCTCTTAACGAAACCCCGTCGGCATGGAGCCCGCTTCCGTTGAAGAGCAGCGCGTCGTAATCAAGTTTCTCTCGAAACTCGGCAAGAATGGCCGTGAAATTTTTGCCGATCTCAGAACAGTTTATGGGGATGATGCTGTGAAGGAACCAACCGTCCACAAGTGGCTAAAAAGATTCAGAGAGGGCCGAGAAAGCGTTCAAGATGACCCACGTTCAGGACGTCCTTCCACTTCACATTCCGACGAAAACGTGGAAAGAATTCGAACTTGTGTTAATGGGGACCGTCGTTTAACGGTCAGACAGGTGGCTGAAGAGCTTAATTTGGGCAAAACCGTGGTCCACGAAATTCTAAGAAACGAACTTCAAATGAAAAAAATTTGCGCCAAGATCGTTCCCAAGCTTTTGTCCCCGGATCAAAAATCACGAAGAGTTGCTTGCTGTGAGGACTCGTTGGAAGCCGAAGAGAATGGTGACTTTTTGAACCGAGTCATCACTGGAGATGAGTCTTGGTTCTACGAATTTGATGTCGAATTAAAATCCCAAAGCAAAGAGTGGAAGACATCCGGGGAACCACGAACAAAAAAATCAAGAAAATCCCGCTCAAATGTCAAGACAATGTTGATTGTTTTTTTCGATGTTCGGGGGATTGTCCATCAAGAATTCGTCCCTCCAGGCCAGACAGTTGATGGAAAATTCTACGTCGATGTGCTCAGACGCCTCAAAGCTCGTGTGGCACGAGTTCGTCCAGAATTGGCGCGAGAGGGGCGTTGGATTCTTCACCACGACAATGCCCCTGCCCACACCTCTTTTGTTGTCCGTGAGTTTTTGAGTAAAAATTCCATTACGGTGACCGAACACCCCCCTATTCGCCGGATTTGGCCCCGTGTGACTTCTTCTTGTTCCCAAAAACCAAATTGGTACTTCGGGGGCGGCATTTGGGGGACATAAATGAGATAAAAAAAGCTACGACGGGGCAGCTGAGAAACCTACAACCAGAGGACTTTCAAGGAGCCTTCTCACAGTGGAAACGGCGTTGGCACAAGTGCATTATGTCACAGGGGGAGTACTTTGAAGGGGATAAAATTGATTTACCTGAATAATTGTAAAATAAAATTTTTAAAAAACTTTTATACGTACTTTCCGGACAAACCTCGTACGTAACATTATTTACGGATTTTAAAATATATAGATATTCTTCGACTTTTAATGTTGACCGTCCATATATTATTTCTTTCAATAACTTTTTATTAGACTTGAATAAAAAGCGGAGATCTCATTTCGTATGTTATTTTGTTTCTTTACTTATGTCCGTGTAACCTCAATTCTTTCAAGTAATGGTGGCACTCATGACGCTGTCGGTTTTATACTCACGTATTACATAAATCAAGGGAGCATTCATACGAGTGTTAGATGTCATATGGATTCTGGCTAATTTGAATGGCTTATATGTAGAGATCATAAAATATATATTAATATAGCCTATTTCAATAGAACTTAATAAAAAGGTAATTAAGTTTTGTTGAAATTATCACAGACATTTTCTTTAAATGTATTAAATTAAAACATTCAATCAAATAACCGATTTTTTATTTTAATTCTGATGTACTATAACAAATTGACTTACGGTTGAGTTATTTATTTGTTTAAATTCTCAGTAAGTTTTATTGAAACAAACTATAGGCACTTAGGTACTTCACGATATTTATTATTCGACAATAAATTTATACTTACTCAGAATTTTTAAGAGTACTAGAATATATGCCAACAATTCCTTTATCTAATCTTCCTGAAAATTCTATAAATAGGTGATAGAGTCCTGCATGCACAGGACTTTTTAGATGAATGTTTAATAATTCCCTTTTGTCATTCGTCGCATTAAAAGCTTCAATTTGAAGGTTTTTGTCGAATGCAGTTTTCAAATTAACTGACTTAATATTCAATTTATGAGCATGTAAAGCAATTGAACTGGTTCGTTCTAAAACCCGTATTATTATTTCTACTGTTCCATTAAATGTTTTAGTCAACATATTAGGTTTAAGAAACAGCTTGTAATTATTCGGAACAACGTGTCTTGGGAGTCTGTAAAATGCTGGATCCTGCAAATTATAATATAATTCTTATTTATTATAATATAATATAATTCTACAATAATTTATTTGTTGTAATGTAACATTTCATTATTGTTGTATATTTATTAATAATCAATTCCATAATATCGATGCCGGTAGGCTCGCCCTCTGCAACCTTAAATTTTAAAATGTAGACATTCGAATGTTACGTTCACTATAAACAATCGATAAATGCCTATATGTCGTGAACACGTTTAAGAACATTTGTAAGAAAAATAATGAAAGTTATTTAAATAATTGAAATGACATCACTGCAAATAGTCCACGCCAAACCGTGTTCGTCAGTGCCTGTGTAAGTTGGTTTAAAAGAAAGTGTCAAAATAAAACTTAGAAATAATGCTACGGTAATTCGGGCATGTGAAAATAATTATGAATGAAATTATGGCGTTACGAATACTCGTACATATAATTTTATTATTTGCAATATTATATAAAGTACCGCAGGTAAACAAAAGTACTGGGGGTCTCCGGAACTAGCGTATACGCATAAAACAAGTTATGAAAGTGGATAAAACGACAGATACTTATAAGGATAAAGGCCTCTTAAACTTAGTTCTTTCTATACAGATAGACAATCTATTATTGTATACATATAGAGACTAAGCTTGCCTTCATCTCAGAAAAAGTGTAGTAAATAAATTAATAGTAAAAATATTTTTTAAAAAGATGTAAGTAAATTTATTGTATTGTTACCTACTCTTCTAGCTTTTTCATTTAATACACATTTTAACAGGGCTAATAATATATCCGCGATTTTGTAACGGCAGCCATTTCGTATAAATTATAATATTGAGTATTACATATTACCTATGTTGTGACTAGAATTAAAGGTGTATGCAAAAATTTTGGAGAACCAGATATGAAACTGGTTCTAATTCAGCTTGTAAAACTTGTTTTGAACAAACAAAAAAAAAAATGCAAGTTAAATGATGGCATTTAAAAAGTATTGTGTTAATTATTATTATTCTTTATCTAATCTACACGTACATTTAGTAGAATAAATTTATGACGTACATATCTCATTTAAAATCGTAATACGTTCAGCTCTAAGCATTCATAACTTTTCTGATATAAATATTTTTTAGGAGAGAAATTGTTAATGATATTAATTTAAACAACAATACTACCTTCATTAATGTGTACATGATGGCAAAGGCTATTTAATGGTATTCCTAATGAACTATAAATATTTTTGACAACTATAATTAATAAATAAGTAGTTATGAAGTGTCGTGAGTATTTTATTCTTGATCATAATTTATTATCGTCAAAATTTTAATAGATATGTCTAGTGATTTTATCTATTTTGGGATGCTCTTACGAATTATAAATGCGTAACCACGCATACTACTACTTAGCTAAGCTATTTAGCTACTAATTTAAATACCTACCTACTTACCTACATATTTCAGTGCCATAATATATTAATTAGTACTTACAGTTAGAAATTTATTGGGCAAAGATAATGTCAAAAAATAAATTTAAATATATAATTAAATTACCTTTTCGTCGTTGATTCTTTCAATTGGAGTGCTTTGTGGCTTCTTGTCTGTTATTTTGAAAGCTTGCAATTGTTTTTCGGCATTTTTCAACTTTGCAGAAACACTTAAAGTTGATACTAGTAAACAGAAACATATCACTCCCAGTAACATGAGAAGTTTATTGTTACATGTCCATTGATAAACAGAATTTGACATCTAAAACAAAAAAAAAAAAACAATTATAGGTCTTCACGGTTATCTTGTTCTTTATATATGGTACATACTAGCTTTTTGTCCGCTACTTCGTACGCGGAAAACCACTTATGGTTTCTCTACTTCCCGCTTCTAGATGATGTATCAAAATAAAACAAATATCTATCACATTTTTAACTACACCTTCAAAAAATACAACTGTGAAAACCGCATAAAATTTGATGCAGTAGTAATTAAATAATGCTGGAACAAACATATTGACAGACAGACAGATATAAATTTATAAATATTGACAGACAGACATATATAAATTTATAAAAATTTTTGTTTTCACTTATATTGCTCTTATTAAGATCTTTATAAGAAAATATAAAATCTTTTTAAATATTTCTCGTGCACAGACATAGTCTAGTTACAATTTTGTTAGTACGATAAATTACATCAAATTACATAAATTGATCACGTGACCTGATATAAAAATTACAAAAAAAAATATTTTTGTAATTTGAATTTGTTCCATAGAAAGTTTTCCAATTTTGTGAATATTATATATTTTATTTTACTACTTATCACTAGGTTTTGGCTTGATATACCTTTTACAACTAATTCAATACATATGTACTAAAAACTACGTTGAAATTTATTGATAGAAATTGATCAACTTTCAAATCTCAAAATAATTTTTAATATTTTCGTTCAAACTGCATGATAACGTGATTGACTGTTTACAAAATATTTCAAGTATCCATGAAAAACAATAGTTGATAAATACGACGGTGAGTAATATGGAAGTATAATGCAAATTCACTTTTCATGTTTTTAAAGTCACGGTAAAGGTCATTAAGATGATTTACTCTGCTCCTTTTATGCTTTATAATCTCTAAATAAGATTATTATTTATACGGTACCATTATTTTCTTTCTTAAAACCTCAAATAAAGCCAAGGAATAAAATGTAGATAAGATATTTTTACTAATGAGACCCTTCAGTTTTCCTTGCGTAGGTAGGTAGGTACTTATGAATTCAAGTACATTTTAAAAATCTTTTTAATCTGTTCCACTGTGTTTTTAAAACTTATGTTTATTATGATTAAATTGCTATTAGGTTGTTTGCTTAACTTTTACCCATACTCATAGGGGAGTAAGTTTTGCCGTCACACATATTTTTGGAAATGGTTTTGTTGAGTATAGGTTCGTCGATCTTCCGTATATTCTCAAGGCCACTTGAGAGCTCGCCAAAAGTAAGAGTGGACCAAGTGGTTAAAAATAGCATCAGATATCAAGTTCCTCGGGGACCAAGTTTCCCCAGGTGTGTAGTACCATACTTTAGGAACAATTTTTTTTTTATTTTAGGTGCATGCACTATAGGTAAAATTTTAGCTAGTAGACAGAAAGTTTGTTAAATGGTAGAGAGGCGGATGTAAGCAAAAATGAGAATTTATGCAAAAATTAAACTAGTTTATTCGATATAGAGACCGTAGACATGAACCATGACATAGAAAGTGAATATATCAGGAGTAAATGGTCATATGTCTTATTTGAAGGTTTATCAGTGTTTTAAGATAATTATTATTTTTTAAATTTTACTTAAATTCTCATCTCCCCTCTTAAGGAGAGGAGATGGCAACTAACCCCCGGCAGAAGCACAGTCGGCCGGGGTTCAGGGCCCCAGGGAGAGAAACCGGCGTACAATGCGGGCAGAATCTAAGAGCACCGCTTTCTGCATCCTTCCCGGGAGTGAGCCTCCTCGGAATCCCAACCGTCTGAGATGTTGTTTCAGACTGGTTGGGATAAGACCGTTCACCGACATAACGATTGGAATGATTTCGGTAGATGTCACCCCCCACATTACGGTCACCTCGTGAGCCAGGTCGTTATTATTGTAATTATTAATAATAAAGTATTGGATTCATTCATGGGGACCGAACTCCCATATGGGTTGAGACGTAAGTTAAAAAAGCGTATGGTATTATAGGTTAAGCTGCAGTATATGATTATATTTTAATATTTTGTTCTGTTTACATATAGTTTTAAATTGTCAAAAGTAGGCATAGAATAATGTTGGAATATGGGCATGTACCTCGCATGTTTTGTATTTACGAAACAATTCTTTTTGTATTGATTACAGTCTGCTCACCTTTATATTTATTTTTAGATATTTAAAATCATTATTATCACATATTTCTGTGCCTCTAGTGAGAAAAGGTTCAATTCAAAATGGCCACTTTTCAGGAGAGCCAAAAAACTATTTTAAATAAAGAAAAAAAAATTCTGGTGCTTTTATTATTTGCTAATTGAACAAGTCAATGATTGCATTTATAGTAATTTTTTCTCCTCTTTCTTATGAAATTGTCGGTTTTTGTGTAAAACCTATAGTTTTAAAAATAATTCTATTATACCTAATCACACTTAACAAAAATATTAAAATTATCATGTGAAAATAGTTTTAAGTTGAATTAAAACTATTTTATTAAAGTATCGAAGAAAAACAATGTTGTGTATTTTACGCTGTAAAAAAATAATCGCTATTAAATGGTGTAAAAGGGTTCAAATCGAACTGATTAATTTTACACAAAAATAAATTCATATGTAAAGGGTAGTTCTAAGTATCTTATCATTTTTGGCACTATTTTTGTAAAATATTGTAGTTTTATTTCTAATTATGACTTTTTTACCACAAATATTTTGTTAATTGTAGCCTTTTACATGTTTACTATCTCTATTGTTTTTAAAGATATCGTTACGATTCTTATACCATTCGAAAGAGAAAAATTTGCTTATTTAAAGTAGCCTAAAAAAGAAAAAGGCTATAACTTGAGTTATACCCTTTCTCACTAGAGGCACAGATTTAAAGACAAAAACTTATGTACAATTTTAACATTTCACTGATTGCATTGTGACTTCTTGACACGCGGCCGGTTAGTAAATGATGCCCGAAAGTCACATTACAAAACCGGTCGCATGTATAAAATAATAATAAAAATATTTATAATAATAACAGGAAAACAAAGTATATTGAATAAGATTATGTGATTGATATTTATATATATTCGTATTTATAAATATAGTTATAATAATAAGTGCAATCAAATCACACCCATCACCTTATCTTCAAGCTGGATACCTGTTGCTATGTAAACCAGGCCACTAAGATTTGAGAGTATAATGAGAACCAATGACGTAATCAAGTATTTTAGATTATTTTCTAGGGTCTAGCCTCTTAAAAAAAAAGTTCATGTACTCTTAGATATGAATTTGTAAAGTTTTCCTCAGATCCTGGGATGGGCACCAGATAATCCTGGGATGGACACGTTCCAATCGCCACACCTCCCCTAAACACGCTTGTGACTAAAACCAATTTAGAAAAAATCATTTTCTAAATAACAGTAATGATTATAATTAAGAGTGAACAAAGGTGATCATTTGGGGGAAAGGGATTGTTAGTGATGAAGACTGAGAATCCCATTGCTAGCAATATACCCAACCAGGTCGACCTCCTCGCGGTTGCCCCTGGAAACTATCATGGTTAATTCCTGATGAATTTGTCATAATGGGCTAACTGGCCTGTTTTCATTCTCATCTATCACCCTTCACAGGTGTTCCGCCAGCGTATCCCGTTAGCGCAGGCGGAGTTACCATACCATTTTCACCCATCGAAAAAAAAAAGGTGATCATAAAAAGATATCTCTTCTAGACAATTTATTTTACAAGGATTTATGTTGTAATAACTTGTATACAATAAAAAAGTAACATTTAAAAGATATAAAATAGCTTAGTATTACTGGTATTATTCTGTATAAATGTCATACTTTTCATGGTTCACTGAATAATTACTAAGAAACAGTAAGAAAACAGATAGATACTTAGAAATCAAGACTATCAACGGACTGAGTTGACAGTTTGACTAAGTACAATTTATTACAGTAGGTACCGAGTAGGTAAATTAAAATAGTTTTAAGAATAATTTATTTATCCAATGTCGATTTTAATGAAATTAATAAAGGATTAAAATAAAAGTAAACACTTTCGTTAACACACAACTTTTAATTGCGTATATTCATTGGTAAATTTAAATCCAAATAAATTTATAATTTGATTACATACGAATACCAATACCAAATAAATGCACGAAATAATATTACATCTTTATTGTCTGCATTTTTATGTAGAAAATTATTTATTTATTTCATTTAGAAGTTTACAATCATAATTAACAAGCAATATATAAAAATAAACACAATTAAAATAGTAGACCTATAGATTCCTACAATAACATTTGATATTTACAGAAAACCTCACCTACTCAAAATTTAGCGCAGTAAACTAACTTGGTACTTTCATTAAGACATTTTGAAACCATAATATGAAGTTTGTCAATGTACAATTTACATGCTCGTCTTAGAAACTTGTTACTGACATAACAAGTTCTTTAATTAGCTATTACAACTTTATTTTATAAACAATACAAACCATTGTGCTGTGTGTGATTAATGATTCTTCATATAGAACAGGATGGCCAATTGTCCACCGTTGCGGTAACAACAAAAAAACAAATATGGAAATGGAAACGGTTTCACTCACGCGTACATTACCACCTTTCACTTTTATTAATATAGACGATACTTTTTATTAGGTTTATGTGACATGTAATGAGAATTATACCACGTAGTGTATTAATAGGGTATTTGTAACTATATTGACACCGTTACCGTGTAACTGCAGGTAGTCTTATACATTGCGACTAAATAAGAATTCTATGTTGGAGTATTTAGTTACGTCATTAGTTTCACTCGATTGTTGATTCGATCATTGCGCTATGATGACGAAGTCTATAAAATAGTGTAACCATACTGTTTGATGTGGAGAGGATATGTTTCTTTTTCTATAAATTAAATAGACAACGATCTAAGCGACGCTGTAGATTTTTTGGCGCGTACATGAATTCCCCAGGCTCGATTTTGGTAATCAAATAGGTTCAATATATATATATATATATATACATATCTGTCACGCCTTTCTCCCTTTAGGGAAGGCCGAACCATCTAAATAACTTTATATTTATTTATATTGAATCTTCAGTTTCTTGCACTTTAAATTAACGTACCTTAGAAAAATAGAAATTAAATTGACTCAACTTTTTATTTATGTATTGTATGATTGTACCTTTATATAGTATTATATGTGTATGTATGTAAAACTATATATGCGTATGTATATACGCATATATAGCTTTTAGTTAATATTAAAATAGGTTCATTATAAAAAAAAACCAAAACAGTTCTAGAATTAAACTAATGATCTTAAACATCTACAACTGCAAGGCAATCACTATCAGCAACTATCATGCTTTTGTTGAACTTCGAAGTAATTAATTAATTAGGTCTTTTGCCGTATTAATTTTCTAAGTGCAAGAAACAATTTGCGTTGTATATAAATTTGTATAATTAAGTATGTTGGTATGTTAGATATATTATGTAAATTTTACACTCAGCTCAATTGAAGAAAATCACGGAAAGTATAAAATTGTGTTGAGTTAAATAACGTTTTAGAAAGTAAACAGATTAAAGAGGCTTTTAATTTGTACAAAATTTCCACCAATTATAGATAAGTACGTAGATATATCGTTATCATTCAATTCTTTGACAAAAGCAGTCAAAATTTCTCCAGTTCGTTTTTATTGTTACCGTTTTTTGTAGTCTTTTGATTATTCTCGAAAAGTCACGACTAGGCAAATTTCGTTCAAGATTTATGAAAGGTAATGAAACAAAACAAAGGAATCTATCAAACAAAAGGGATATCTGTCAAGAGCATTTGACGCTTTTATAAAAATTCATACAAAGATAAAATAATATTGGAACACTCATAATATTATTATTCTATCTGTCTAGTAAATCCTTATTAAAATGAACAATATGTTAAGTTCAATAACCAATATCTTAGTAATATTTAAAATGTGAAAGCGAATTTTTTTTATTACTTATCGACGCCTTAACAAACCAATTCTCATAAAGTTTGGTATACTTGTAGCATTTGCGATGGAGAATCTATTAATCGCGGATAAACACTAGTAATTTTATAATTCATCCAATTATTTTTCAAATGTTTTTGTTTGTTTTTATATGCTTTGTATCTTTTAATATTTTTTATTTTTCAAGAACAGGTTTCATTACCTATTTTGGTTTTATTTTTATGAAATGAAAAATAAATATAAGATAAACTTTGAGTTCGCTATTCAATTGAATAGTAATACCTATTTATAAAGTTAATCTAATACTAACATTTAGTGCTTCTTATTATCTGTGATCATTTCTGATCAACGATTTAGTGTTGGTATTCGTTAAATTAATATCAAAATGTGAGCGCAGATAAGGTAATAAAAGTAAAATGATGTCGTTATTATTTGTACTATACTTTGTTACCCTTCATTTAATTATCCATTGTTTATTAACTGATTTTCACGCTATTCCATGTAGAACTGTATTATTAACTTCTAATGGAGATTGGAATGTACATGTACATGTAATGGACATTATAAATATCTAGAAAAAAAAAGTTATCTTTTAGCATTTTTTTAAAGTTTTGTCTCTAAAAGAGTGAGGCAGGGGATGAATTTAAATATAATTAAATGAAATTTGTTTTTATTTTTGGAGAGGTAAATGAGCTGCTAATCTACCTGATGGGAATCGGTGACCGTCGCTCAGGGATTCTTGCAATACGCGGAGAGTTGCTTGTGTGTTGTTGGCCTTTTAAATGTTTGTAGACATGTTTTTTGAAATGCCCCATACTATATTTTAAGGGAAAACTGAAGAAGGAAACCCATTCCATAACCCAGATGTACGAGATAGAAACGAACATAATGCATGAACAGTGGTAGTGTGCCACGCATGCAAATTATATGGGCGAACTCCAGTTCTATAGCGAAAGATACGACGATAAAAAAAGATGGCATCAGGTGGTATAACTCAATGGAACATTCTTCTATTGTACAGATGGCAGAAATTGGATAAAGGAGTAACATCCCGTCTCGAACTTAGAAAATCTAAACCGTTTGTCAGCATGGGATGATCAATCACTTGAACCGCTTAACTCTATAAGGAGTCAAGTGAGGAAAAGAGTTGATATTGGAATGCTCCTGCCCAAAAGTGTAAGTAGTATTCCATATGTGAACGAAGATGAGCATTATAAAGCTAGAATCGACGCTGATGAATGAAATACTCTTTCGGTTATTCAGAACCCGAAGTTTATTAGAAACTAGTTTCTTTTTTCCTCTAAATAATACCTAAATTGAGCGTCGCTCGAAATACCATTCCCAATGAACCCGATTTTTTTAGAGATTTAAAGAGGGATATCCAGGAACTTAGGTGCCATAACAAAGTAGACCTTCTTTGCAGTAAATGCACAGTCTTGTGTCTTTGAAGGATTAAAGGCCAACAAATGACATTTCCCTTACTCCAAGATCCGTTCCAGAACTTTATTGTATGTTTTGTTAGAAATTTTAAGTAAGGAAGGCAAAGTTTTAAATTTAGTCTTTTGTTAAAAAAGAAAGTACTTTGTCATTTTTGAAAATAACGTTCTCCTAAAAGGGTAAAGAGGGTGTGTCTTTTTAATTATTCAAAATTCAAAATTCAAAAATCATTTATTCATGTAGGACATTTTAGCCGCTTATGAACGTCAAATTTTTACATTATAATTTTATATTTACCCTACCGTCCAGTTCGGTATATAGATCCAATTGAGAAGAACTGGCAAGAAACTCAATTGAATTACTTTTTTTTTTTTAAAGCCAGTTTATTTACAATGTATATTTATATAGGTGTCTATGTCTAACGTTAAATGAAAATTCAGTGCATGAACAACTATTGCCATGCACACTCGTCATTCAAGTAATCGTTTAGTGAGTAATAGGCTTTGCTCAGTAAATATGATTTAACAGATGTTTTGAATTTATTTAAGGGTAATTCCAACATATCCTTTGGTATCTTATTGTAAATTTTTATACCTATTCCCATAAAAGACCTATTAACTTTTTCTAAACGATACTTGGGGACAGCAAGTTTGTCTTTAAATCTAGTATTAATATTATGAATATTGCTGTTTTTTGGAAATAAGTCAAGATTTTTATGAACATATAGAATATTTGAATATATAAATTGAGAAGCAACGGTGAGAATATTTGCCTCTTTGAATTTCTCTCTTAATGAGTCACGACTCTTCATACAGTAGATCGCTCGAACGGCACGTTTTTGTAATATGAATATATTCTTAATATCTGCCGCTTTTCCCCATAGTAATATTCCATAAGAGAGTAAACTATGAAAATAACTAAAATAGACTAATCTAGCAGTATCAGTATCAGTGTACTGTCTAACTTTACGCACGGCAAAAGCTGCTGAACTTAGTTTCGCTGCAAGGCTTTGAATTTGTGCACCCCATTGTGTTTTATTATCTAGTGTGATTCCTAGAAAGACAGTAGAATCTATAAATTCGAGAGATTCGTCATTTAATTTAATATTGCAATTAGTATTAAAACTTTTAGATAGAGAGAAATTAACACATTTTGTTTTTTTAGCGTTTAACATAAGATTGTTAGTTGTAAACCAGTGCAGGAGACGCCGCAAAGCACTATTTACATCGTCATAATTATTTGTCATTCTATTAACTTTAAAAATCAATGAAGTATCGTCTGCAAACAATACTATGCCGCATCTATCCTGCATGGCATATGGGAGATCATTAATGTAAACTAGGAATAAAAATGGACCGAGAATAGATCCTTGAGGTACACCCATTTGCACAAGTGACCCGTCAGACGTAGCGTTGCTAATCTTCACTTTCTGTATTCTATCAGATAGATAAGATTTTATTAAATTTAAAGCATTGTCTTTGACGCCATAAAAAGCAAGTTTTTTTAGCAATGTATTATGATCAACGCAATCAAAAGCCTTAGAAAGGTCACAAAAAACACCTATCACATCCATTTTAGTTTCCCATGCAGCAAATACGTGTCTAAGCAACTCTGCACCTGCGTCTGTAGTTGAACGACCTTTGGAAAAACCGAATTGACTATTGTGGATTAAATTATTTAAATTGAAATAACTGACAAGTTGCATAAGGATTATTTTTTCAAAAATTTTACTGAGTGCTGGGAGTATGGATATAGGTCTATAATTTAACTCCTATCTCCAGATTTAAAAAGCGGTATGATTTTACTAATTTTCATTATGTTAGGAAATTTACCTTCATCTATACATTTATTGAAAATAAAAGCAAGAGAGGGCGCAATAATTTCCATTATACTATCCAGTATTTTAACAGATATACCCCATAGATCCTCTGTTTTTTTATTATTAAGTTGTTTGAATATTTTCATTATTTCTACTGATGATGTATGTCTAAAGTTAAATACAGCTGATGACTTGCTAACATTGTCTGTTAGTAAAGTTTCAGCAGCAGACGGGGAAGAACAAAATTAAACATAATTCTATATTATTTACTTCCATAATATAGAATTATGTTTAATTTTGTTCTATTTAATTTGACTATCTATCTATATACACCATGTCAATCCACTAACCGTAGGTACACTGCTTTCAATTAATATGAATGGTTTAGAAGCATGAAAGTTTATAGCATTTGCATAATTAATAAAAATAATTGCCAAATTTGCTTTGCTTTGCTTCAGCACAAATAAGCATTTGTTTTAAAGCAAAGCAAAGGTAGAGTGAAGACCGAAACACAAAATACGAGTACATAATAATTCACTTGTTCATTGCCGACCAACGACATCCTCTCGGGTACATGAATTATGTTGTAACTTTGTACCTTTGTGTTGTTTTACTTAGTACTATTATAATTTTAATACGCGTCCTCAGCCTTGTCGTCTGAAATAAAATGTATTTGCATTTTATATCAATACATAAACAATTCTCTGTTTATCAGAGCAAGCAATATGAATAGTAATACAGCAGATCAAATATCAAAATACTTTGCGACTTCAGTAGTAACTTAACAGCTAGTCGTGTCGTTTTAGTAGGAGAGATTATTTTTTTTCTTTTATCAACACTTATTCCTATGGAAAAAATAAATTATTCAGTATCACTAGTAAATACTCTCTTAAAAAATTGCTAACGCATTTAATTTCTCTTTGTAAAATTACATAAGTCCATTATTATATTTAATTATCTAGAAGTTTGTTTAAGACTCCGGAATGTATAAATACTCCCTAACTTTTAACTTAGGTGGTAAAAAGTAAGGTAAATTGACCCTTTAAAATTGACTAATAAACTTATTAAAACGATTATCAAGTTAATTTGGTGTCAAATTAATGCAAATGTACCTTTCATTTACATTAATTGATAATTATAGCTTGACATTATTCATTAGTAACCGACATTGGGACTCTCGCTCTTCAATAGAACATTAACAGCTGATATGGATCATAATTAAAGTAGAAAAATGGTCATAATTCTTGCGGGTGTCCATTTATCTGCATGGTCATAACACCATGTATTCTTTCCCCAAATATATGTTAAGTCAAACATATCATTGATTGAGGTACCAAGAGGCAGCAAACTCTTGCATATAATATATTATAGTTATGCTAATAAAATCGCGGATAAAGCTAATTTATAAATAAAACAAAAAATCATGTGATTTCATATTTTGTAATTCCTAAAAAGTACTTAAATAAATAATAAATTATTAATACAGTACTTCAATCTATTACAATCATTATTTACATATACAAGTTCTTTACATAAATTTTATTTTTAATACATTAACTCTGATCATTAATTTTTAAAATTTGGCATGTATACTGCCAGGTACCTTTTATCTTTCAATAATGTATGTAATTTAAAAAAAAAATACAATTAAATATTAAATGAATTACTTCTTTCTAATAACTAAAACAATATGGACTTATTATACTTAAGAATTTAAATTAATTAGTTTTTAATATCTAAGTTTAAATATTCGGGTATATTAGGTTTTATAATTACTGCCATACGACTTATTTTGAATATATTAATCTAACTATATCTCAATGGTAAAATACTATTAACCATTTAAATAAAACCTAATATGAAGAATATGGAATTCTAATAATTAATCAAAAAATGCAAAGAACTCACTTAAAATTGGCATGGCTTCTATTATAATTGCAGAAAACTTAATATTTATGGCAGAAAATTAATCTGTTGAAAGTATAAAATGTTACTGCTAGGTATGTAATACTCAAGTGAAAGTAGAGAGCAAACTAGTTATCAGACGATAGTTATGATAAATCAAGTATTAAAGATCAGGCACAGCGTAAAATTAAGTAAACTTGAGCGTTATTGCAAATATTATGGGTTAATATTATATATTACAGAACGATTGATACCTCATAAATACAATATGCCACCCAGGCGTCAAGAACAAAAAGTGTTAATGTCACTGTGCTCAATAGTTCCAACTTACCATGAACTTTAAAAAATAAATGGTGTTATGCGTTAGTTTTGATAACTGTAAACCGACTTTAATATTTCTTCTTTATTGTTAAAATATTATTTATATTAATGTATTCAATAGTGACTAGTGTTGTTCTCTGTGCTCATGAGTATTCCTGAATTTAAAACGTGAGTAAAGCCGTTATAAACAATAACGTATTGATTTATTTATATTTCAATATATAATATCACCAAAATCTGATTCAGTCTAAAATGGCCAATGGCAAAAAACTTACATAATAATCTATTTAACAATATGCACCATGTTCATCTTTATGTAAAGGACCTATTAGTTTACTAAAAGTCTTAAAATAATGATCCTCGCCTAAGAATAATAAATATTATTATGAAACATGCTGTTTACCTTCATCTCTTTCTCTCTTATATATTCGACTAATAACTTTATTAATTTGTAAACAATTTGCAAATAATTAATCAAAGTATTAAAATTCTCTCAGGTACACAATAACTTAAAGAACAGTAAGCGGCAAGTTGAAGTTATATTTTAAACTATAACAAAATACTTAATTATAATTTGTGTTTAATATACTGTGTGAATAGATCGCGTGTCGTATTCAATAAAACTACAAACTATTCCAATTTTCAAAACTATATAACTAGTTGTGTGGTCTGAATAGTTGATGGTTTAACAAAAGGTTTATCGACATATTTGTTTAAGTCTAGTTTTTACTGGTTTTGCATTTTGAATGTAATTTTACTCCCAATTAGTAGTTTTCTATGTTTTATCTTTACTGAAATCGTTTACATATTATAATTTTTACAATAATTTAACAATACGTATAACAATGATTATAGCCAGCTGAACTTCGAGAATACAATGACCAATTTTATATACTAATACAATTTTTTTTTATTTATATTTAGAAATATGTACGTGACGCGATTACAGATAAATAATACCTACATTTCTGATATTTTTGCATCATGAAAATAAAATTAAGTATATATAAAGAATGTGAAACTTTAAAATTAACTATAATGATGAATTTTATTATTAACTTTAAAATAATGACTTAGAGGAGCAATTGTTTTATCCTATTAGTAATATCTATAGAGTATGTAATAAGTTAGAAATAATCAATAATTAAAATAAATAACTAAAATTATCAAAAAATTTTTCATGAACCGATTACTATGTACAATCAATAGGAATATTTTTTTCTAAACCCTTCTTTTGACCCTTTTTTAAGTAAAAGGTTTGTGAATAACGATTGACAAAAATAGATGTCAATTTATATAAGCTCCATATTCAATATTGCTTCCATGGTAACCATAATGAATTTCTGCCATTTCTGCGTCCCGTCCCTTCACTGTACTATGATTTTTAAAAGCGTTCAGGATTATTAGACCTAAAGCCACTTTTCCAACCATAAGAGCTTTGAAGAGCATGAATTTAAGCATGCTCAGAAATAATGGGACAATTGTTGATTGTATGATGAACGGCATGATGAATAAAGGCAAGATACGCTCCATGAGTTTTTTCTGTTTGCCTCTGCCTGGAATAAGAAAAACAAAACATTATTCTACCTAGATTTTAGAATAAGAAATACAAGTAAATACCCAATTGCGTAGGAAAGGAATGTAATGTTTTACAGCTGTAGGTATGTATGTAAATTATAATTTAAATACTATTTATATTATTCAATTAAAAAACATAATTGCAGTATGTTATTATGAAATAAGAGACGATTCTTCCGATTTTTTTGTGTATATGATGTGGAATATCTTCTGAATCTGAATCAATACGTTAATCATTAGTGATTATTTCCGTATTGGTTTTTTTTCTTATACAACTTAGAATGGCAAACAAGCTGACGGCCCACCTGATGGAAAGTGGTAACCGTCGCCTATAGACATGAGCAGTACTATGGACATAACAGAGTATACTGTTTCACCCATGATACCTCCCATGCGTTGCCATTCCTGAGGACTCGGATGTTATTCCTCTGTACCCTGTAAATTCACTACATATCCCACCCTTCAAACCGAAACATTGGTTCTAAATTAATTGTATTATGATCACACATCTCTTTTATGCGGAGCAAAATTCTGAATATAATTAAATAAAACTATCAAATATATTTGTAATACAATAAAACATATAACTAGAGTTAATAAAATATGTATAGATATGTATAGATGTTTTTATATGTGCAAGAAGAAATACATTTTACATATAAGTACTTCTTTCTATACCTACACTTGAACTTTCAAGAGAGGTCGTCGAAGAAAGTTATCATAAAGGAATGCCGTAAGGTTAGTTAACAGTTAATTATAAAAAATACTTCTCGATGAGATGAACAGACACGATCGAGGACATCGAAAATATATCTTTTTAACTGGATTTAAAAACGTATATGTATTAATTATACACATACCTATATGCATAAATATTTTATAAATATGCGAATATTTAGCACAATAGCACAGACTGGACAATCTGTGTAAATGTCTTGACCAACTTTTAATAAATAGTGTATTAATAATTAGCTACAGTATTAAGTTATAGTATATACCTACAGCTTTAGTGGTAAGACAGGAGAAGAAAAACTCAAAATGGATTTTTGTACCGAAATGCTTGGCCAGTATAATAGGAACGAATGAACGAATAAAAATTCTTTATTGTTTCCTTCAAAGAATGATACAGATTATAAAGATTAACTATGTGTACACAAACAAAATGAATATTTAATAATGAATAGTGATTTAAAAGTTTTCTGCTCATAGTTCATAGACATTAACAAGGCGAGGTAACATCATTCCAAATAATCAAGTAGATTCTACTTTACTATTTGGAATATCAACGTACAGTTTTTATATAAATTGAAGTATGTATTTGAGTCATCTATCTCTATTATGTCAGGTGTACATCGATGACGCTTTGGTACTCTCATTTGCTCTAGGTTACTGATCTACAAAAATTTAACAATGAGTTTTTGTGGATCCGTAATCTAGAGCAGACAAAAAAAAATATATGGGGCATTCCGATACAATCTGATTTAATAACATTTTAATTTAGTTTTTTTTTTTATGAAATCAGAATGAGCACAGTAAAATTAATTTAAGTAGATAAGTGTGATTATTTTTTATGTGAAACCGTTCAAGTGTGAGTTGCACTCACACGCTATGAGTTCCGTATATAAATTAATCTGTAAATATATATATTTTTGTTTTCTTTGTTAAAATTTTATTCGAAAACATGAAATAAAATTTTATACGAAATAAACACTCAATACTTATTATTAGTGTTACTGTAATTTGGAATTTCTTATTTTGTAATTATTTTAGGATTTTATTTTAGGATCTATAATATAATATAATATAATATAATATAATAAAACAGAAGAGTTTGTAAAATTTAAAATTTTAATTACTTGTTGTAGACAAGAATTATTCCATTTATAGATTATCATTTAATTAATTAATTATTTAATTTTAAATTTTGAAATGATTATTAAATTCGTGAGTACTTTTTTTGAACCATCTACCAATTTCCTTTGTAATATGAGTGGATCAATAATATATAAAGCTATTATAAATTACTTTTTGATAGTATTAGTAGTTTTTGATATACTCGTATAGCGAACAAATGGGCTATGAGGTTTTTTTTGTAAAATTTTGCTACGGAATTCTAATAATAATATAATAAATATAAATGTAAAGATAGAACAATTAAATTATAAACCTTAATAGTTAAAAAGCAGAGTCCGTCGATTTAATAGAGCCTATCACACCATTTTATGGTAAGTAAGCAACTAAGATCCCACATCAGATAAAAGACTTCATCATCACTAGTTGCTGCTGTAATAAATATCTATTTTATTTACGCTTACCGAACATTTAGCATCGTTTCAGTTTTGTATTTTTTTCGGTGACAACTCTAATTCGAGAGCCTAACTGACTGATAATTGTAACAAAACTTTGGAAATTATAAAAAATATTGTATTAATGTTATTAAACCATTTATATAATATTTTTTAATCTTTCATAACTTACACAAAACCGAACTATTATTCTCATGGAAACATACAATCGTTCCTCGGGGAAAGTGGTACTATTTTGCAGAAATTATTTCCATTGTTCGCGTATTATTGTTACCAGTGCTACTTACAACGCTAAACAGTTGGAAACAATTAATGAAGTACCTGATTACAGTTCAGGGCATTCACTTTCCCTAAAGCCGAACGAATGGTAAATGTAATAGACACTTCCCCATCGATGGACAACAAGCACCTGTGTCTGCTCTGATTACCTGAATGCACGCAATTTCACCGCTTTCACGCGGCTCACTAAAAACATGCGCGAACGTATTTCGTAGTTTTAAATTTACAAAAATTTAATGTCACAGACACGTGATGCAAATAAACGGGTTTTGTAACAGCAATATAATTGATGCAAATTTTACAAATGTCTATCTACGGGAAGTTAGTTTCATTATTTTGCTATTAATTTAGTGGACTTATGGTACAAACGATGTGGTGTACATGCGATTGAAGTATTGTTATTCATTTTTATATACACTTTTCCTATTACGTTTTACATATGACTATTGACGATGCAAATATTTTTTTTATGCGACAAACAACCAGACAGCCAACTTGACACAAAATGGTAACTGTCGTTAATCAACATTAAAAGTAATATGGACATTAGATAGTATACTCTGACGCCCATGACAATTTTCATGCATTATAATTTCTGAGAAAAAAAAGTACTATGCCTCTGTACTACGTAGTTTCATTTCTATCAAATGAATCTCATCCTTCAAATTCATTTTGAAGGATGAGAATTATTTGATAGAAAATGAACAATAATGCAGAAACAACAGAGGAATATAATTATACAAGTATATTTTTTTACAAAGTCTGCTTTTAGTAATTTATTAATATAATTAAATTATGTAAAGTAAAAATGTAAAGTATGTTAAACCTTTTAAGTAAATAAGAGGAATAGAAGGGATTTTCGCTAGTCATCTAATTTAACATATCCGAATAGGTATTAATTAGAATTTGGTAGAATATTGTTTTCCTGTTTGATTTGTTCGCATTTTTACGAAAAGGAATCTCTGGTGCAAGACATATATCGCTTTCCCATACATTGGCTGACGTGCCAAAGCATGGTATGGATAGGATTAGACAACATCTCTTTAAGGGTGGTCTCTTTCAGTAAGTATTTACAGAACTTACAAATTCTATACTATAACTACATAAAAGAATAGCTATGGCTCTATAGAAACAACCTCTGTGGTGAGGTTAAATTTTTTCTTCCTCTGTCTGAAGAAAATTTGTACAGTATTATTTTTTACAAACGTTTATTATCTACTATTATTCAGATTTACTGATATCGAAGTCTTGAGCAAATTAGCAATTTTATTGAAAACATCAATATTATAGAAAAGCTATAAATATTTTGTATATGTGTCTAGTGCACAATCGAGAGGTCATGACTGTAGATACCAACATCTATATATGGTGACGTCACAGTCAAAAATAAAAGGTTTTGCATCTGTGATTATAACGAACGTAGCTACTTAAAAATCAATCGAACAAATCTCCTTTTACTTACGCTCCACTTTATAAAACTTTTAGATCACTACGTGACCAACTGCGAATTCGTACTACGAGTGACGAGTACAACAGAAATTCATTACAAAAAAATTTGTAACAATGTTGTTAATGCTACAATTTTGACAACTAAATAGCCTATCCAGTTCTATTTTATGAATGTAAATTTAAACATTTTCTTAAAAATCTAACTACTGTAATAATTAATGACATTTTATATAATTATTACTTTATTAACTATTCAAATTGGTATTAATAAGTTATCATAATATTTAATTTAGTAAAAATTAAAATAATTATTTTAAAATAATTTAGTAATAAATACTAAAAGTCCGAAGCGGATCATCTTCACACTATTGTAAGAAATTGAGATTGAGTAAATGTTTTAAGTTTGAATTGGGAATTATTTTTTCTCGTGTATTATTAATATGTCTATCAATGTTTATATCATATACACGTAAATATACTATACAAAATTCTAGCAAGTATACATTCAAAATATATATAAGAATTTTGTATCACTTTTATTTTTCAACATTTCTCCCCACTTACCGAATAATTACTCTACTCGTAGTTATAATATTATATACCCCTTCACGCACACACAAATTAAAAAGTTGGCTTGTTTTTGGCAATGCGTTTGTATTGTGATACTTCTTCAAAAGATCACGAAATATATGTATAATTTCAGCTTTATTTTAATTTCTCTATACAGTTAAAAGAACTTAACGAAAATGTAAACAAAAGAATAAATGGCCCGCCCAAAAGACAGTTTGGTGGTGTCCAAATATTAAAATAAAATAAATCTATTGATTGATTATTTCGATTTCTTACTAACTTCTTTTAAAAAGTACTTCTGTAAAAATTTTATCAAAATTTAGCCAACCTTTCATTAAATTTTATTGCAATAGACTATAAATAATTTAATCAAAAAGGTTCACCAAAAAAGTTAGTTTAAAGGTACCTAATAACACAATTAAGATTACAGAACGTTTTTTGTTAAAAATTTATAAAAAAGATAAAAAATATGTCTCAAAATTTGGAATAATAGATATAGTTCGCCGTGTGGTTCCAGCATAGAATAGGCTACCCCTTTCTTTCCTTGTGGGTGTCATAAGAGGTGATTAAGGGAATCAATGGTCGAAGGATGGACATCAATATCTATCTTAAAATATCACCAAAGATTAACTGCGGTTGCCAACCCGTCTGCCAAGTGTAGCAACTGACAAAATCTTTATATTTGCAGTGGATAGTTAACGGCTGGTATAATAATGATGATAATATATATAGTTTTATACCAATTTTAGAATAGTAGCGTAAATCGATTTAGTACTTTCCACTTTATACAAGAACATAATTTTCACATGTAATTTAAATACTTATAGTATAAAATGTTGACCAACATATACACTTGATATTCTATAAAATATACACATTATTTATGCAAATAAATACAATTCGTTACATAACTGGAAAAGCAAACAATTAGAAAACAAACGGATGTAACAAAGTAGAAAAACCAGAGTGTAAAATAAGTTTTCGTTAGTTTATGACCACTACGTTGTCATGTAACACTCTCACAATTACTTATGTATGAGTCTAGTATGCACATTTTATAATATAACAAGTATGTAAATGTAATATAATTTCTTCTTAGAAAAATTACTTTAAAAGGATCAACGATCAAATGTTTCGTAGATACTTTATATTGCAAATATTTGAATTTAAAACGCAATATTGCATGTTTATATGTAGATTTTGCTACACAACAAGCAAACTTTTGCCCCGCATTTAAAAATTAAAGCTTCAATCATTACAAGGTTACACGTTGCTCGCAAAGAGCCGGAGGCACATACATACTCGTACATCCGTAAAACATTACCCTCGTTTCTTCAGTAATCGAGTAATAAAAACAAATTAGTGACATTTCCTTTTCCTTACAATACAATGACAGGAATGGCATGAAAAAAAATATGTAACTACTCAAATAATTGCAAGTTTCATGATTTTAGTACGCCTGAAGCAAATCAGAAAAGCCCATTTTTTAAATTGTTGATACCGTTATCATTTATATGAAAGAAGTTCTTTACACCACTAACCCTTACTAATATTACAAATATGAAAGTGAGTTTGTTTGTTTATTATCTTATAGCGCCTTAACGGCTTAACCAATCACTATAAAATTTTGTATACACATATTATATGGGATAGAGAAGAATATATGCTATTTTCACCCCGATCAGTAAACTTACCCAATTACACGAACAAAGTCGGTGATAAAAGCTAGTAGGAGATAATTCTGATTTTAAAGACCTATGCAATGAACATGTAACGGACAAATTTTCCCATTCTATATATTTGTACAACACGTGTGCGATATAACATGTCATTTTTGGGAATTTATTATGTCCGGATTAAAATTTGCACAGAGGATTGTCTCTCGTTAGACTTAAAAACCGGGGAAAAACGAGAGAAACATAAAGGGGAATTTTGTACGATCAAAAAATTTTTTTCGTCGCTTAGACCATGAGATCGTAAACAGATTTGACTTTAATGTATTTTTGATTTTAGAAATTATTGCTGATTCTCACATTATTAAATTAGCTTTTATTTGTAGATATTATAAACATACTATAAATTATTTGTAAATGCTAATAATCTTCTTGGAATAATTCATCAAAAACGTAATGTATAATTTATATATATAGGGCATATTATAAAACGATAATATCTAGACGTACTCAGTAATTAAAATGCTTGAAACTTCATAATTATAAATTTCCAATATATGTTAATAATAATTATGTTTCACAAAAAACCGACTTTATTTGAGATAAAACTAGTTATTTTGATCTAGAAAATAACCAACTATACCGATTTTGATAAAATTTCTATAGGACCAATCTGTAAGTATATACTTTTAGATAAAAAAGAATTTTCCAAAATAGTTTAAAACTGACGGAGTTATGAACTATAAAAAGAAGTAGAGCCGAATTACCAGATAACCTGCTCCTTTTTGATGTTGGTTGAAAACTGAAGATAATTTTATATAATTACGAGATAAGAAAGGGATTTCACTTGCATGTTGTCGTCATCATCATCATCATCATTTTAACTTCATCGTTCAGTATTGGATTAAAAATGTAATACTATTAATGTAATTTCCATATCTCGGTATCTATTTATCGTATTGCCCAAAATTACATATCTGTAGCTTTGCGATTACGTGATTAAGCCTATTCAAATCCTCTTTACCTAATTAATGGAAACTAACGAAGCCAAACTCAATTAATAAAGGATTTGTGAAACACAGTATAAATATTTTGAAAGTAAATAAAACAATCTCACCTTCGGCAGCAGTTTGTTTAGTGTCGATTTCAAATGAAAATAATTTTTCCGTGTCATTGTGAGGAATCTTCAGGGTGATACCTTGGATGAGTTCCACTTTTTTGATTAGGTCATCTTGAGGCAATGTTGATTGTGGATCTTGAGCGAACACCAACGTGGCCTTCACAGATAATACGATACAGGCACAGAGGAAACATACCGCGCGCGCCATTCTGTCGAGTGGCAGTGGATATTCTGATTAATCTGTAACCAGCTTTCTGCCAGCCCCCACCATTGATAGTCTTACAAACTGTTGTAACTGTATCGAGGCATGCTGTGTATGCAAACAGTAATGTTATCGCATGGAACACCCCGTTTGGTAACAACGTTTGGTTACTATATTAGTCATGTATATATACCGTTAAGTGATGAATCAAACATTATTTTTTCATTAATTCAATAACAATGCATATGCCTTTAATCATTTTATAAAACATTATGCTTTTTTTTCTTAAATAAATAAATAAATAAAAATAAATAAATAAATTCATTCATTAACATTACAAATATGAGGATCCGTCATCGTATATAAATCATTATGAAAACAAAAAATCAAAGGGAATAAAATTAAGGCAACTGGAAAACAGCCAAAAATAAATGAACATCACAAAAACATTTCTTTTTCTTTTACATTTTTCATAATGTCAACTTTCATCCTATCTATATTTTCATAAAGATTTATTGGTTGATAGCCTCTGGTTAAAGCTTGATAATTAAATAAACAAAAATACTATAAATAATTGATTTACCTACTCTGTTTGAATAAGTGTTTTGTTTTTTCTTTTACCCTAAATGCCTAATTTGCAAGACAGTGACAAAGTATTCTAATAATCAAAATAGGTTTGTAGAAGGTATTGATTATTAGGAATAGGAGAGTAAGAGTTTAACATGACATACCTATGGAAAATTGGTCAAGTTCAGGTTGAATTCGTGTTTTTTCGAGTATTCCATCTGGTTTTGTTCTGTTGCAAGCAAGGTTATTTAAATGCAACATGCAACCACATATTATATACTATAACTAAATTATTAATTACAATATACTACTACTAAAGTGTGTTATATCGACATTCTAATACAAAGTTGTGTATATCTAAATCCTCTCTTTTAAATGAATATTGTTATTAAAATTAGGAAATCGTATGATGTCGTTCATTTTCACAAAAGTATTTTTCATACATGGTATGTAAGGTTTATATAGTTATGTAAGTACATAAATTATCTGGAACATACATACAGACAGACAGGTAGATAAATTAAAAAGTTATTATTTTAGCTTTTATTCTTCTTAAATATCGACAGACATAGTCTAGCTATGCATTAGTTTAGTAGCTATAGGTACCTACAGAAGAAATGGTAGCGTGACATTAATAAAATTTGTCGGAATAGCTGTTCTATAGCCGCAGAATAGTTATTTTACATGTAAGTACCCGGTCTTTTTTGTAAGGCCTATAATTTTCGTCTGTGGAGTTTTATAGCTCCATTATTATCGTATTATCCAATTTATAGCTAACATGTAGGTAAATAGACAAAAAATGACTCAATGTAGTTATTACACAATGTACCTCATTTACTGTATGTTCATTAAGTTATAACTATCGGGACTTAACGCGACAAGATTACAGGTAAACAATACCTACATACAAACCTGATTTTTATTATATGCCAACAACGCGAAAGTTTATAATTAATATATAGGTACTTCGTGAAAGTAGATAGTTGGAAACTAAAGCCCGTTGGATACTAGATAACCTAGTTAGATCCAACCTGAAGTCATAAATATTTTGCTACGTTATACAGGTAAGCAACTCAAAACTTTATCATCAATATGTAAAAATATACATGTTTTAAGTGTAAAATAATGATTCGTAAAAATAAAGCTGAACTTAATAGTAAAATATTAAATACCTTTCAATAATCATGACTCGCGGGCATATTTATAAATTAATGCACTAATAAAAATATATTATATATATAAAAATATATATTCCAAAAGCAACGTTAATAAATTTAGGATTTTATTCCACACAAATTATTGTTTTTAATTTAAATAAAATTTCTGTAGTAATTATAACAATTAAAAAAAATATAGTCATCAAAGTCGGGACAAAATTAATACACTCAAACGAAAACACATTATTAAAGGTGTGGAGCTTTACGCGTAATTATTTTGTGCTTACATTATAATTATTATCTCACATTTATGATGCTTGAGGTAAGTACTAGTACAATAGTTTATTAATTGTCTAGTTTTAATTACAATCTTACACGCAAACTAAGTGAACACGTTTCGTTTGGCGTTTATATCACATTCGTAATTAGTTGCTAACTTTCAGTTCATCAACATCAGACAATCTAATGTCGACGAACTGAAAGTCGCTTCGTCAAAATGAACAATTGAAAGTTAATGATATATATATTTTTTTTTATTTTAATATATTTTCTTTCTGGTTTTATATATACATTTTGCAAATTAATTGACTCCTAAAATTTTATAGTAATTAATTTAAATAAAATATCTAAAACTGCGCAAAATGTTTTTAATGATAGCTTGAAACAAAATATTGTTTAATATGCTCTCCTTATAATTCAAGCTCTACAAAATATCATGTAATTAGATAGACGACAACATTTTATTAGCCGGTAAACGACACTGGATTGATAGATATGTCTTCGCTACAGAAATGCGTGAGATAGAACAAAATAGCAACAGTTCTTTTGCATAAGATGAACACGTATTTAGCAATAGATTGTTTTACTTGATAATGAACGTAGGTAACTTCTATATAACAGCGTAAATTAAAACAATAGGCAAAATACTTCTGACTATATTTATAAACGAGAAAGTAAATGTGATTTAAATTATATAAACGTCCCTTGGGTTATAAATAATTTGTGTGACGCAACGTAATAACTGTTTGGAATGCAAATTGTGTAATAAATTAACAAAAGTTCAAAGAAATCAAGTATAGTCCTCTGCCAACAAACTGGTTTACAAAATTATACTTCAAGCTTCGATTTCAATGGTTCAACTTTCATTTTCATATAGTGCCCCAGAGAAATTTTCCATAAAGTTACATAAAAACGTGCCGACCATTATACTCTTATACGTGGTTCACACGATATCCTTAAAAACAAGAGATACCATTTGAGTACTTGAGAATGTTCTATTGTAGAATGCGAAAAAGTGTTCTGTACTGTGATAATGAATAGAATTGTTCTACGAGTATTGTGATATTTCTTTAAAATTTAGTAAAATCTAATATGACAACTTTTAAATGGATTTTCTTTTTAAGCGAATGTCTTTGTTATATACAATATATATATATATATATATATATATATATATATATATATATATATATATATATATATATATATATATATATATATATATATATATATATATATATATATATATGATGTCTTTATTTACTTTGATAATTTATTTGCACCCCTAGTTCAGTCTGGTACTCCGTTAGCAATAGTACAAAACTATGTTCTCTGAATACTATTAGTAACATATTAATAGGTTATACCCACTTATGTTGTATCTACATGTACTTTATTCCTGCATAGATATTCCCATTATTAAGTAACAAGAAGAACAATGCGTGAACTAGTACAATTTCTGACAAAAAAGGTATACATTAGTTAAAAGTAGTGTCCATTGTTTTGTTTAAAAACAACCGTTTACAGTTTCCATTAACTGATTTCTTTTTTATTTTACTTTAAGTGGTCATAATTATAAAATAATAAAAAAGACTATTTATTGATCGGAACTTCTATTATTGTGTCTTGTATTTCAATATTGGATAGATCTTTGTTACTCTTTAACACGAAAACTACTTTTGAATGAAATTTAGTACAGGAATAGGTTATATCTTATACGGGATATATTACGTATATAGGTAATAATTTACTCATGTAAATTAATATCTTTATAGTATATATAGATTTATAGAAGCGAAGCCGCGGAATGCAGCTAGTATTTGATAAATTTGTAGTCCTAGATGGACTAGTAGCATTCAGCACTAGATAGAATTGTAAATATAGAAATATGTGTGATACTACTATATGTAAGTACATAAGCATTTCTTCATTTACTTATATCTTTTTTGAGTGACCTTATCAACAATATCAGAGGTGATTTTTGAAAGTTTATAGACAAAGTGAAATCACTGACTTATGTGACATTAACCCCTAAGTTCTCACGATGGCAATACAAGTACATGAGGGTCAAACGCAGTTTAATCTATAAATATAGTGCTTTTCATGTTCATACAAATGAATCGTTCTTTTTCACTTTCTTTGTCCATCAATTTTAATAGTACTTATATAATAACTGCTATACGCATATAACATAATCACATGCACCTATCGAATTTATTGTAGAATACGTATACCTATGATTTTTATGAGGTTGTTTTTTACGTTCAATTTGAGTAAGGTGATTACGATTTCGACAAAAAAAATCGAATTTTAACATGTCAAACTTCCTAAATCCTGTTTAGTGCAAATAGACGTATTGAAATCAGTGTAGTGTTGACGACGATATTGCATAACCTTTGCTCGTACATACAAATATAATAAGAATTGAGAACTCCCCCATTTTGGAAGTCGATTATAAATAAATAACAAAATTACCAACTTATACTTTTATCAAGACTTAAAGTAAGAGATAATTTTGTGTATAAAACACAGCACATTATAAAGGCATTGCAGATGGTAGAAATTTTGTTATATTGTTCTCATAGCCATTTAGTATTTAAACATCAAGATTGTAACTTCAAGTGAACTGAGGAACATGTATGCGTTTCAGCATGCATTTTTAGGTGTTTTATTATAAACGGCTTAAAATACAGGTACGTAACGCTGAAATTATTCCTTGACGGATTTAAAAGTCTGGCCAAACAAGGAAAATAATAACAAGACTATAGATATTTTGTCTGTAGACGTAATAAAGGAAAATTTTATCTGTAGATAACATATCCATGGTTGGAGCAGGTTTTGAAATGTAGAAATAAAAGAATTGTGTTATTCAGGTACTAATAAATAAAGTTAAATTGAATCGTATTCAGTATATATTTAATAATAAATAGTCTTATGAACATAGCATTCGTCGTCTATTGTTCACAATAATTTTGGAAGTTTGCGAAAAACAGACGAAGAATTTTTTATGAAAGGAACCTAACGAATTCCATTCCTTTCAAGTAATTTTATATTCCTAAAGCAAAATATTTCGTTAAAAGTAATAAATGTAAACAACATTTACAAATTAACTTAAATAATACATCTTCCTGTGAAAGTATTCAGTCGTCATTACGAGTAGATACGTTATAATAAAAAATAATGAGACTTATTTTAAATATTATAAATTAAGTTATAAATGCATCAATTCGTAGTTCTACTGTTACCGGTGAGGTAGCAAATCGGATCGATTAAATGGCTTCTTGATCTTACATTATTAAAACATATAGCTATAAACAATGACTTATTTTCTAATCAGAAATGGTAGCGTCATTGTCAGATCTAGCCCACGGAGACAGGAGAGGGCCAGGAGCTGGCCAGGGTCCGGTTACAGGAGCAGGTAAAAGTTCAGCTCGAGGGTGTAGATGTACTAGTGGTGAGGGCGCTGAAGCCGCGAAGAACAGACGCGACACCGCCTGATGTATTGAAAAAAAAAAGTTTTAAACATGCCAATGTATATATATTAAAATGTATAGTATATATAAATACACGTCCTTTCGCGCAGTCACATATACACACACAGACACACGCAAGTGCACGAACACACACACACACACACACACACACACACACACACGCAGGCTTGCACGCACATATGTAGTAATATAAATAATTTAGTATGGACTTGTCATTAAAATAAAAATTAATAATGATTGGTACAGAATTGCATAATTAATAAATGTTACAAATACAATCACTGGATTTTTTATTATTGTATACAGTGAAAAAAGTTACCTGACTAACAGCAACAATGAGTAACATTACTCCAATAGCGAGATTCTTCACAGAAATCACAGCTAGAGCCATTAAAAGCGTTGATATGACGCCCAGGGTAAACATAACAGGCAGGAATATAAATGACAGCCGTTTGAGAGCATTGTGACCGAACGTGCGGCCGACGTTCATATCTGAAATATAAATCAAAGCAACATGTTGGCACACGTGACGTCCATTCGCGTTACGAACCAAAATAATATAACCTACACTGGTTGGGATTGTAGTGTAACTGGCTACCAATATCTGAAAGCGACAATTCACAGAATACCCTAGTGTTAAATCTGTATACATAATCATCATCATATCAGTCGATAACTGTCCACTGCTGAACATAGGCCTCCCCATTTTGCCTGTAGTTGCCACACTTGGCTAGTGAGTTAGCAACCGCAGTTAGGCTTTTGGGACCATTAGGTTCCCTTAGTCGCTTCTTATGACACCCACGCGAAAGTAAGGGCTGGCCCATTCTATGCCGGGACCATACGCCTTATTAATATTATAAGGGTGAAAATTTATAAGTTTGTTCATGTCTTTATTACTACTTGCCGATTTAATTTGACTGATCGTCACGAAATCTGACATACCCTATTTATTATACAGCTATTTAGGATAGAGTGGTTCTTAGGTTATCTTTAATCCCAATCAACCAATATATAGTTTTACGAACGAAGCCACGGGTAAAGAATAGTTCAAAAATAATTTTCTAAAGTATATGTATATGTTTTTGGAAACTTTTACCAAAGGGAGATTTAACATTAAGTTGCTTGCGTGGGAATATTTTTTCTGCCAAACAGCTGTCCCAATAAGGTAATATCAGTAATTCGAAGCGTGGATTTAGTGAAGTGATATTATTGGTTATGGAAGCGTACACCTTGGTTTTTTAAAATACTATAATCATATAATGCATGTCCATATCCTAGATGAATTTTGGGTGTTCTTCAAAAGAACCAGTTACCGCTTATCACTTCATTAAACGATTCTTATCTTTCATTACGACTTATTTATTTTATTACAAAGTTGTCATTTATTTAAACATAAAGTTATTATTTTCTGTGTATTCTTTTTATTTATCTTAAAAATTACATATTGAAAATGGATTCAACTAATAGAAATACACTACCGATTGGTAATAAAAAAGAAAATACTGGAAATACGCACAATGATTGGCGTTTGAATTGACTTTTTGACAGCCAGATTTTAAAACAAATCGTACAGCTAACTGAATACAAATTCGCAATTCTCCCCTTACAGAAACCTATATCATGCAGAAATAAATATACTCTTTACAAATACATAGGTACGTACCATTTACAATGAAATAAATTTGAATGAAATTAGAATAATTTTTTTGTAGGTACTATCAAAACGTAAGTATTATGTATAATGTATTGAGTAAAGCTAACAGAGCGCATTTATAATATAGTCGTATAATATGATAAAACTATTTAGTTATAAAAAATGGAACAAAATAACAATGTAAAAATTAAAAGAGACTTGCTCCGCAACAAAAGGTATACTAAATGAGAGGACGATGAAATTGATGAATGGTGTTATATAGCTGTAAATGCAGAGGATACAGAAGTATTATAATTTATTTCTCTGGATTAGAAACATCTAAGGAATACCGTAGATGCGACTGTTTAGTTCATGGTAGTATTTATGTTTTTATATTATAGTCACCACTATCCATCAGATTGGTTAGGTATCATTCCAAATCGTATTTAAAAATATAAAAATAGAAGTACAAATGATATAAGTTACCAGAGTGAGATACCACAGTTTGCATGGCTGTGTTTCGGTATGAAGGTTGGGATATGGCAGTGAATTTACAGGGTACAGAAACATAACACCTTAGTCCTCAAGAGTGGCAATTTATGAGGGGTATCATAGGTGAAACGGTAAACTCTGTTATGCCCATGGTACTCATGTTTGTGTCCATGTACTGACATGTCATGTCAGGCGATGGTTATCACTTTCCATCAGATGGGCCGTCAGCTTGTTTGCCATTCTAAGTTGCACAAAAAAAAGTTATGTGGTAGACTGTTTTATCACGATCAGTATATGGTATTCTATTTGACAAACCAAAAGTTATTCAACACTGTAGTACATCTAAGATTAACGAATTATTAATTCTTTAAAACATACTCTGATTAATTGTTAGTTTAATCTAACATCACTTATGAAATTTTCGTTTACATGAATATACAGTTAAAATAATTTTCGTTATATCACGACTTCTAAATATACAGAAGGAAGCAAACTGCATCTTATGAAATGCAACTTGGTCTTTAGTATATCACCATTGACAGTATCTTATATGATGCTTTACGTTTTTGTTAAATCATACGCTACTTTCTAGTCTGGTTATTTACCTATTGGAAATATCTATTCTATTATAGAATTTCACTACAATTCATTTACCCATTTTTCGTAATATATTCAAGATAAATGTTCTACCACCAAAAGAGGTCGACCAAGTAGCAGTAGTAGCAAATTATACCAAGAAGGCCAGGAGAGATTCGTCCTGCAGCTGAAATAACTCGTGACGGTGTTGGGCATTTCCCTAAACATGACGATGGAACTGGGACTAAGTGTAAAATGGTGAGATGCAAGGAAAAATCCCGCGTAAAATGCAAAGTTCATTTATACCTAACCAAAGACAAGAATTGCTTCTTGGCTTTCCACACATAGATAAAGATTTTTTTTTTCCTAATTATTGTTCTTACTGTGTTTTTATGTTTATTTTATCACAAAGAAAAAATTTAACTACGTTAATTCATTTATAATTTTGTGGACTATATGTGGTAATTTCGTAATAGATATCAATTCTGAAAATGACATTATGTAGTATGATGAATAGAATTTATTCCAATTGCGTAGATTTTGAAAATAAACCGAGCCCATTTAGAAATTCTACAATGGTATGCCTCAATAGTTAATTGTCTGGTTTTGTACAATAAATTTGAGCTTGAAAACTACATATAATTATATATGGTATTAACCAACAGGTAACCTCGTTTGCGAATTAGATAATAGACGTAATGGAACTATGACTAAAATATAATGTACCTTTGCTTAGGAAATCCATAACACTTGGTGACACATTATCATTGACGTCACACTGAGCCACTGCCAAAAATATAACGAGATACGTTAAAGTCAACACTGACATTTTGTTGCACATTTTTGCTCCTAAGACTTGAGCCTAGGTGATCTGCTAACGACTGTTCGATTATGACTGATGGTTTTTTTTATCGATGCCAGGATATAAAGTGTCCTGCGGAAGACAATAGTCGGTAAGACCAAACAATCACGACAAAAGAAAGCGCAGGGCAACGTGACCGTGCAGTAGAAATGTTGCCCTCGATTATTAAAGACAGTGATGTTCAAATTCTCAAAGGAATATATATTCCTGTATCGAGTTACTTATAGGTTCCTTTTACATATTTATTCTTGTAGATTCTTTTGATTTTCTTTCCAATATTTACAGTGTTAGTTTTCTTAAGAGTACTAATCTCTAAATAAATATAAACGAATTTCAGTATCTATTTATAAAGTATTTTATTTTTGCATAATTGACACGAGAAAGATCGGGGATTTAGAATTCTCAGAATATGATTATCTTACTGTTCTATATAAATTATCTTACTTATTCAATAATTCTGAATTTAAAGTCACGATCAGCGAACTGGTAACTTGATAAACAGTGAGAACAGACAAATAGAGAATTATTAGCTGATAAATCTTATAGAAATTTTGAATATAGCCTATTTACCTATATATACCCTATTTTCGTCATATTTTAATAAGATAGATAATATTTAGTTGAATCAGAATTTTTCTGAAAGTTAAAGGTGTTAACTATACGTAATATCATTAAACAGGAGCTAGTTTTACGTTACATTGTTATTTATGTTAATATAAACTTAACAATAAAATCTTGCCAAGAATTAGACCATTTTCACTAACATATTTACTATTATTACTTTCTATGTATCCCAGTTTGGCCCGTACAATTTGTCTCTCAAAAAATCAGTTATTAAATGCATAAATATTTTTTCAAATTGCGATTATTATATTAGTATAAATAAATCGTAATGAAATGTATTCGTATTTATTAAAATAAAAAATATACAGTTTGAGAAGCACTATAGTACACTATTTAAGGACTAATATTAAAGCATTAACAGCCTATACTCCCATTAGACATGGAAACCAACAAGTGATGCTTATCGAAGCAAATGAGCAGGTGAAAGTGATAATTTACATAGAGTACTATAAAGTCACCTATTTATACAAATTATTTTTTAAAATATAAATATTAATACTACGTCTCTGTTAGTATTTGATAGGTGATGGCGAGGTAAGAATATAAGATATCATCACTTCTTTTTCTTGACTACGTCATAAGCGGTGATCGGGGGAACAAAATTGCAAAAAAAATATCTAACAGGAACACTCGAAATAAACCCCTATTCCAAGTCACTTGGCCATCATAGTATAATAATATAGCATGCTTCTTTAAGAGAGAAAAATCCTCTTCCAATAGTGGGTCGTTACTTAATAAGTTCTTATTGATGATATAATACTGAAATAGGTCTTTAAAAATTTTTATTATAATAATAAAACTATCAGGTTTTTATAATCACGTAGAGATTAGAAAATTAGAATTTAATATAAATAAGGATATTTTAATGCAATTATAATGTATTTTTTATTTATTTCAATATTATTTAACATAGCATTGCTAGTTCGTAAAGACGTGCATTTAGTTCTAAATTGATAGGCAAGCTGTTGGCAGTAAGAATATAATAAAAATCTCTGCTGTTCATGATTTCGAAATCAACCGAATCAAATTATTAACTTTTAGACTTTCGCGTTGCATAGTTTATGGTCTATAATAGATGTGAATTAACGCTATCATTGACGTTTCGACCAAGTTACACCGGCTGTAGCTACAAGTAGATATAGTCGTAGACTAGTATAGTATTATATTATCTGTGGTAGATAAATTATTATAGTTTACTTGATTCATGTTAATCATCCTCTATAATAAACCATAAACGAATCATATCATTACATTAGTACCGCTTTCTTTTACGTAACTTACATAAATTTGTGTTTAATTGAGAAATGTTATCAATTTCAATTCGGAAGCTTTTATTACAGTATTTATTCGAAGTAAGCTTTAGAACTGATATTAAAAAAAAATAGCAAAAATCGTTCCTAGCTAACAGTTCTAAGAACAATAGTAAGTAATCGATACTTTTTTATATACACGCATTTTTTTTTTTTTAATAAACACTGATGCGTTCTTATCTAGTAATTATCATCATTAGTTCATCCATTTATTAAACACTGCCCTCAATAAATACATAGGTCTCCCACATAGACTGCCATAACTCTTAAGTTATAGCAAACGTGTTATAGTACTTATACTATAACACGTTTGAAATCGAAGTTCATCTTTTCAATTATCGGTCTATGGTGTGAATTACATAACTTTATATAATAAAATACGCTAGACGTACGTAATCGTTAAATAACATTCGTAAAAACGTAAAATAACGTGATGTGAAGATATTAAAATATATTACAAGGTGTTCTATTTAATAAATCTATCACGCTATCTTAATGGTTTGGGTAAAAGTAAAACTAGATGCTTTACGAATATGAAAGGTGCTCGATAGTAGCTATTAGCCTCACTTGCTCTAGAACAATCACATTATAAACTAACTAATCATTGCTGTTCTATAAATTTGTATTTGTTCAAATTGTAAAATTGGTATTTGTTCGCCATTACGTGGTGTCTTTTTAATATTAATTATAAAGTACCTACCTGTTTTTTATTTTATAATATATATATATTTTCCACTACTATAGTAGTGGAAAATATAGACTCGTCAAAAAACGAATTAAAGGCAACTAACAAAATTAAGCCTTCTTAATTATTTAATTAAATAAGCTCTATTGAAATAGTTTGAAATGACAAACAAGCTATTGGCCCATCTTATAGAATATAGTACGGAGTTTGATATTTGGGATACTTGGTACATTAATCCTGTCATACAGGTTTAAAAAAAATATTATTTTTTAATGAACCGCTCTATATAATAATCGTTCTAATTAAATAAAACTTTTCGTCGATCCGTTCAAATGAGGCATCGTTAAAAAGGTCTTGTTGTTGACAAAAAGTCCAATTACTTCTTAAAGTTACAAAGTTATCGAAGTGTAAAACGAGGACGCTATAATATCAGTTCCATATAACGTAGAATAAAAAGTATACTTTACTACAACTTATCATCCAAGGCAAGGTAAAGATTCGTAGAATATCTGGTCGAAGACATTTTAACTATAGATTTCTTTTCTATGCGACAGTTAGATAGCCCTGCTGATAGCCGACCCCCGATATACATGGAACGAGAGGAAGAAGAATCAATAAGTGTAACCAACATGCTTTTAGCAAGTTGTTTAAGTTTTATTATACTGAAAGCAATGTACCAAATAGAACATTAATAATCGTGGCACGTAGAGAAAGAAATCTAGTGCCGAAGCGCGACACTGCGCTCGCGCACGCGCGCTCCACTGCGTCCGTCCGTGACCGAGCGTATGCTAATTGCAGACTTTATTCGGCAATATAGGTCATTTCCTGCCAATAACTAATGCAGAAAAAAACGCATGCAGTAGTTTCCAAAACCGTATTACCCAGAATTTTGATTTACTTTCTTTTAAGAGTTCGTTTGAAAATGCGTATTTTAAGGTTGACTGAATTGCAATGTTACAATAAAGCGAGAGTAGCATTTTCAATGGTAAGAATTGTTTATATAGCTCTTTTAATCCAAATCGATGTTATAAGTTTTCGTTAAATAAATAAACATTAAAGACGCTGTTAAAGATTTGTCTCCAATAATTTTTATTTTATGGAGTTTTAACAAAATAAAAGCGATCTTTTCTAATATCTAGTTTTGATTCGTGACTGTTTGCTTTCTATAAAAAGCAAAGCCATCGACAGTGTATGTAGCAGAAACTTTCAAATATTACAGACATTAAAATTATATTTGACAATATAAATTTGGTTGGATTTAGACCATGAAAATAATTATACCTAGCAAAAAAATTCGGGTAGTTGAATTCAACGGATAATATCTTTTTTTGCGTATAGGCCCATGTTACTTTCTTTTTATGAATTTTGACAACTAGTTATAGGTTATAGACTAAGGATGAAATGTTATAACGTTTAAAATTAAAATGTATGTATGTTCAGATGAGTCAAATCAGTGGTTAGTAATTTAGGAGCTTCTGTTCAAATTCTGGTAAATGGATACTAACATTTTATAAAAATTATTCAATATTATTACTTATAACCTATATTTATTATAATATATATTTGCATATTTTATCTCTTTGTATCTCTACCTGAAAATAAAACTGGAGTTAAGTCAATATAAAAATATTTTTTTTATTAATCAGCTAACGGAATAGTTACTCAGTGCTCTTTATTATATTTATTTTCATACCTACTACGCACTTAACAAAATAACAACATCTTTTCAAGTAGTAACAATAGTAATTTTCCTGATAAACTATTACTGTTCTGCTTTCTTTAAAATTATTTTATATATCGCCTCAGGGATGCCTGAATGTTATGACACATTAAAGATAGTTTATAGGTGATCGTTACCGCTTTCTATCAGGTGGACCATCAGATTGATTGGCATTCGAAGTTACTTAAAATAAAATAAAAATTATTATATATAAACCTAAAAATGTTATGTCCGGTAAATCAATTTCCTTTAATTATAGCTATTTCTCTAAATCTACTCTAATAATACTCGTATTATTAATCGTAAATTTACAGGGTACAGAGGAATAACACCTGAGTCCTCAGGTATGGCAGCGCATGGGGGGTATCATGGGCGAAACAGTATACTCTGTTATGTCCATGGTACTGCTCATGTCTATAGGCGACGGTTACCACTTTCCATCAGGTGAGCCGTCAGCTTGTTTGCCATTCTAAGTTGTATAAAAAAACTCTTCATTGTAATAATGCATATTACTATGCAAGGTAATAGAAAAAATTGCTTTTATATAGGTCAAGCAAGTCATCAAAGGATAGCATAGAAAAAGAATTTAAAAGAAGAATAACAAATAGATGAAAGAGATACTGGAGGTTGAGAGAGGTGACGAAAGTGATCCAGTCGTATTTAAATGAGAAAAGAGAAAGGCCATAAAAAGATGAGATGATAAATTGCATGTACAACATAAAGTGTCAAGAGACAGATATAAATTGAAAGGATTGGAGGATACCTACGCTAACTGGCAAACAAACATACAGAAACATACAAAACTACAAATAAAGTACTATTAATTAGACAAAAAACTACATAAGAAATAAATAAATAGTATATAATACAGTTAAAATTAAGATTTTTAGATTATTTATTGTGTATATAGATAGATAGATAGATAGATAGATAGATAGATAGATAGATAGATAGATATCTATCTATCTATCTATAATACAGTTAAAATTAAGATTTTTAGATTATTTATTGTGTATATAATTTTTTGTACATGTTCATATTGTTGGTTTTATGTTTTATTACACTATCAAGTAAATAAAAATTAATATAGTTTCTATGTCAATATTATCAATATAAATACTAAGTACGATATTTTTTTAATGTATACTTAATAAAGATGAACTTTTATGTGTATAATTTTAAAAGCTTGTACCGCAGAAAAAACATTTATTTTTTATTTTTTTATACTTTTATATAGTATCGAAACGAACATTTCCAAATCTTATTAATTTCTTATTATTACACTAAAATTCTTTAGGCGGATACAATAACATATATGTTTATTGTACAATTTAGCAAGGTTTTGGTACCTTCGCTGGTGCGAAACATGCAACTCTACCATTAAACAAAATTTTATCGAACCATCGAAATCATCACTTTCATTGTAAAGAAATGCGATAGTATCAAGTCCCTACTACCAGAGCGCGTGGAGCGGGGCGAGTGAGCAGCTTCAGTAGAGCAACAGCGATGCGTGCGCTTGCCGCTTTAACCACGGTAATCGCGTGGTGCTTCGCGCTGGCACTGACTGAAACGCGATCTCGAGAATCAATATCGCCTTTTCTGCTCAATGTACTAGGATTTAAAACTCAAAAACCTGTGCACCGAATCATTGCCTGTGCAAAAACACTCGGACCCACAAAATGTTTAAGCGCTTTAAGTGCATGGCGTGCCAAAAATGCTATCGATGCATTCAAAAGAGATCGAGGGACACAGTTCAACTTGACTTCCGACGTTGAGCGGTTCCCCTGGGAACAGTACACCAATACTACAGAAGAACAATTGTACTCTGAACTCTGCAGTGGTACAGAGAAGTTGCTACAGTATAGAACATTGAAGTTTACATTAGTACCTGGTTACACATTTAAGCTGGATTCAAAAGGGAATGGAACATTAGGTGTTGATATTTTAAGAAGTAAGTGCCAGTATTTTTTAAATTGACTATCTATTTCCAGTAGTTTCACCTGCGTGAACTCGTATATCCTGTATCGGAATTTCAAAAAGTTCTGTCTTAGTTGTTCTTGTTATTTATGTAGATATAATGCAAAATTTCATATTTATAGAACCAGATGTTTTGGATTTACTTTAATGTGTTTGCTAGAGTTTTCAATCAGAGGGTACCTTATTAATTTTTTTATGCAAGTTGGAATGACAAGCTAATTGAGGGTCTATTTAATGGAAAGTTATGAATATCGTCTAAAAACGTCACTACCCTGGACATCATAGAAAACGCTATGACATCTATGAATCACCTTATATGTTTCTATATCTACGGACAAAGTCGTAATATCTTTATAGACATCCTATAGGGTGTATTTTACTATCATATTTCAAACTTCATAATAATGAAAATAAGAACGTTTAAGAAAATGTTTATTAAGAGCGACAAACATGATTAACACACGAATAACGATGAATAACTCTATTAACTTACACACAGCATTAAATGAGTTGTGTCTACAAAATTAAATTTTCTTAATTTATTTAAGTCATTTCGTTTTCCACAAAACTCTCGTGTTATAATTATATAATTATGTATTAAGTGAAACTGAAATAGTTGAAATCTTTCTCTAAACTGTGTGGTATAAATAACGGATGTACTGACTGCATTAATTTAAATTATTATTCTTCTATACAATAGTTACCATAATTATATGATAATTATTCCATAAATTTAAAAATATTTATGTTATAGTTAATTGTATTCCATAAAAAACTAACTTCAATTGTGACTAAAGCAGTTATTTTAATGAACTAAACTACTACACCGATTTTGATATTTTTTTTGGGAACCAATCTGTAAGTATATCTTTTTAGATAAAAAAAAAATATTAAAAAATTTTTCAATTCTGTTTAGAACTGATGGAGTTATGAGGTGACAAAAATAAAAAAAATACAACCAATTTAAGAACCTCCTTCTTTTTAGAGTCGGTTGAAAACAGACTTATTATGTGCAAATTATAATTATACTAATATCGTAAATGTGAACTATATACACTGTACATATACCAGTAAATAAATAAATAAAATAAATAAATGTGATAGTTTGGAAAAATGTTTAACTGTTTGGATGTTTGTTACTCAATCACGTTTAAAGAGCTGAAGAAACTTGAATAAAATTTAGTATACAAGTAGGTTATGTCTTAATATATAGGATAGGTAACTTATACACTGATCTGATTCACGCTAGTGAAACTACGGAGTCAAACTAGTAACTCTATAAGTTACATGTTAGCTTACCGATACAATGCTAGTATTACAAAAATAAATAGGAAGAGACGTATACAAACAAGATTAGGAACATCCTTGAGACAGTATATAGAAAATATATACAAATATTCAATGGCAGAAAGGATATTAATGAATCCCTAATTTGGCAGTCGTAAAAAAGCAATTTATATGCGGCTGATAATAGCAATTAATGTGCCTTATTTGAAAAACGAGGAAACAAATACACAGGTAGCTTTATGACAGCATTGACATTATAAATGTAACAATCTAATTGCTAGGACTATTTACGTTCATCTAAGTACCGTACGATAACTGATTACCCGACCGCATCGAATATACCCGTTATAATGTGCATAGGTAAGCAGGTTTAGAATATTTATCTGCACATGATAGCAGAAGTAAGATAAATTTTCACATGTTTAATGAGTTTTTGATAAGCTAATAACTTCTTTCAATAGTTTTTACGTGATTTTTTTTATAAGTAGTATATATACCGGAGCGATGAAGCGATATTATGGGATACATACCCATTAAAAGCTTATTATGCCATCTGATGTCTCGGAAGACGAATCATGAGTTTGCGTTTACGGTAGAGACCGTGACCATAAATGACATATAGTTCATTACTATAGATCACTAAAAATAATGGTAGTAGATAAAAATATTTGCTTGTCAATTTAAAGGGTCGAAATATACTTTTCTAATACTCTTATTCTTGGTAGAATGTGATCAAGTTGAGCGTCGCGTTTGAATCAATCATTTTGACTAATAACTAAAAGTGTGATTATTTATTTGTTATTTTGTAGCGCCTTAACGCCTTAATCAATCACTTTGAAATGTAATATTTTATAATCCTCATTAAATACGCGTGACTAGTATATCACGCGGACGAAGTGGTAGGTAAAAGCTAGTGATAAATAATATGCATATATGGGAAAGTTTATTTATATATTATATGCATATTGTTTGCTATTTTTAAGGATAAAGGGAAATAACAGCGTGCTATCTGGATAAAATATGCGCAGAAATGCGCCATATAAATACAATTTTGGTTGGATATATATAAATCGGATATTAAAGATGGAATCCAAGTCATTGACAATAATAAGTTTTCCTTATACATTCTATTACATGGTGTTACGTATTTTCATATATTGTTAATAAAGTTCTTTGAGTATCAGAGTATTTTTAATTATAGTAATGTTAAAAGAGTTGTTACGAGAGAATGAAAACTAAATAAAATAAAACCTTATTCCTCAGACCTTAATTTATTAGACCTTAGCAGTATTTCGGTCCAATAGCCACTGTAATCTCTAACACAAACAAAATTTGTCTTTAGAAACGGTAGAGCAGTTTATCCATGGCGTTATTAATTTCAAAGGGCGTTTACCATTCACCATCATATTGACCGTAACTCCCTTTAAACATAAAAAAGAAATACACAAAACGAGTTATGTTTGATCTGTACAAGCGATTCGTAACTGAATGTATAAATATATATATATATTTTGTTATTTTCAGGCAATGAAATAGAAACCGCCCGTGGCAGTATGAAGAAGAAATTCTACAATATAGTACCTTATTTATTATTACCTGGACTGATAATGTCTGCCATCTTGCCTTTTGTCTTGCCAGCGATGAAGTTGATGACGATAGGTGCGGTCATGCTGAACAATATGGCGTTCACTGGAGCAGTCTTCACACTTCTAAGGAATAACGCATTCAATGATAAATACGAATACAAAGTGAAATATATTAACGCAGGTTACACTAACGAACATCTCACGTACGAACACGATGATGCACATTCAGATCATTACAATCATTACGATTTTAAACATAGTGGCAGCCATTTAAATGATGTTATAGATGATCATGGGCATTTTGAAAACCAGGAAGCTGTAGAAGATATACCTATTAATCCTGATTGGACCAATCAACATTACAGTGAAAAGGAATATATACCTGTACACTTCGCATCTCAAAAATATAATCAAGTTCTACAAAGAAACCTTTAGTTAGAGTTTTAGTTAATTTACTAGGTACCTGTACATATATTTGCTGCTAGTCTTTGCCTTTCCAATTAATTGTTTTACAAGTTAATTATTCATTGACGAATATTTGTTTACAACATAAGATTTAAGACTTTATAAATGAAACTTAAAAAAGATTTCTAGTATCTTTATTTCACCCTATATTGGAATATTTAAACAACACAATTATGATGGACTATTATGTAGTACTAAAGACTTTTTTTCTATCTTACTCATTTGAAAAAAATATAACAAGATGATGTCTGTCTATACATGAGATATATTTGAGAAAAATTGATATGAGAGGTCTTAATAAAAACAATAAAAGACAAATCAATATTTTTTAGGAATGTTATTTGTCTGTCTGTCTGTGTCAAATTAGATGCGGTTTTCATAAAAAGTAATAGATAATCCACTAAAGTATTGAATACTACGACAAATTCATCAAAAGTGTACGTCTGAAGAGAGAGTGTGAGTATCACGCAAAAATCCGATATCAGTTTTTGATGGGTATTTACTAAAATATTGCATAAGGGACTGACAATAAATTGGCATACATATTATTATACTATTCCTTACTAAGAGACTGGGAGCGGAGCGGTTCTTTTTTATATTTAGTTCATATTACGTGAAATATTTTGTTCGTTATAAGGTCAACGCCATCTATCGTTAAGTAGTTGCAACAATTTGAAACAAAGTTGATATATAAACATCATCACACCGAAATTTAAAAAAATAATATTATTATTCGTTATAAACTAATAAAAATATGTATCACTACGTTGTATTTGAGGTTTCTATTAACAAAAGAAAGTTAGCAATATTTCCAAAGAGGGATATTTTTCATAATATCGACAACGCCATCTATAATACTAAGTAAAATCTATCTATCTATAATACACAGGTACAATAAAGCTGCACCGGTAGTAGGTATGTATATTAAATATTTTTCAAAATATCAATCGGAGTATATCATGCACGTTATGCTCTTGACATAGAAGAAAAATATTTTTTAAATTATTATGTGTTCGTAGTACCAAGCAAAATCCAATGAACAGATTTTGAAGAAATGCACTAATATCAAAGTACAACTGCCGCAATGAAAGGCTCTGAAAATGAACTAGCATACATGTTATCACACTATTCCTCATAGGAGTAGAGCAGTGGGACATTGTTCTTTATACTTAGTATCTATTAAGTAAATTAATAATTCATAGTAAAGTCAACACCATCTATCGTTAAGTAGAAGTTACAATTCAAAACAACGATGAATGTTGATATCGGAATGTAATCATAACGAAATTAAAAATTATTTATATTTTTAATTTCATTATGATTTTATTATTTATATCTAAATGACTAGCAACGTTTTCTGTTGTCGAGTAGTCTTCGCTTGGAAATTTTTTAGCCTCAAGAATTATTAAATATTTTGTTTTATCATCAACATTACTAGAAAAAGGTGAGATGAAATATTGTGCCAATGTGAAACTAAAATTAAAAAACAAAAATTTTGTTAACGACATTAGATAAGTACTAAAACGACAGTAATTTGTATTAAAAAAAAAAAAAGGTTCTTTTTTTTTTCAGAACTTTACTAGCTCATATGATAATAAAAAAAAAAAAAAACGGAAATTGTTTCTTTTATATTTGTAATAAAATTTCAGGCTAGAATCTCAGGTTTTGTTAATAAATACAACGCCAAGCACGAGGTTCTCTCTGCCTATCTTTTCATGTCAGGTGGCATGGAAACAAAAAAATATTGTAACGAAAAGTACAAGGTGATTGCTAAGTAACAGCAACAATGTAGCATCAGCTACACAGAGTTGGTTTTTTATTTTTCTGTCTACGAACGACATCGCAGGAACAGCTAGTCTTCAATATGAAGATAGATATAAAAGATAGAGAAGATATAAAAACTGCAATGATGAGTTTACATTCAAAAAGGCAAAATAAAATTTTAAATACTCTACACAAGTAATATAAATGTTAATTTAAATTGAGTAAATTCTAAGTCAGATTATTGACCGTGTTAAAAATTAACTAAAAGGGTGATAATAAAAATTAATTATTATTAATTAAAACGTTTCTCTCAGCTCAAAATATCCTCCTTCCTCAAACATATTGAATTACTGATACTGAAAGGTAATTAAAATTGAATCCAGTGAATTCTCATTGAAAAAGACTATATGAAGACGCTTTTCGCCGGATATTGTATTTAATATATCACGAAATTGGTAGCAATAGATTCAAACGTAGTACATAATAAAATGAATTAATCTTATGAATACAGAATACCTATGTATTTTTTATAATATTGTTTTATTATGCAAACATTTCGAAAGGATAAGAAAGCACTGCTATTAGCAATTTACAAGCACTGACCGTCGTGGTGGTCATGGTAACAGTAGTGACAGCCTCCTTCGTGTTACAAATGGCGTAAAGGATCGTGACGGTGGCGCCCTCTACCGCTTGCGGCGTGGTGAGCTAACCGTCGAGGGAGAAGCCGTCAAGTTCGTGTCGAAACCTCTCCCAGTTTGTCCCCCATCTGAATGGCAGTGCGAGAACCAAAGTGACCGTAGCAACTAAAGCAACTAGGCTTGCATAGCTGCGTATTGTGTGTGATATTACAGGATACGGAGAGATCACACTTTAGTACTTGCTAAAGTGTGATATTTCCGTATCTATATATTTAGATATATGTATATATTTAGATGGATTGACAGTTTGTTTACCAATACAACACCCGTAACTTATAGTCTTTCTTTAATATATTATTTTCCATTCCTATAGTACCAGTTATCAGTATGAGGAAGTACAAGAATGTTTATAATCATTAGAAGAGAAACAAAAGTAATTTATATTTTAAACTTGATACAAATTCAATTAAAATATTCTCACTGAGGTTCAAATCGAGTTTCACAAATCTCAAATTTCAATATTACTTTATAAAACTTACGTACCGAAGTCTGGCTGCTTACATAAACCTGTCATTGTTAGCACTCATGCCACTTGATTACCATGCCAGGATGGGTAATTATTATTATTTTGGAGCAAAACATTTTATTCATTGAAATTTAAAAACGTACCTATTCTAGAATTTTTTTTATCGCTTAAATATTATTGGAGAATTTATATGTCATTTATGCATCAATGATCTATGATCTTAAATTGAAATTCAGCAATGCAATCTGCATTGCTGAATATCATTACTTAGTTTGGCACAAATTCACATACGTCCCTACTACTTACGACTATAGAAAATTTAATAGTGTGCATAAATTTGGAAAATTTCATATAATTTGATCAGATTATAGATTTTTAAGATCTATAATTATCCTGATCTATAAATATCGTAGTAGGTTATTTTTTTTTACTTTATTATTGTATTAATAGTAAAAAATCTGATAAAAAAATACATAATAAATTACAATCCCACGGCACATTTATCTATTAGTATGATAGGCTTAAAGATTTTTAATGTTTTTCAACTCCTGTTTATTTGAAAAGTTCAATTTTACTTTTAGAATACAAATGCAAATGAATACATATATGCCTATTTTCGATTTTACACTGTATTTAAAAATATAAAATAAAAACCAATGTATAATAAATAATTTATTTATTAAATTATCTCTTTCATATATTAATTAATAAATGGTTTAGATAATTTAGGATTAGGATCTTGCATTACATTTAAATATTCACTAAGAGCCTACTACATTTTTGGTTATAAAAATTGAAAAATGAAATACCCATCAAACAATATAGTTTCCTTTTTGATAAAATTTTTCATTATTTTCCAAACAACTTTATAGAATTATAATCTCAATCCATTAGAGATTTAGGCATTTCAATAATCTTACTCGTAATAGGCCCTTAATAAAATATATCAATATAGGTTATCAACTAGCAGTCACCGAAAATCTTCTAATGATCCTATAATTATATCAAAGAAATATTGTAGAAAGTATTTATTTTTAATCTAAAATCCAATACAACAATATCACATTTAAAATACTAAATATATATATCTAATTATTTCTAAATTACTAGATACTAATGTCCAGCAGTAGATAATTTGTGTCATAGAAACCAAAATAAAAATATATAAAATTACTAAATACAGAAAATGTTTGTATTCTTCCACAAATGATTGGTATTTTCTAGTCTCTATTAAATTATTTAAAAGTAAACTGATATGCACAGTCACGGTAACAAGCTTTAAATGGTCAAGAAACAGATGCAAAATTTCTAATAAGCCAAATTATGAATACAGAATTTGTGTATGTTCAGTCCATAGTCCAGTTCTGCCACCAATAATACAGACATGCAGACTATTTAAATTCCATTCTGAACTAGGTGTCAAATCAAATACAAATAAAAAGCTTTCGATTCAGATTACAGACCAAAACGATATAACCATTAATAATAATGACTAAAATAATTATTCTACCATTTCAGACGAAAATCTTACTAAAACAAACCCTGACTATTTCTGAACAACCAATTTCATCACGTTCATTGATAAAAAAAAATAACAAAGGAACAATATAATATAACACCTATAACATTTATGTTTCTCAAAGAAATAGTAGTCATTTATATAAAAAAAAATAGAATTCTATCTTGCTTATTAAAGTAATAAAATATTATAACAACAAAAGACTATAATATACAATATAACATGTATATATTAATATACAATAGAATAATCGAAATACTAGAATCTGAACGTAAGTAAACTGGCTTGTATTTGGTATAAAACCTAGCAGATAAGTTAAGAGTGTACTGTAATTACCCGACCGCCGCAAATTTTAATCCTTGCATTAATCGCATTTAAACTAGACTACAAATAGCTTAATTACCACTTATTAGATGGAAGCATTTAATCTGACTTTCTATGCGCAATTTCAGCAAGTTTTCGATCTTCCTCAGACATATCTTGGTCATCCCATCCCCAAACTGGATTTTCTGGGTGATAATGATGATCATTGTTAAGAGTGTTTGAAGCTTTAGATGATGGATGCGTACCGTCACCAGTCCTCGATGCTCTTTTGATTATCATTTCATTCGATACTGTCTTCAAGTCATAAGCCAAACCTGGAAGTTTATTAAAGGTAATTAGAATAATCATTATTCATTAAACTAATTTGGAAATGTAAGATCTCAGTCTCTCTAAAATAATATCTATCACACTAAATTTGGAATAGGTACGTAAGCTTATTTAAAAATAGTTTATGCATATTCAATGACATAATTCTACAAATTTACACTCAAATACAGGTATTCCAAACATTTGTTCAAAATATAAGTATTGCTTCATAGTTCTATACATACATATATCGAAGGTTATTAAAATCACAACAAAATTCGATATCGCAGCTTATTTTTTTTTCATAAACAGAACATAATTTTCATATCTTTTGTAGTATGGCTCATTTTTATTCAATTCAATCTACGGAGAATGAAGAGACAAAGTCTAAGACAAGATTGTTTGTGAACATGATTTTTTGGGAAATCCATTACAATCCTTTGAATAGTTAGTTTTAATAGAAATTAATGAAAAAGTAAGTAAACAAATAATTGACCTGTAATAATAATAACAATAATACAAGACAAGAATAAATCCAGTCATTGTATATTTCGATTTGTCACTAATTAGATTTAGAGTGTTGTGATAATTTCAATAAAAGTTTCATCGAAATTTTAATTAATATTCTTACCCCATTACTTACCCCATTTAGCAGCAAGGTCAATCAGTCCAGTAGACAAGTTTGTACTATAATTGCCAAGTTCAGCCGCTTTGTAGTCCCATGGGAAAACGTGGTGATAATTATGCCAAGCTTCGCCTAATGCCAAAGTAGCTACCAACTTGTGGTCAGTAGCGCCAATATTCCTAAAAAATAAATAAATGAACCGTCAAGAAAATAATAAAATATGACTTAATGCTAAATAAATCTCTATGTAAACTATTATCGATATCTTTTATATAATTGAATTAATTTTATAAAATAGTTCTGATTTATATTTCGTAATAACTACTTTTATTAAAATTTCTCAATCAATAAAAAGATATATATCAGGTAATTATGATATCTACTCTATGCTTGACTGGTAAAAAATCCATAAGGTGTTCGTGCACATTATTTTAAATAAATAAATATTAACACATATCATTATACAAAAAAATATACATAAAACCCTATTTCAATCGTTCAAATAATAATAGCTCCAAGTGGGTAGTTGATTTTATTGGAATAAAATTAGGTACTCGGCGTATAAAAGGAAAATGACTTTCACAGATGCTATTTATAACTGAAATATGTATTCTAATAATAAAGGTTAAAAATATCATTGAGTGTTATTTCACTTGAAATTTGTTTTATTATTATCCAATTATGAAATTAGTACGCTTAATATTAGTGTCATTCCATAAGAGTAAAGTATAATTGAACTTTAACCTATTATGATGGCGTGACAATATTTTAAAAATTTTAAGCTTTGAGTTTTATCATTTTAATTTACTTGCTTGTTTAATGGACCTGAACAGTCTTTTAAACAGGCGTTAAAATGATACTTGAAAATCTACCCAAAAATCAACCAGATTTAAGTAATTATTAGACTATCGATGAAATCAATTCATAAAACAATATACCTATGTTTAAGTACTCGTATATAAATATTAATTAAAAGACAAATTCAAATCAATTATATCATAAAAGTACGTAAGTACGATAATGTATATGAAAATAAGTTTACCTCTTAACGGCTTAACCGAGCAATATAAATTTGATTTAAAATACTACATGGGATAGAGGACGTAATTTGGTTAGATTATAAATGGACTACGATTAACCCGCGGTTTCGTCCGCATAACCCGAATATGTTCACTGACCAGGATAAAGCTTATGTCTTTCTCTATAATATATAGTAGGTGTACATCAATTTTTATAGTGATTGGTTAAGACGTTAAGATGATAAAAAGGGGAAATAAACAAAAAAACTTACTTTCGCGTTTATAATATTCGTAAGGATGATTTTTTTATATTGTTCTACAAAGAGAAAGTTGAATATTGTAACAAGAGTTTGTTTACAACCACAACCACAACAAGCGATATGCTATACCGCACTACTACATAGTTGATGACTTGACTTTCTATGATTGTAAGATAAATAATAATAAATAGGTAACGAAATACTACTTACTTATCATAAGGTTTGTTGCCCCAGATATGAGCTGCGGAGTTGACCAGCCAAGTGAAGTGAAGCGACACCGTATACCTCGTGATGGATGCGACGTACCAGGAGATCCAAGGATCCTCTCCCCACCAGTATACTGGTATCATAGCGGGGATGACAAAACATAGGAGAGGCATTCCTACAAGATATGTTCTGGAAAAAAAAGATATACATATATTTTATCATACTAACACTTTACCAGACGTACATATATATAATATAAAAAATCTAAATTACCTATCTGCTAATGTACCTCTGTCGATCTAGTGTTTTTATTGTGAAACACCAGCTTGAACGCCTATATTTCAATTTGTTAGTTAGGATATGACAGTAAAATTACAAGGTATGGAGGCATAACACCATAGTTCTCAGGAATGGCAAAACAAGAAGGGTACCATGAGCATTATTATTTATTCTGTGCTCTTCGTTACTATATATATATCCTAAAAACGCATTAATTTTCCACTGCTGGCCACGAGTTTCTTCCTATAAGAGGAGAATATTGCCCTAGTATTACCAGCCTAGCTTGGTACTAGTTTGGTACAGTTTTGAGTTTTCCTTTTCGAACACTAGTTATAATAGGTATTATACTGATTTCTCCTAAGGACAGTAAATCCGTCGGCCTGTAAGTAATAAGTAGAAGCTTCTATCACCTGTGTATGTGCTAGCCTGACTCGAGGAATGAACGATCATACGATTGTACTACTTTTATAATTGCATGTTAAGGAACTGAACCTGAACTGAAACTGAACCTGAACTGGCAAAACTCCCCAAGGGGAAGACTTATGTTCAGCAGTGGACAGTTAAAGGTTAATATGATGAAGCACTTACTTTTTTTGAAACATCACAATTGGATCTTTCTCCAAATCGGACATGTCAACTAAGGCACCTTTTTCTAAGACATCTTTATGCTTGCGAACCATCAGCCAGCCCATGTGGGAGAAGAAAAACCCTCGACGAGCATTGTGCGGGTCCGCATCGGTTTCTGAGAACTTATGATGTACCCTGTAAACATATAGAATTTTTAACTTTTTAAGGAACTCAAATCTCGATCCCATATATACTGACTCTTTCCGTTTATGAGTAAAAATTGGTAGATCCTTAAAATGTCAGGCGCTAGAGACTTTTACCTTGTTAAGTGCATTTTTGTGCAGATATACATATTAGAGACCTAGTTTTGTAGAACTGAATGAATATACAATGGAATAGAAATAAAAAAAACAGATCTACCTAGGTAGAAAATTTTAAACAAAATTTAATATTGAAATAAAACAAGACTGTGATTAATATTAAGGTATTAAGTTAAGCATATAAATACTAATAAGAATTAAGCCAGCAAAAAGTTATTTTAATGGTGACTTTATATGAATATACTTGGAACCAACATGTGAGAAGATAACCTTATCGGCTGCAAAAAAAAAAACTATCGATAACAATATCGTGAAAATAAAATTCTAATTTGCTGTAAACATCGAATAACATACAAAAAACAACGTTCTTCGTTTTAAAGTCCCTTTGATTTCAATTTGATTTATTTTGTAGTACAAAAAATGTTAAATGTCGGATGTTGTCAAAACGACGACCATCGTGAGAGGAGATTTGTTTTAAGATTCTACGTCGCCGAGTGTTTTATGGACGGAAATTTGCTTTATGCGTGATGTCATAAAGCAATACTTTTTGAAACGAGGAAATATTATGTTACATTACATTATGATTCATTAAATTCCACCAAGGTGCTTGGTTGCTAAGAACATATTTACATGAAAATTAAACAAAGTCACATACATTTTACGGTATTGACAGAAATACTTAATAAAATTTATTTATGCAACTAAGTATGAGCCGCAAGATGTTAAGTTTGATTCTAAACGAACATCAAAGTCTTAATAAACATATAGCGTAACATAATTCTATACCCAGTATATATATAGTTAAATAGGTAGCAAACTTACATCTTTACAAAGTTTCAAATTTATAATATCATAATGACATATGTGTGTTAAACCTATATATCTCTACATTTAATGTAAGTAGCTTTGCTGATCACTAAAATAATAAAAAAAACTCATGAAACTTTAGTCTGACTTATAATGCCTAAACCCTTTCCAACTTTCGATAACATAAGCTCACATTAATGCAGTACTGCAATAGTAAATTGTCTAAACCAATAAACATTAAATATAGCTTATAGATTTATGATAATAAGTATGATAACTATCGCTTCCCATAAATGCACTTTTGAAAAGTATGACATAAATATGTCATACTTTAAAAAAAAATAGTAAAAAAAATATGTTCAGCTCACGACTTTACAATCGTCCTTAATCGAGTAACTAGAGACTTGTATGACGCTGATTGTTGTTACTGTTGTGGGGAACTCATTTCTTCACTCAATGTAGTTGCATCATCATGTTTATATTGCTATTCATATAATTACAGATCAGCATCACATGATACACTTTTTTTTAGTTATACAAAAGTATACGTACGTTCCTATATTCGGAATATACGAAATATTTTCAAAATTCCCTCGGTTTTCTAAAATTATAAACTAATCTAGAAACCATTAATGTATATTGGGAACTATCACCGAAATTTTGCAGTAATGCTTGATAAATCAGTCATAGGCATTATCGCCGACATTGAACGATAAGAGATTAGATGACGCTTCACTGAACATATTCAAATTCAACGTGATTGGGAACTATCGTCAATTTTATGTTCAATAGCATTTGCAATTTAAACAGATAATGTTATATTGATTCAAAATAAAGAAATATAATAATAGTCAATAGATGCAAGTAACGCCTATTAAAAGACCAATCTAGTTATTAATTTATTTTGTGTTGTTTTTTGTATGTTAAAGAATATCTTCACTAACTTTAAAGCGATTTACAATTTTATTTATATAACTTATTTTCATTACTTATTTATTCATATAACTAGACAAAGGGAATTCAAAGAATTTCTTCAGTTTGTAATTGCCGACAATTAATATTCGGTTATATCCATTTGCATAATATGTGAGTATTGATTCTAAATCTATTAATTTGTTTGTTCTTGTCTATTAGTGACTCCAACTTTATGGAGAATGGAATTCCTTTATACAGGTGGATTGCCAGCTTGTATGCCATTCTAAAAAAATAAAAAGTTAAATTTACATATTCATAATTGACCCTATCTTTACGGAAAGCGGCCTTCCTACATAAAGGTAGGTTGATAGTTGGTTTTCCATTCTAAAAAAAAGTAAATTATACCTGTGATCGCGGACCCATTCGTAGATGTGGTTTTGGAAAGCCATTGTCTGCATAATTGCAAGAAATAACCGCAACGGCCATCGTGCTTTATACGCTCGGTGAGCCCAGAGACGGTGGGCACCCGCCGTCACGCCCAGTGCTGAGCCTATAGCGAAAATTATACCTGAAAAATAAAATATAAGTCACAAATTCTCCTTCACAAAGCTCTTTGTAAACATTAAACTTTTAAAACATACTAGGCAACCTCGTTCTATCAAAAGTGATGCCATACGTTAGTTTCTAGAAACAGCTTGTATAGGAAAAAGAAAACTGCCCTTTTTACATTTTGCTTGAATTTTTCTCTTCATAATTTCAACAAATATTTCAAATAAAAGAAATAAGCTAACATTGCTCCAGCCGTTCTCGAGTTTTGTGCTTAGCAACACATTTAGCGTATTTTTTTAATTTTTATATCTATTTGTATTGACACCTATCATAGGTAATAATAAATAGTATATTTTAATAGAAATTAATAAAAAAAATAACCAAGTTTTATTGACATTATTATCGAAACACTATCTAAATGTTATGATTAACAAATCTGAACATTTTTATCAATTTGTTTATGTTACTACTGGACAGACTGTCTTATGATCGGATCAATTATTCGTTTGTTTACATTTTCATTAAATTCTATTAAAACAGACCATAAATAATTATTTAAATTTTACTCTGTATATATATTATATAGCGTGTGTCATGTGGTCCCGGCATAGAATGGGTCACCCCTTCCTTTTCCGTGGGTGTCATAAGAGGCGACTAAGGGAACTTAATGGTCGAGGGATGGGCAGTAGCGTCCTTCTTAAAACATCACCAAAAATTATTTGAGGTTGCCAATCTGCTTACCAAGCGTGACATTGTATATTTCTTGTGTTTAATAAATAAATAACATTTAACGGTGTCTATTTTCCATCTGATAGACCAACTTATTTCCAGTCTACATTGCATAAAAAATAAGTTTAAAGTGCCTCATTAATAATAAATTATGACACTTACCAAATACATATGTCCATAATCTAGCTTTGCCTGTGAAGATTAAGTATAAACCGTACAAGGCGGCAATGTGCATGTACACAAAGGCTAATACGTTTCTCCACACTATCTGCCATCTGAAATGCAGAAAAAAAATATAATTTTACTTTCTAGTGCATACTGAAAGTAAACACTTTCTCAGTTCAACCAACATATACTATGATGTTGTACGAATTCTGTCAAATGAATTACATTATCCTCAGAAATTATAGTGTATTCTGTCTATGGTGTTATGCATAAGCGACAAATTACTATTATCTATCAGGTGGGCCTGGTCAGGCTTTAAGTATCACAAAAAATCGTGTAACAGTCATGTATTATACAGAAAGTAGAAACAAGTTTGAACTTTTAGCGCCTAGAAATAAGAATACGCAATAAATTGTCGTCTGTACATTTTATTATCTTTACATTATAAAAGGCTTTAATTAACAGATGGTAGCTATTTTATTTATTGATACATCAACACGACATTTATCAATTTATAGACAGCATAAATTTACACTGGAATCAGTTATAATGATTTTATATTACATACCTTCTTATCTATGTATTGTGGGTACTTATAATAGTAATACTTGACCTTGTCATTTTCAAAAATAGATATTAAAATTTGTTTCAAAATCGGAATAATATTTTTACAATTCCGTTTAAGAACCTTCAAATGACGCCCTCAATAATTAAATCGTACTTTAAATATAATGTAGATATTACAATTACCGAGTTATATAGATTTACTTACTTGTAATACGTCTACTGTACTAGAATAGAAAACAAAAATTTAAAAATTATGGTATTTAGTACACGTAAAACAATAACAAATCACGTAAAACAACACGTACTATAAATACAACTCTTAAAAAATATACAAACAAATGAAAATATTCGTAGGAATTTTATTTTGGCATTTATTTCCGTGAAGTATTTGAAAACGCTTTTATGGATGACGAGTAATTTTATTCCCCTTCCTACATTAGAATATAACCAACCAACCTGAAAAGAAGTAGATTCTCAATTCGGTTGTGTTTATGTTTGTTATCTTATGACTTTATCAGTTATATACCTATTTAAAAGAATTCACAACAAACTAATCCTATAAAATTTTGTTAAAATCGCATCAGTACTTTAGCTTTTAAATCACAATATTAAAGGTATATAGATATTTGTATATATATTTTTAGTAATAAGTACATTAATATACGTATAAAAGTATAAGTAACAGTAATCTCGAAATCGGTCGCAAATATAATTATTAAAAATAATAAAAACAGTCGGACAAACCACAAAGTATATATATTTTAAATTATATTATATAGTCAATATAATGATGTTCCGTAACTCAAACAGTGAATCTAAATTTATAATATAAAATGGTTGAAGTTTGTTCGACAATTTTCACCCTATGATAAAAAATACAGACATCAAATACGGCCCAATTTCATTATAATCCGTTTCAATAGAATTTAATGAATACGTAACCAAACTTTAATAAAATTATTACAGAAATACTCTCTAAATAACATTGATAACAAATCAAATTAATCTCAATAAATCAATCTGTTAATCTATTTTCGATGTATACTAGGTACTACTAGAAATCAGGAGACTGTCTTTTAGTCGGATCAAATGTTTGTTTGTTTACATTTTTATAAAGTTTTAAAGGGACAAACTATAATATATCTACCTCAACATGTTTATTATATTAACACACTTACTCGTGGCTTCGGTTCTTTTGTTCCGAAACATTAAATATTTTTGGCATGTCATCTTCGTCCAACGACTTCGCTTGCTTTGTCAAATAAGTGTTCATTGAAAGCAACGGAGATCCTGGCATATTGTACAAAATCTGGAAACAAAAAAATAATTCATTAAATAATGTAAATATGGATATGTACAAAGTTATTATTAATTTGCTTTAGTTGTATTTTATTACATTTAATGTTATTTTCATAAAGTCCATATGACTGGTTAATTAATTTAAATTATTTTGTAATTCAGCTACCATTTGTATAATTCTCTTAGTATTAAATGTTAATAGTCTCACACGTTCTTAAAATATCAAAATTAAAATAAGAATAATAATAAAGTGGCTAATTATTTTAGCTGAATAAAAAACGTTGAAATTAGCTTCCTCATCATATCACCCATTCAGCAGTGGACAGTAACCACTGCTGACTATAGACCTGCCCCATAGGGACCTGTAGGAACATAATAGTCGGTAGGTTAGTACACCATACTATTCCATAAGAGCTAAACTGTCCACTGCTAAACATAGGCCTCCTACTATTAGGGAGTTTTCCCAGTAGATGTCATGCTTGGCAGGCGGGTTGGCAACTGTAGTAAAGCTTTGGTATTATTTTAAGAGGGAAGCTGATTCCTTGACCATCTTTGATCATTACATTTCCATAGTCACCTCTTACCCACGGGAAAGGAAGGGGTGGCCAATTCTATGCCGAGACCACAGGGCATAGGGATTAAGTAGCTTATATTATGCCAATTGTCATTTATAAGTTACTATTTTTACTCGCGACTTCGTCTACGTAAGTGAGATATATTGATTGACCTAAATGAAAAATAGCCTATAAACATTCTTCTCTATACCCCAAATATCACGTATATACTAATATTCCATGACAATTGATTAATCTATTAAGACGCCAAGAGATAACAAACAAACGAATTTTTCATTTGTACTTGTAAAACTGATTAGAATCGTACATCAATGATAAAAAAATTACATTATTTATTTTATGGAAGATAATTAAACATTCCTCTAGAAAAATATATCTATTTTATTTCATCATCTTTTATTACCACAGATAGCCTTCCTGATCCCTGTGAAATACCCTTTTCGAGGAAAAAAAAGTCAAAAACTAATATGCTCACACCTAGTACCTAAGGTGAAGCGTTCAATTTATAATTCGATTTATCAAATGCAAACACAGTCACAGGGAGCAAGTCATCCATAATTTCACTATAGATTAATTTGATTCTCTAGCGATGTTTTACCGTCACGGTAGAGTTAATCACAAATTTTACCAAGAATTTAATTTTTCTCAAAAGCGATGAAAAAAGTGTGTAACATTTGTATCACGATTATTAACACCTACGTGCATCCAGTAGTATTCTTCAATTACGTGTGTCAATTCATGTAGTTTAAAATTGAAAAAAATATTATTTAATATTATTTCACATTTCATTTATCTTTTATGAAAATGACACAGTAAATTTTTTTCTCTCAAATAACTAAAATTCAATTATTATAGGTATCAATGGCAAATAAAATTACTACTTTAATAATCAAATTTAATAAGCATCAATTTGTAATCTGTAAGATATTTTTATAGAACTTAATGTTATAATAAGTTATTAATAAGACATAAAAATACGAATTATTCGGTATGCTATTATTATCTCTACACTCTATATTATAAAATTTTAATTAGATCGAGACGTCTTAACTTGGTCTAAAATAGGGATATATATATATATATATATATATATATATATATATATATATATATATATATATATATATATATATATATATATATATATACCATATATATATATATATATATATATATATATATATAGTGGTAGTTAATTCTCGGTCTTCCTCTTCCTCAAAAATACTTTTGACTGGTTAAGAGTTTTGACTGCAACATATATACTTTTTAATTAATATAATGATTGGCTGTATCGTTAAAGCTTCAAGAAGTAACCAAAAACAAACACATTCACTTTCACATTTATAACGCGTATAAGAATAAGGATATTTATTTTATGGGTGAAAATGAAATAGTGACCACGTTTGCGCTACGGTATACACAGACAGGGCAAGATGCGGAAAGTGAAAGGTGAGGAAGAAGCATGCCAATTAACACGAATTCAACAATTATTAACGATGATTTCCAGGGGGAACCGCGTGGAAGTCCACCTGATAGGGTGTATTGCTAGCAATAGGACAGTTAAACTTCATTACTAATAATCCCACTCCCATCCCCGTATAAGGATACTTAATCATAATAACAATGTATAAGTAATATTTACAAAGTTTTTAATTACTTTATGTGAATACGAAATTAAATAGAAAGTTGAGCGGACAAACTGCAATAAGTGAAAATCGCTGTGTGACTCCGATTGTCTCTCTAAAGTAATAAAGTGTCTGTGAATTTAGAGACAAAAGTATAAACAGTAGACAACTCATAGACATGCTGCGTCTACTTCTTTATGCCGACTTTACATTTTATGAATTATTTAGGTTCGTTAGATTATTGTTATTAAATACATTACTTATTAAATACATTTTTCTTTAAACATAATATTTATAATTACTTTATTAAGTAATCTTATTAAAGTTTCTTATTATAAATGAAAAAAATTCTGAGAATATATATTTAATGTTGCTCAATCACACTATACAGATTTACATGAATTTTTTATTAATTTCTAAACACAAAATCGTCAAAATCAATCAGAAATTAATTATGTGTAATGGGTTTTATGGCCCTTGATTTTTTTTACTTAGAATGACAAATAAGCTGACGATCTGATGGAATGTGGATATATAAAAAAAGTAGATAACAAATTTTTATGAAATAAAATAAGAAATATTGTTACTAAATAAAAATTATTTTCGAAAAAAGATAATTACGACTTTGCTATAATTCGACAAGCTTTAGTATGTATAAGTTTTGGAGAAAGAAAGTAGACTTTTCCAAATGGGCATAGTAAAAGAAATTTTTTGAGCTTAAATATTATTTATTAGTACCTCTCTTTGTGTATGTCATCAAGCACCGGAAGTACAATCAATCAAAAACAGGTTCACTTTCCTCTGTCGAAAAGAAGTGTGTCATAAAAGTCGATGAAGAGTATGTCGAACACAGTGGATTAACGAAATCTACTAATACAATGTGTCTAACAGTAAGTGGTACATCAACATGATAAAGTACTTCAACCTTAGAGAAAGGTGTAGAATGACGTATAGTATATTATTTATTTTTGTTGCTAGTGGCATGTATAAATTATATACGAATATGGAAGTCTTAAGAGTGTTTTAAAAAGCGACGATGATTTTGTCGTATGGCAGGGTTGTGATATTCAGTCAGTTTTAAAAATTAAATATTTATTTTAAACTGTTCTGAAAGCAAATTATATCATGTAAAAAAGATTTTAAAATTTATTATTAGCTAAAGGAATTTGAAAACTTCAGACGTAAAACATGAAGCAAGTGAAATTTTTACTCTTTATTCTTTATTGTACACAAAAGGTTATTAAAATGTAAAAACAAACATAGTAGTGCACAAAGGCGAGCTTATCTCCAATAGAGATTTCTTCCAGCAAATCCAATATGAGAAAACTGACAGTTCATTAGCAGTTACAGTTACAGTAGTAGATTTAGGTGTAACATACTCTGATTTACTAATTTATAGAATAAATATCTGATAGAAATTCCACATTTTATATGAATTTGATTTTTTTTTTTCTTTTCTGGAGCTTATTTCTATTATTTAATTTTTTTATATAATTTAAAATTCTAAATTAGTTGACGTATCCACGTAATAAAAAGCAATAGGCGTCGCCTATAGATTTTAAAAGTATGGTACCCCTCATCCGTTACCATTCCTATGGACTAAAATATTATACGTGCATACGAATATAATATAATTTCATTGCGATATCCCACCCTTCAAACCGAAACACGGCCACATAAAAACAGCTGCATGCTAATTACTGGATGCTTATTACTGCTGGAATATTAGTATAACAAATAGGCCCAGTTGCTTATATTGTCTTAATGCCTTCAATTGATGGGTAAAGGAATATTAGTTATAGGCCTATTGCTGACAATTCTCTATCAGGTCGACATCCACGCGGTTCTCCCTGGGTAATTTATTATGAAATTCGTTACGATGGGCCAACTGATCTGCTTACATTCTCACTTTCATCCATCACTGATGCTTCGCCAGACTATAGTGATAACGCAGGCGAGATTACCATACCACTATCACTCACTAAAAAATTTCCTTTAATCTAAAATGAATGAAATCTAAAAAGACCGATTCTTGTTTCTCAGTGAGGCTAATGATCATACTTTACGCAGTGTCAATAACCTCCGACTTAAATTTCCCACTCATTCTTCTTCCTTTTATTCTAGATCCTTTACTGTACAGGCAGTTCGTCTATCACTACCTACCTCTATTCGGTGCGCTCAAACTCTTACTAGCTTCAAAACCTCTGTTAAATCTTACTAAAGTACTATTTTCCTGTGTTCTCTCTTCGTTTTCCTTCATCATTTTTTTCTGTTGTATGTATGCTGTTAAGTATGTGTATGTTATGTATATATTTAATTGTGTATATATTATATATGTATGTGTATATATTATATATGTATGTGTATATATGTATGTATGTATCTATATATGTTTGTATATGATAATATTTATATAATAGTGCGCCACCTACTCTTTGTCTTTTTCTCAATGTCCTCTACCCAAAGGTTGTCTGGAAGAGATTGCTTAGCGATCCGCCTTTTGTATCACTTTCATTAATATAATAACAATAAAGTGTAAATAAATAAAAATAAAATAAATAAATGAATTCTTAAAAATGTAAAAATATGGATTAGTACAATAATTTTGACTGAAACTATCTTTTTCTTATAATAACGTAATAAAAACATATATCAAAAACAATATGAAAAATAAGAATATAAAAATGCAGAGATTTAAAAAAAATTAACAAGATTAGCATATTTTGATTAAATTTTTAATTTACAAATACAATGTGTAATTTTGCTCATAATATTTACAGAAGAAGATTCTTAAATTGACTCTATTTTTT